TTTTATAATTTTGCGGCATTTAATTAATATAAAATAACGATTATTATTTAAACTAATAGGTTTAATCTCCCTAATATTAGCCTATAATAAAATCGCCGCGAAATTTGCGCAAATACGCACTAAATCTATTAAATCGATCCAAACATTTTTAGCTTTATTATATATATCGCATATTAATATAAAAATACCATTTAAATCTAAATTAATACCCTTAATAGCCTTAATCGTTCTAATTAAACGTTCCTTATTTAAATAACCTAATCGACGATGCTATAAAATCGTCTATTTAATTAACGGCTTCGTTAATCCGTTTAATACCATTAGAGCTTATATATAGAATAGTTCCTTTTGCCTATATAGCTATAAAAACCACCCTTTTTTAATTATATTAATAATAATTAACACCTTATTATTAGGCGTTTTAATAAAATTACTATAAATTTTAAATTTAGCCTTATATAGCTTATCACTAAAAATTACTTTTAATAGGAAATTTTTAACGTAATAACATTTTTTAAGCGTTAATTCCCGGCGCTTGCCTTTAAGGCTATGCTATACGGTTAATATTTAACCGTATTTTATTAAATATATTATACCGTTCCTAATTATAATAGGTAACCGATTATATTTATTTAGTTTAATAACTAATTTAGCGATAAAATTAGCTTTATCGTTTATAATATAAATATTAGCGCCTATATTTAATAGCTATCGTTTACGCAAATCTAGCGCCTAAATAGCTATTAAAATAAGGAAACTATAGTAATTCGTCCTATTTTATATATGCGAATCGTATTATTTAGCAGGTTTATAGCGCTTATTATTAAGCGTAATTTATAATTATTTAATTACGCTAAAAGCGATTCGCGTATAATAATTATAAGCTATCTTTTATTCTTTTTAATTTTTATCTTAATTAGAAAATTTTATAATTCTAGCGCTTTTAAATTAGTAAAAGGAATTATTATTTATTATAATTAATAATAATTATTAAAAGCCCCGGAATGCGCCTATAGACGCGCCTCCCCGGCCCCGGCCACGACCCGTACCGCGCTTACGGTAATTGCCCTTATTTGCGCTTAATCGCATAATTGCGTTTAATTGCGTAAATAATTGCGTTAATTGCGTAAAATTAGAATTCTATTCGTTTGCAGCTTTCTCGTCGCGTTTTTTGGATTTATAATTAACTCGCCGATAACTCTTTTTACCGCAATATTAATAGTCGCCGTTAATTTAACCGTTGCCATTGGTAAATAGTGAATTAGCGTTATTTTTATTACTAATTATTATTTTATTTGCAAACTTAATTATAAAAAATTATTATAGTTATATAAGTCCTAATATAACGCCTTTTAAGAGGATAGCTAATTAATTTTTTTTTCGTTTTATCCACTTTAAAGCCTTATTTTTAATAGCTTTTAAATATAACTAAATTTAACTATTTAAAGTAAAGCGTTAATTACCAGCGTTATAGCTTTTTTGCATATAATAATTTTATTCGGCATTAAATTTAGCTAAATCTTTGCTATTATAATCGAATTTATATAATTTCCTTAATAATTCTTGCTTCCTTTCGATAATAACAAAATTAAATTAACGGCGGAAAGCATCCTCTATCTTTATGCCTATTAAATAGTATTTTATAATTATTAATAGCGTCCCATCGTTAATTATAGCTAAAATTACAGCAATAATAAACTTTTTATTTAAAGGGTAAATAGGGGTTTTTGCGATCCATTTAACGGCCTGCTTATTAAGCTTAAATAATACTATATAAGCGCGATAATTAAAGATTCCTGCTAAAAACTTTAACTTATCGATTTTAAATTTAAAATCTTTTAAACGAGGAATTAATATAATTAAAGCTTGCTTTAGTATATTATAGCCAATTATATTAGCGGCTATTTGCCCTATATCTTCAGCTATAGCTTCCGTAGCACCCGCTATAATTGCATGCTTTATAACGTTTTAGCCAGCTTTATTAGCGATCGCCTAAGCAGCTATTATAGCGCTTTAATTACTTTTAATTAAAATGCCTTAGCTAGCAATATAGGGTTTTAAATAATTTTTAATACTAAGTGCTATATTATAATAAAAAAAGCTATTCGTAATATTTTTTATATTAATTATAGTGCTATTATATAGGAAATTAATAGGGACTTAATATATTTAATATAAATAAACGGATCTAGCTATATAGGTTTAGTTAAATAAAATGCATAAAACCTAATTGCCTCCCATAGCCCACCGGAAATAGCCGTCAAGCCGGAGGTCCCGGGGTCTGATGCTTTTATCCGTCAAAACGAGAGTTGTACCCATTACTTTAGTTAAAGTCAACTTTCCACAGCTTGCGCTACTGTAGCTTGCATCGTCAACGTTGCGGAATCAGGTCATTTCTGGAATATCTAAAATCACCGGGCCGCGGGCTCCAAGTAGAGGTCTGTTAGTGGAAGCGCTATTACGGATTCGCACGGTGGCGATAGTGTAACGCAGTCGGAGATGAATGCGATGCATACTGCTATAATGGTGTCTGAATTGCATTACACGTAGAGAAGCTCCAGGCTGAGTTAAGGCGAGGGGCACACATAATGTAGTAGCTCGTACGCGTGCGGAGTCTACCGAAAGAGAAGTAGAGCGACAATTGCTGAGCTGCAGCATCTACAAACACTGGCCTTACTAGGAGCCAGGACATGTGTCAATGGTAGAAGGAGGCAAAAGTCATATTACAACGTGGATAATGAAACCCGATACTGTAAAACAACAGGATGAGAAATTGTCGTCTTTCATTGTAGTTTTGTATATATCCGTAATGCACAGACGGTCAACTACTGAAGTGAAAGTTGTCAATATCAGCTCATTTCTCAAACCAAATGACCTCGTTGCAAAGATGGGACATCGCTTGTTATTATGCTTGATCGTGATGCTTCATGCCATGTTGTCGTCGTGTGCCCTTCTGCGGCCCCGCCGGGGGAAGATGGCAGGCAATCGAGATCTGCGTGGTGAGCAGTGCAGGGGTCGAAATAAATGTGGTTTCAATCCTTGCCCAGAACCGGTCTAGGCCTTTCCGACAAATTTATACCCCAGCTGGGTTCGCATGTCAATCCCCCATACGAACATGGGATTTGGCTCCATCGAACAAAGCAGAGGTGGACAATTCTGGAGACCCAAATGTTCAGTTGGCGGCCAACGAGCACAAGGAAATACGGATCTCAACCCACAGAACTCTTCAATCAGTCCTCAGTGGAGGTTGTCGGGACTTTCCCGGCCAATCCTTAGCAGCCCCGAGCATTGTGCAGCATTGATAAAAAAAAAAAAACAATTGCGCTTCCAAGGGGCCGCCGCTAGGTAGTTATTACGGCAATTTCGGGCGCTGGGTGATATTCGTCGACGCCCCAAGAAAAAGGTTTGAAAAAGTTGTTGCCATGTTTTCGTCAGCTGCGACGGAGGCGCTGTGGTTGTGTGCTGAGTAGTAGGTATTGTACATGATGTACAATGCAGTGAGCCAAAACAGCAAAGTTGGTGTTCTACCACGTAGGCTTGGTAGGTAGTAGTATTCCCGGCCGCGTTATTCTATTGAACACTTCAAAGACAGATTAGGACGTGGCTGCAGAACCCGACCCTTGATTCGCTAGTGGACCATACAAGATTCTCGAGCTGTTCCGTGTTCACGAGCGAATCATGGCGGGGAACCAACAAATCTGTGCTAGAGCTCGGGGGAGACACGGACGCAAAAACTGCTACTGTTAATGTTCCACACACCAAAGGCTTGTTCCGCTTATATACCCACGATTTGACAGTTTTGCATCCATCCGATTTGATCGACAAACGACCACCGCGGAGCCGCAGGAAACAGGAAGGGCGTTGAAACTTGAGAGCACGCTATTTTACAAATTGACATGCCGGCAGTCTTATGTTTGCCACTGGGTTGGATTTAGCACCGATTAAGGCTGAGTAGTACCAAAGAAAAGGAACAAGATGGCGTGTTTACAAGTCCTTCTCCAAATACCTGGCCTGAGTCGCAAGCACGCCCCTGGCAGCTAGAATCTGGGCCTCGGGTGTCAAGGTCGATCCCGGCGGTTAGTATCCCAATGTATGAGAGAAGGAAAGAAGGGATTTGGTCAGCTTGGCAGCCCCCCAGCAAAAGCTCAGCACAGCCCGGGTAGAGTTTAGCAGTGAATCTGACAGCGCAAATCGTCTGAAAAATCCGAATAAAATGTAAAATGCCTGCCTGTAGAGTTCGGAGCCGCAGGCGAGCCTACGAGAGCTCCGCGTGTTAGGCCTGCCGCTAAACCCTGATCAGCATTCTCAGCGATCGCTAATACTGCCCATATCCCAGCAGCTGCAGAGTCAGCGCTGCTGCTCTGGCCCCGTTCCACTCTTGTCCTGCATGAGAGGAGCGTTGTGGAAACGTGCCTCCAGTGCGGCTAACCCGTCGTCTTTCTATTCTCTTGCTCCTCGCCTTTATCGACCCATTATCACAATCAAACGTCGCGTTTCTCCTCTTTCTCTATCTCCCAATTATTGTCTTGCCCTCCCCGCTCTTTCCTTTCACCCATAGGGTCGAGTTGCCATCTCGCAACCGTGGCCGGGAGTCCGCTGCTGGCTCGTCTGTAACCTCGAATACACCACCCTGCCTACCCGTCGCCTTGCGCTGATCCGATCCACCCTCCCTTGGCTTTTTTTTTTCTTGCGACAGCGCGCCGCGCGATTACACTGCTCGCTCGCTTTTTGGCGAACCGTAGTCCGTTTGTAATCGTCTCGAAAGTCGTTTCCGACGGAGGGCGCTCCGAAGCTACGAATTTCAAGTCAACCTCACGCTTATTGGAATACACCATTGCCGCGCAGTCGCCCATCCTCGCCATCAATTGTCAGGTGCCCTCATCCATTCCCATTCAAGCGAAATTGGCGCAAGCGGATATCCATCTCCAGCCTGGAATATGCATGCCAAACGACAGCTCTCTTGTTCTCCGCCATAGTCGTTCTTCGACTCATTATTCGTCATGAGGATTGCGATCCGAGAGCAGCTGGCAGTCTTGGTACTGCTAGCTGTTCTTGTTTCCCTCGCCATTCTGTCGATTCCGACGTGGGTTTTCGTTAATCGCTTCGTTGTTAGTGTCGAGACCAATGCTCTGTCCCTGGCTGCCTCACTCAAGGCAAGCTCGGTCGCAGCCGAACTCGAACTGCTACAGACCACAACGAGGACGATATCCACAAGGATTCTAATCCAGAATGCGTTTAGAACATTCTATCTTGGAAACACGACAGAGGCAAACTGGGCTAGCGCAAGCACCGATTTGCAGAGTGCCCTCAATGCCGTCAGTGGCGGCTCAACCAATCTACTTCAAGTGAAATTGTACTCGAGAAACACGACTGGAGATGTTCATGGACTCTTCAACCTGACTGGTACCGACTTGGGTTCTATACTGCTACCCTATGGCGATCCTGATGGTTCACCAATCTACCTTGGCGATACCGAATATGGATACCCAACACGCCTGTATCCTAACATCACTTACTATAACTCGACCACTCCGGATCCTCTTGATACTTCGACGACACTACAGGTTGCTCGTCCGTGGCCAGATATCAAGATCGACAACCCCTCAAACGGCTTGATCCTTGGCCCTCTGGTTATTAACACAAGCTATGCACTGGTGTCGTTGACAGTTCCCATCAAAGATAATCTCAACAGTGGCGTGGTCCTCGGGTACATGACTATGATCGCCGAGGCCACTGCTCTTCTTGGCATTGTCGATTCACGCGAGGGTCTCGGAAATAGCGGCTCCCTTCTAGTCATCGGTCCTGACACCGGATGGAATAGGTTCAGTAAGTATAACCTGCCAGCGAATAGCACCAACGATGCCGCGTCCAATATTTCCGATGCAACTGTCAGATTTGTGCTCCCTCCCACGATAATCTCAGGCTATGCCGACAGACACTCGGACCGAAACTTCGAGCAGCACACATGGGCCACAAACTTCCAGCTCAAGGAGTATCCTGCGGTACTAGCCGCCTTCAAGAATCGCAATGCAGCCACCAACAATGCTAGCAGCTACATGTCTACCACGAACGAACAAGGAGTCAAGGTTGCTGTAGGCTATGCTCGTCCCCAGACGAGCCTCGTGAATTGGACGCTGGTCGTGGAGCAGGAGAAACAGGAGGCTTACGCCCCAATTTCCACTCTGCAAAAGATTATCCTCGGCTGTGTTTTCGGCACATTTGGACTTGTCATTATTCTTATCTTTCCTTGCGCTCATTTCAGCGTCCAGCCAATTCGTCAGCTCAAAAGTGCCACGGAGAAATCGGTTGCGCCACCTGGGTACGACTATAGAGACGAGCTCGATTTCGACGACGACGATGAGGTTGATCCAGAGAATCCCGCATCCACGGGAATCTCCACCAGGTCAGAAAAGGGGTGGCTGCTCAGTTTGAAACGGAAAATGCGTGGGAGGCGAAGACCTGCACCATCGGAACATGACAGCGATCCAAGGCGCCGAATTTTCAAAATACCTGGAAGGGTCAAGGACAGGAAACATTACATCACAGATGAACTGACGGAGCTGACTGATGTCTTCAACGAGATGGGCGAAGAGCTACTCAAACAGTATGGCTCTCTCGAGCAGAAGGTGGCCGAAAGAACCAGCGAGCTTGAGGTCAGCAAGAAGGCTGCCGAGGCAGCGAACGAAAGCAAGACACTATTCATCGCCAATATTTCACACGAACTCAAGACGCCACTCAACGGAATCTTGGGCATGTGTGCAGTGTGCATGGAAGAAGACGACGTTGTTAGGATCAAGCAGTCCTTGAAAACGCTATACAAATCGGGCGATTTATTGCTACATCTGCTCGAGGACTTGTTGAGTTTCTCCAAGAACCAGATCGGACAACAATTGAGGCTCGAAGAGAAGGAATTCCGACTGGGCGATATTCGATCTCAAGTGTTGACCATCTTCGACAAGCAAGTTCGCGAGGGGAAAATCGATTTCAGCGTCACATTCCTGAGTACTGATATGGATCCGGGCAAAAGCCCCGAACGCGAAAGTATGGAGATACAAGATCCCAAGCTACCTGCCATGGGACCTCAAGGCGTTGGAAGGTTGAAGGATATGTGTCTGTGGGGAGATCAACATCGCATTCTCCAGGTCGTCATCAACCTGGTTAGCAACAGTCTGAAGTTTACGCCTTCTGGAGGACGCGTTTCTGTACGAATACGATGCGTGGGTGAGGTAGAGCACCAATTTGACGAGAGTAGAACCTCTTCGTTCTCTCGTGGCTCTGGTCGCGCGGGCCGCACTCGCCATAGGATGGGGTCTGGGTCCAATCGTTCGAACCATTCTGGTAGCTCGAAAGGTGCAGCGACACCGCAACCTTATAAGGGAGGCACTGCCTTGTCCATCAACCCTTTGGACCCAAAGGCCACTCCGCACATCCACATTCGCGAGAGATCACCAACGCCTCCACCCCCTGGTGCAAGATCATACTTGTTCGAAATCGAGGTGGAGGACACCGGACCTGGTATTCCGGAGCACATGCAGCAACGAGTTTTCGAGCCATTCGTTCAGGGCGATCTCGGCTTGAGCAAGAAATTTGGCGGTACTGGTCTTGGTCTCAGCATCTGTCATCAACTGGCGGGTTTGATGGGAGGATCCATTGGAATCAGGAGTACAGTTGGTGTGGGGACAACCTTTACAGTACGAATTCCACTCAAGTACACCAGAGAAAGGTGAGTAAAGTATGAACAGCTACATTTCATGACTCGTCGGCTAAGATTCTGTATAGGGCATCCAGCACCGCATCAAGCAGTGTCAAGTCGCGACCACCAAGTGTCGTGTCTGCTCCAGCAGAGGCAGAAAGTCATCGTAACTCAGTTGGAAGCACCACGACGGCCGAGGCTAAAGTGACTGTCTTGGAGAACCAACCCCGATTGATTGGTCTCAGTGCTCCGTTCTTTGCTACCAGCCCAGGTCCTTCGCCGACACCCAGCAAGAAACGTCAGCTAGAAGCAATAGATCGCGCTAGGGCGGCCAAGGCCGGTGGCAAATTGCGTGTATTGGTTGCTGACGACAACTCGGTCAACGTCGAGGTAGTCAGCAAACTGTTGAGGTTGGAAGACATTTATGATGTCACTATTGCCAAGGATGGGCAAGAGGCATATGATATTGTAAAGGCGAGCATGGACAACAACATTAGGTTCGATGTCATCTTCATGGACATTCAAATGCCTAATCTAGATGGCCTGCAGAGCACTCGGCTGATCAGAAAGATGGGCTACGAGGCGCCGATTGTTGCTCTCACCGCTTTCTCGGAAGAAAGCAACGTGAAGGAGTGTATGGAGTCTGGCATGGATGAGTTCCTGGCCAAACCCATTCGCAGACCAGCCCTGAAGCAAGTCCTAAAGAGATTTGCCACTATCCCCGAGGAGCCAGAGGTTGCTTCGCTCCATAATACCAAAATGACGCCAGAAAAGACGACACCGGATAAGATGACACCAACTGCCGAAACCCCCCCTGGCAGCGAACAAAAGGTCACTCCTGGAGGACCCGAGGTCAGCTATCGTGAAGTCAGTGAAACGAACGGCAATAATTAATGATACCCCCTTTTGTGCTCGTGCACTTTCCTTTTCGGCCATTCCCAGGTACCACCTACTTCAGGCGTGGTGATTTGCCAATTGTGGCACAACTCTATAATCTAGTACTGCAGGTGTCGGTGCATGCGAAGGTCTAATTGGTCTGTCGGCAGACCACGGTGGAATAAAATTGGACATTGGCAAGGCGTCATGGCGTATTTCCCTACACGACCATCCGGAACATACAAGACGGATTTGGGTTTGCTTTGTTGTTTTATTATCCCATTCAGTACATGATGTAATTCGCCCAGATTTTGGTCTGGTTATTATTATTTTTTGGTCTCGGCATGTCTTTGGAGGAAAGAACCATGATAGCAGGCTGCTGACAGCGCTGGACAATGTCTCGAAAAGTTCTTGATGCATATACGAAATCAATGACGAAAATGCGCGAAGAACACTTGGCGACTTCTTGGTCCCTTGCAAAAGTGTAGAATTAATTAGATGCTCTCGCAAAAAGAAATCAACCAGAATTCCCCAAAAAGCCACGGCGACCTGGAAGTCTTGTTTTCAAATCTGCGAAATCCAAGTATTGTGTAAATATAGTTCACTTGAAAAACTCCCGTCAAGTCTTGTCTTGATGCTCGTCATGATTAAGGTACTGAGAATTCGAGAGGTATTAAATATTGATAGAAAGGCGAGTATCAGTTCTCCAGACTTCCTTCTGTCTCTCTCCCACTGGCAATCCAGCAAAGTCACAGACCTTTTCGCTAGAAATCCACCCCTCTCCTCGGTTTGCTCGCAAGTAATGCAAGTGCACTCTGCTTGGACTTGTGAGATGTCCTTGATTTCGTTTGTCCCATTCGTGCAATCGTCTGGGACTCGACAAAGCCGCCCCTTCAAGAAAGCCCCTCTTCATCATTAATATGCTCTGGGATCGAAATATGCGCCCATGCAGCTTATTAAAAACCTGCGGCCCGATTGATTTGGCAAGGGCCGGCCATGTCCAGTGTTTGGTCTATCCATGGCTGCTCACGGCACGCCGATCGGACCCTCATGCTCATCTCATGGCTTTCTTTTGGCAGACATGAATTGATATGCAGTGATATGCACTGAAGAACGGGAGGGGATATCAACCTGCGCCCTCCTTGACGTAGCTAGCACCCTGGAAATTCCTCTACTACGCCTGGATATTAACCCCCAAGTTGATGATCAATGCTCTTCTGCCGATAATATTACGCACAAGCAAAACCGCCTTTTCTTTGCTTGAAAGTCTGCGTGGGAACAGCGGTTGCAACAGCATGTCTAACCTGACAGCCTGGGCTTTGATGATGGTGTATATGGGGGTTATGGTTATCATACATCCTCATACGACTCCTCAAACTCGCGGTGCAGCTTCTCGGCCGCCTCGTCATCGTTGAGACTCCGGTAATGCTCCTCGAGCTCGCTAATGGCGCGCGTGGTGCGGTGATTGGCGTAGCCCAGACGGTCGCGGCGGGCCTCGTACGTCTGGACAAAATACGGCGTCGCCTCGTCGGGACGGTCGAGGCCCACTAGAATCCGCGCCTTGGTGCGCAGCCACTGCTCGTATTGCTCCGGGTAGCGGGCGGCACCGCCGGAGCGGAGCCACTCGGACATTTCCTCGGCAATGGTGTCGGCCTCGAGGAACCGCTTGGTGTCAATCAGGTAGAGGGCAAAGTACATCTTGGCCTCCTGCAGGTGTCGGAGCAGCTGCTCGCGGTGCTCCGAGGCTTCGGCATCGCCCGGCGGAACAAGTGCCTCGTCTGCCAGGGACTGTTCAATGCCATGAATCGTTTTGTGGAAGACGGTCGTGACGACCTCGCCCGGCATGGCACCCCAGGTCTGCATAAGCTTGGCGTAGTGCGGGTATACCGAGGAACGCCACCGATTCGCCGGGTGGCTATTGCTCACGATGATGTCGAAGTAAGCACTGAGGATCGTACGCGCTACTAGTGGCACCTGCGCAGCGCCGAGAATATGTAATTGTGACAATAGACGACTGAGAGGATGGTCCTCTCCGAGCCGAATGCTGATCAGGTTGGCCGCATAGCTAAGGAGCGACTGGGCAATTTCTGGTACTGGTAAGAGTCTGATGACATTGTTCAGAGTTGACGGAATGAGCATCGGACTGGCCTGCTCAACGACGGCTGCATACTGGTCAAAGCACTTGTTGAGAATGGCAAAGTTATTGGCCGAGGTGCGGTCCTTGACGAGGTTCTGGGCAGCAAGCATGATGCCGGTACTCCAATTGTCCGTCTTGTCGCTATCAAAGTCGTATGGAAGACCCGAGAGGTCCCAGGCCTGAGTGTTGAACTGCAGCGTCGCAAAGTCGCGGATGGCAATCAGGCCAGCCTCGGTTAGCCTCAAGGTATCCGGAGCGGCGAGGTGGCCGGGCAAGGGTAGCGCTACGACGATGCCGTTATGCCGGCCCATGGCCGCGCCCGTCAGTTCGTCGGGCGCCGTAACTCTATTTAGACGCTTCTGCCACTTCTTGGAGCCCATGCTGCGGCCGCGAATAACGAGCGGGCCAGTGGCTACGCCGGATTTGGCCAAGCCCATGATCTGGTCAGCATCCTTGGACTTGAGGTTCTTCAAGAGACCCCATGCTTTGAGCCTGCCTTTGTACATTTTATCTCTGGATGAAAATGACTTCTCTCAGCTCATGGCTCGCATAGCAGTGGTGGTGTCACCTGGACGCTTTCAAGCAGGAGAAGCAGCAGACTTACGAGGCGTGGAAATCGTGCTTGTCGGCCATGATGGCCTGCACCTCTTTGAGAGGCTTGTCATCTTCCCACCAAAGATGCGTGATCACGTCTCTGTGCATTTGCCAGTCCTCCTCGGAGGCCCAGGCCTTCCCTCGCGGTGCAGACGACATGGCGGCGCGGCGTCGCTCATGGTACGAATACTGCCTGGTGGAGGTGTAGAGGTGCCAGCAAACTGCGGGGTTGGGAGTATTTGTCACCAGGCCCTTTTTTACCTGTTGGGGGTCATTTGATACGTACGCGCGCGACACTGAGCAAAGAGTAAAAAAAGAGACCAGAAAAGAGAAAAGCAACGACGAGGACAATGTATAAATGGGGTCAAGACTGTGTTTCTTCCTCTTTGAGGTGATCGGCTACTAAAAACGAAACGAAACTTTTGTGGATTAAAAACAGTTGCATCATATACATAGCCGTAGGTAGTTGATGGGTCGCTTCCCTTTTTCGCGTCGTCGGCTTCGGAAAAAAGGGCAGAGAGCTTTTCGAGTCGCAGGCAAACATGCAGAGCTCCCCCCAAAGCGACCAGCAGACGAAAAAAAAAAAAAAAGGAGACGAGCTTCTGCTGGCGTTACACAAGAACAGCCCTATCATTTCCCCCCAGATCATCAAACCAAGGACCTAGACCAGAACCTAGACCACAGACCTGCCCTGCCGCAGGTCGAAATCCCTTCCGCAATCGTGTGGCTGTTGCTATTGCTCTGCTCGATGTTGGCGCTTGTCCTGCCTGTACATGCATGTTGCAGCCAGCAGCGTACTGTACAGTAATAAAGGGCTCCAGTGTCGTACCGATATCGTGCCGGTGTTGTACTGGTTTCGGGATAGCGCCAACGTCCATCCCCCCTTGGAGGTGCAGCGAGTCCCGGCATTGTTCCCAGTTGTCCATTTCCCTACTCGATTCTGTGGGATTCATTAAGATGATGACTGCAGCAATAATTGCGGATCATATGCAGGCTGAATGACCTGGAATCTTGGATGTGGTTGCAATGGTCGGCTTGTCGGGCAAACCCGCGCCAAAGCGAAAAAGAACACCCCCCATCTACCGGTAGATAGATGTCTTGGAATGCCTCCAAATTGGGAGACAATCGCTGCCGCTTTTGTGTCCGCCAAGTTCTTCAGGCAAGTGTATAGGCCGAGCTTTGCCAGTCCACTTCTGCGTCCTTTGACTCGGAAATGTCCATAGATCGCGGATGAATCTCGTATTGATGGATGACAGTATTATCGGTACAGTCAGGAGTTCCCTCGTCCTCGACCGTCTCACATCTGACACGCCTGCCGGGTCCTCGACGGCTAGCTTGATGGACTTGCTCATCTTTCGCCTTCTTCGACTTCCCAAAACTATGTGCTTTAGCTTCTGTCCTGAATTGCTTGCGGCGCTTGACAAATGGTTGATCGTTCAAACCAGAAACGCCATCAGGATCCTGAAAGGGCAGCTTGGGGCTTGGCTTTGCGACCGAGGATATCTTAGTGATTTCAGTCTCTGAATCACTGTCTGCACCCCTGTCCGCATCATTGTCTGAATCGAATTCGATGACAACTGTGCCGTCGGATTGGACCGTCTCCGTGTAGAGCTTGGCCTCGGATTGGCCGGCAGTATCCTGGCGTCTTCGCTTCCTGGGAGCAGAACGAGGCAACGGCGACTGTCGAGTAATGGACTTGATCAAAATGACATCCTCCTCCTCCTCATCACCATCTTTGAAGCGTGAATTGGTTCCATTTTTGATGGGGGGATCGGGAGGGATGCCTTTTTGCATGAGGCCATCTTGTTCTTTCCAGTCAGTAATATAACCGAATATAAACACGCATCTTCTCACTGACCTGTGGAGTTGTAACGAAACTCGAAAACGGCAAAAGGTAGCTGCCGCTTATCTTGGAAGTCATCTACTGTTTGAGCCAGCGATAGAGCTGGTCTTCTTTCCACGTCGAAATGCACGCTGAGGGGCAGGTTTTTGCTCTTTAGAGCCTCTTTGGGGTCCTCAAATGTCAGGCGGGCAGGCACAACAAGGCCTCCATGGGTACTTTGACCAGGGGGATTGTTCATCTTGTAGACGAATAATCGGAGCGTTCCATAGCTCTGTGTGATCTCGTCCTGGGAGCGCCCATTGTCCACTAGAAATCCGTCAGCAGCCATGGTGAGAGATAATGGGAGAAGGGGTTGAGGCAGGCGCGCACCATTTTGGGCCTGTCCAAACTTGAAGAGATGCTTATACACGCCATTGTAAATACCGTCGCACTCGACAATCCATGAAGTGTCTGGCTGCTTTGAGTCGATTTCTTCATGGTGGATGTTAGAGTTGTTGCCATCGATCTGCCACTGAATGCCGAGGTGGTGGCAGCCACGCTGAAAACCACCATCCTTTTTGAAATGGAAACTAAAACGGTGGCCCAAGACGGCTTCAATGTACTTGACTTTGTACGCAATATCGGTAATGTCAATAAAGTCGCCGCGGCGTACTGCACCATAGTTGAGCAATTTCTTCAGACCCCCTGAGCGTTTGCCCGGCTCCTCGCCGGGTGCATCGTACTCGCGGAGGGACCTACGTCCATTGCCTCCATTAATGCTGATGGAGACGGAAAGCCCTTCATGGCCAACCATGATGATGATGACTTTGCCCTCGGACAGGATACGATAAATAAGTGGATGATGTCTGGGACAGGGCTGCTGCTACTACTATCGTTGCTGCTGCCACTACTGTTGTTGCGGCGATGAGTGTGTTGCGGCGATTGCGGTTGGTCTGGACGGAAAACTTGCGAGTTTGTGGTAGTTGAGTCAGAGGCAGGAGGAGAGAGAGGATGGAAAGAACCCACACAGAGCCAGAACCCAAGAACCAGGATCGATACGGGAAGAGAAATTTGGCAGTAGCACGCGCAAGTCTACTTAGCAATGCCACGACCCTTTTAGTAAGAGTGGAAGAATAATCGATGTGGGAAAAGGAGCATACACTGACTACGCGCAAGTCCATGTGCGAATCATGTATCTACTTGGTAGTGCATTTCATCAATTCAACTTTGTCATTTAAAACGTAATCCATCCTAATGAATAGCTATTTTAACACTAGGAATCGTGTGTCTTATTTGATTCTTGAAATCTCAAAAGGTCGTTTTTTTTCTTAGTGTAGCCTGTTCAAGTTCTAGTTCCTTGGGCTGCCACGACATAGCTTAGGTGCTTAATGTGCGAACCAGGGAATGTATGCAGAATTATGCCTGGTAATCGTATATTTGATTGTTCGTGTCTATCAACATCTTCTTCTCGCTATTCGCTAATATTCATATTTGATGTTGTTGTAACCATAAGAGTAGGTCTTTTATGCTTAGCAGCTTGAAAAGGCATTTCGATGAACCCACACCACACAAGAGTCTTCAAGTCACCGTCTTTTCTCCAAGTGACAAATCGAGGGTTGTTTGATGATCTCCTGATTTTGTCAGCAATTGCCTTGTCATCCGCCGTGCACCAACCAACAAGCCGGCGACGTATGCCATTAAACGCCGCTACCTTTCCATATGCCATGTCCACCGCAGAAATTGTCATTCTCGCTAACTGATTTATATGTGCCTCAGCATCCTCTTTGGAGATCTCCCTGGCTTGTTCTTCCAGTTCAGATCCCCAAGGTAACGCTTCTTCACAAGTAACTTGGAGATGATGTCGATACTCGACCAGATCCATCTGGTGTTCAATATACATCACCCTTTGTTTTCCCTTCAGGGCTTCAACTTTCTTTGTGAGATCGGCGTTGTTTTTCTTCAGCTTGGCGTATTCTTTTTGAAGACGACTCATACGAATTGACTGGTTGGCTGTTTTGGCCTGAAGCTTTTCGTGGCATTGTAACAGCGCTTGATGATCTTTCGACAAGATATAGCTATAGGGCAAAGTCGTTGATTGGTGAGTGTCCTTAGTCTTCTTATCATTCGGTCGGCCATTGTCTGCACGTCTCTGGAGCTCATCCGCGAGCATTTGGGCTTTTTGCAACAGGTCTGAACATAGCTTGCGTCTCTCTGCCTGCAACTATCGGCGCGTTAGTTACCTTTCTATCCCTTCTTCTTCTCTCGGGGTCAGTTGTGCGTCTGTGGGATGGGAGATACTGACTGCAAACACATCTGATGAGGGATCCTCTGGCACCTTGACTATCGGCTCGGCGCAGAACTTGCAAATCTGCATGAAAAACTCCTCCTCCTAGAAGTCTTGTTCGGGGCAGAGATTGGAACATAAAACACATGGCTGGCGAATCGGCGAGTCTGAAGAGCTTGGAGTCAGGTGAGGCGCAGCAGTCTTGTTGAGTTTGGCAAGTCAGCAAACCATAGCACAGAGGCGGTAGACAAGGCCAGGAAGTGACCGTATGCACCTACCTCTTGGTTTGAATCCATTCTTGAAGTTCGTTCAAAATTGTTGGAGTCTTTGTTGGTAGGTAGCTTGCTTGTCGAAGCGAGAAAAGGTACGTAGGGTGCTTTCATTAATGCATACCAGAATACATGTAGTAGCTGAAGCTGGTTGATGGACAAGAATGAAAAAGGGATGTATGGTTCTTCGACAAGGTTGATTGTCTCCCTAGCTCGGGGTGTCGCTTCTTGTTTTCTGGTAGGTAAATCTTTCAACAACAGAGTGAACAGGGAAGGCCAGACCAATCAGTGATTATGAGCTGTCATCTGATTAGGTAGGCACTCTCGATCGTTTTCTTCTTCCCCTCCCAAGATATGTGCTGATTATAGAGCAAACAGACTCTAAAAAGAAATATCAAGATTTAGCCAAGCGTCGGCACATAGTGCTGGCATCCGAACGAGTACCTGTCTAGGTATGGACCGTATGGTGTTTAATCACTTGTTATAGAATCACTCATATCCGAGAGAAATTATGTTCTCTAAGCTGTCTTGAACAAGAAAGAAAAGAACCCTCTATGAGACTCGAAATCACAGATATAAAGTCAACCCAAATATTGATTCCCTGACCATGCAGCATCATAATCAATTCCTGCATCCCAATATTGTGTCTCATCGGTTACAGGAGTTTCAGGCGGCGCAAACCACCCTGCAAGTGGATCGCTCATGGCATCAACCTCGTAGAACAGCTTTCTGATGAGCTGCTGGATCTCTTGGTCGTCGGCATAGTTGGGCTTGGGGTTGCGGGCGTTGGGCGCCAGGTTCGCCGTCGCCAGCCCATTCATGACTGCAATCTGCAGCTCCCCCACTGTTGGGCGATCCTTTGGTTCCAGCGCCAGGCAGTGGGCCACGAGCGAGCGCAGGCTGGGGTCGATGTCTAGCCACTCTTGCTTCTTTTCCTTGGCTTCTTTGTCGTTGGTCTCGTGGAGGTAGTAGCCAAAGGATTCAAATGTTCTGCCCTGGAAGGATATCTCTTTCGCTCGGGGACGCGCCTCTTCATCGAATGCCTCGAGGTTAAACATGTGGTGCGTGATTAAAGTGTGCATAAGCTGCAAGTATTTAGCCTTGATATCAATACTGGGATTTTCTCTCATCGTGGCGAACCAGAAGGAAGAGAAAAATAGTGAGGGGACAGTCCCTCGACACTGGAATCGACAACCTCAAACTTACCAGGGCAATGCAAAAAATGTTGGTGTGCGTACCAGGGTTGTTGCTGGAAACTTGACACCAATGCATTTGCTCCTACTTGATATCAATTTGATTGGTCCCGTTGATTTGTTGTCGTTTTATACTCACTGGAGCTTTGTAGCATCTCGATCCGCTGCCATTTCTGTTGCCACTGTAATATGTTAGATGAGCATTGGTAGTTCACGTATCAACAGCCACTTACTCAGATTCGTCAATGAATTGTGCCAGACCAAAATCCGCCATCTATATGGTACTCGTCAATATGATGATGGCTATTTGAAAAGGCTTGATTATACAAACCTTGACAACGGGGACTAGTGGATCACCGCCTGGCACGATATCGCCAATCAATGCTGCAAGTCATGTCAGAATTTGCCCCCCTATATCATATGTGTGAGGCCATACTGACTGTTTTGTGGCTTGATATCGAAATGTACTAATTTATTGGCCTTTGCGGCGGCACTGGCGAATACAGCGGCCACGAGTGGGTTTGTGCTGCCTGATGCAGAACTCGTAGGAGAACTCGAAGATGGAGGAGGAGACGTTTGTGGAAGCATTGTGCGGTCGACCGAGTCCATAAGTTCGACAGCCCTCGCGACTTGAAAAGAAGAGATTCAGCTAAGTAGGACGGCAACATGTGCTCCATAGACTTTGGATACTTACGATTCCTGAAAATTCGCCACAAGACTCTGTCCGGTAACTCTTGCTTTGGCCGATCCCAAGACCCCATAATTCGTTCAATAAGACGATCGAGATCACCGTTGGGGGCAAACTCCATGATGACCAACGGTTCTGATATTACACGAGGATTTGGGTCGTTATATGTTGGATATGGCAAGAAGTTTCTATCCACCCGCTCGACAACTCGAACTATAGTATCATCGTTGAAAAGCTGGCCGTGTCGTCAATATCGTCAGCGAACTCGACTCTTGGGCGCCTTGGCATACATGGTAACCTACCTACCTGCAGTATGTTACATTCCATCCGCAAATCTTCAGCCATTTGTGCGTCCGGAATCAACACTGCCTTGACCGCCAAATCTCGAACATGAGTTTGCTGGTCATCTACCTCTGACAGTTTCGCCGTGATTCCCCACGCCCCTCCCCCAAGGGCCTTGACATATCTAAATCGCCCTTCGTCGGGAAAGTGTTGCTTGAGTCTGTCCTGGGCAGCTCTGTAGGCAGGATTCACTGCGGTCGCGGGTGTGTACGAGAAGTAAGCTTCCCCTATACGCAGTAATGTAATGAATGAGTCTCTGGGCAGATTGAAGAGGGCACAGCTGTAATTCACTCACACCTGATGCGATTCGCAGACTCTCGCAGTTCAAGTTCGAAACTGGATTCCCTTTTCATACGCCGACGCCATTTTTCAAGCCTACGCTCCACTCTTGGAAAACACCACATGACAGCCACAAAGTTGCGCTCGTACTTTTGCGAATATACAGTGTCCAGAGCCGAAGGCAATAGGGCGAGTGTATGACTTTGTTGCAGTTCTAGACTATACGGTAACAGAAGACCAGTTCCCGTATTGCTATCCTCCTCCCCAAGCCGTTCCCATCTCAATGATAGCAACCCGCCGAACCCCTTGACCGAGAAAACGTGAGTATACATGAACAAAGGCCGGGTGTCGAGTCTCTGAATCCGGCATAACAAAGACGATCCAACACAATACAGTTCGCCTATTGTATTCCCGAACTCTTTTGTCATCTGAGATCACCCGAGCCAGTGTCTCAAATCGATTCCTCGTATCAAATATATCCCTCGCGCGACCTGCCAAGGGTTGAAAATCATCGACGGTATGCAAGCAAGCAGAATATTTCGCAACGTAGTTTTGATGAAAAAAAAATCAATTGCCAACCTAGAGTACAGCCCCTCTTCCCCCCCATTCGTCTATGATGGAACCTTCCCTTACAAATGTTGTAACACAATGCAGTAGCAGTAATACAATGTGAGCCATTCCCCCAACATTATCATGGATTCCCTGTTGTCGACATTTGTTCATGTCTGATAAACCGTTTTCGTTGTCCTATTTTGCCATGGTGATTCGGTCATGTTGACCTCTTCGAACCATGGGATATCTCAAGCGTGCGATCGCGATGTCGAGGCATGGGTTTTGGCGGGAAGTTACAACTTGACAACCATCCTCGAAATCATGTACGGATCCCTAGCGAAGCCTGGCGAATGGCCAGGTTCGACGTTCTCACATCTAACAGCTAACGTCGAAGCCAGCCTTCGAGTTCATGAGAAGGGCAACAATGAGACCGTAAAGACCCAAAACTTCGGCGAAAATGAGAATCAGAATCATGCCGACGAAGAGTCGGGGCTGTTGAGCAGTTCCGCGCACACCAGCGTCACCAACGATACCGATAGCGAAACCAGCGGCAAGACCAGCAAGACCGACGGACAGACCAGCACCAAGCTGAATGAAACCAGTGAAGAGAGATAGCTGTTGCTTGAGGCCATCGGAAATCAGGACCGAAACGACGAGACCGTAGATACCAATGATACCAGCCATAATGACGGGAACAATGTCTTTGAAAGAATTATTAGCTAGATGTTTCGACCACAGAAAGATGGAGATGAATGTCACGTACTCTTGACGATGAGGTCAGGTCGGAGGACACCCATGGCAGCGATACCAACACCTGACTTGGCGGTACCGTATGAGGCACCCAGGCATGTGAAGACAATAGCAGCTGTGCAACCCATAGCACCAAAGAATGGCTGTGATGTGTTAGCCATTGCAACCGTCGATGTACGATCTCAAACCGGCAAGCTCGTAGATTTCGAACTGTTATGACGCCAAGGTCGATGGGTGGAGTAGGTGGTAACTAACCGCGTAGACGGGGCTGACATTGAGAGAATCGTTAGCAAAGACATCTTCAGAGGCTGAGGAGTGAGGTGGTGCAATGTTTGCAGTATGTTTGAGATGCAGCAAGTCTGAGAGGATGGGTGCTGAAGCTCTGTCGGCAAGACAAAGCTCAGTGCCAGGGTTGGGGCAAAAAGGCGCTCTCGATTACGTACCAAGCCTCGGAGAAACCAAGAGGTGCTTCGCTCATTTTGTCGGTATTGTTGTGCTTGGTTGGAGCTTTGAAAGAGAAAAGAAAAGAGTCAGATGAAGATGGTCGAGGCTGACGGAATAGAAGATCGTGGGTTGTTGAAATGCGATGGTGACGACGTCGAAGGAGGTGAACTCAAGCACGGCAGCAGCAGCAGCTAACGTAGTGACGGGGAGAGGTCAAGTGTTGCTTTGGTCTTCGCCCCGTTCCAAGGTTTGGGCTTTGATTGGGGAGCTTGGGCGGGTTTTCGCGACCTCATTAGGTCAGCCGGTACCCGGAAAAAGATGACAGCCGAGCCTATTGAGCTGCAGTGCCAGGTCGGGTAGCATGGAAGGTTGCCAGGCACCACCCAAATCTCAAGCTGCGCCTGCACAGACCAGACAGAAGCCAGACCTGGAAGACTTGTGCAGATGCAAAAGCTTGAGCCAGGAAACTCTGCACGGACGCTGTCCCCAAATGGCCTAGCTTATATAAGTTGGCTCGCAACCAGACACCCCAGCTGCCGGCGGTGACAGTACTCTGCAGTACGTACCTTGTTATCGATTAGCGATTGGGGCAGCATTTTTTTTTTCCCTTGTCCGGAAACTGGCGTTCGGAAGTTATCTTCATCTTCACTCATCACACCTTCAAATTCAGCTGCACACCCAGCCTCTCACAACAGGGCGAGCCAACGCAAGGAACCCTGCATATCAATCGCATTCCAGTAACCGAAAATGTCTGACCAGAACCAATCCGCTGCCTGGCCCTTGGCCGACGCTGCCCTGACCCAGGAGCTCCTCGACCTCGTCCAGCAGGCTTCGCACTACCGCCAGCTCAAGAAGGGTGCCAACGAGACCACCAAGACCCTCAACCGTGGTATCTCCGAGGTCGTCATCCTCGCTGCCGACACTCAGCCCCTCGCTATCCTGCTGCACTTGCCTCTGCTTGCTGAGGACAAGGTGAGACTTGCTCCCGAAAAATCCAGAAGCAGAATTCAGTCGCTGACTTGTTGTTGCAGAACGTTCCCTACGTCTTCGTCCCCTCCAAGATTGCCCTTGGCCGTGCTACCGGTGTCTCCCGCAGCGTCATTGCTGCCAGCATCACCACCAACGAGGCCTCTGACCTGATGTAAGCTGAAAAATATATGTGTGGCCACTACGGCGAGAATGGCATGGCTGACTTTTTGACTATAGGACCCAAATCCGCAGCATCAAGGACAAGATCGAGCGTCTTATGATCTAAATATAGTACTAAGCAAAGTGGAGGACGGCGTGACCTTGCACCTAGCGATCGTTGCGAATGCCCTTCGAACTTGGGAAATATAACATGAGAAGAGAAATCTTCCTGAGATCGGAAGGTCACGATTGGACAACACATTTCAGTTAGTGATTATTTTGGTTGTAGAAAATCAATGTCACAATAATCTGGATGCGCTTGAATATTGGTTTGACTGGACATCACCCAGTAATTTTATTGCATGCTTGCACCAAACCCGTGATAGTGACAAAATGGCCCGTTATGTATCTGTGCAGAATCATTATAAGAGCTCACGTGCACTCTTGATCCATTTGAGCCATGCCCGCAGTATTCTTGTAAAGGTGTCTCGACACTTGCTGTATCTCAGCTGCCAATATCCAATGTTACACTGCCTTTTGTCTCGTTCGGCATGTATATCCATTCGCCCCACCAAATCCAATGATCTCACAGTGATGCCCCACTACTTTGCGTCACCCCGCTGACCTAGCTTCAAAGACAAGCATGCAGGTGACAATAATCATAATATTAAGATGGATCGCAGCCGAGATTCGGACTGATCAACGACCTACCTGCTCGAACTTTGAGAGTATTGGCAGCAGTGCTTGGATTTACATCCAACATGCTCAGGCCTACATCTTCCATCTAAGGTAGATTAGATTCGGTCGGCCCTCTCTCTGTCTTTCCCTAGTTCTCTTTGAACGTGCGCCAACACCTACTGGGACGACGATCATGCCTTCATCCCTAGCTCGCAAGCTCTTGATCTGCGCTGCTGTGGATGGCCTCATAATTCAACCACTTGCACCCAAAGGTCAACGTGCTTCTCAGCCAGTAAAAGTCAAATATGGTGACTCGTCAGTATCATCGCTCTCGCGGGATCAGCTCCCCGATATAAGCAAACCCAACTCGACTTTTGAGGCCTTTGGCATTATTGGTATGTCTACGTCATCGAAGGCGCAATTATTTGTCTCTTTCGAGATAATGCCAGCGCATACATAGCATAGAGCGATCCCGGCTAATAGTCTTGTGTGAATCTGTAGGTCTCTTCACAGTATCCCGCCTAAGCTATCTCGTAACCATCACCGGCCGCCAACAAGTTGCCCAGATTCGGGGATATCCAGTATACGTCGTCACAGATGTCGCTCTCACGCCGTGTACTTCTCAAGCCGAGGCCGAGTCCGCTGTGAGACATACCAGCATCCAGCTTCGACGTGCTGCACAGGCAAAAGACCATAACGGCACTGACGATGAGCTGTCGGGCTCTGATACCGAGGCTGACGTTGCCTCGTTGTTGGGACATGATGAAGTGGACGAGGTGCAGAGCGATCGCGAGAGCGTGTCTGGTAGAGGAGTCAATGACTTGCATGAGAGACTTGATGAAGATGCAGGAGAGAGAGAAGGCCGAAGCTCCATTGCTGAAGACGTGATCAAGCGCAAGGGCAGCTACGGGCGGTTCGCTGAGCGCTGGTTCAGCCATCGCGGATGGGTACAAGATCAGAAGCGGAACATGGGTATTAGCGGCGCAGCAGCCCAGAGTTCAGAGGCGCCCGTAGACATGCAGGCGAAGAAGCAAGAAAAGGGAGAGAAGAAGTTGAGCAATACGGTGATCGCCGAAACAGCGAGCGACAAGGTGGGAAACGCCGTATCGACAGGTGAAAGCTTGATACCAAAGTTGTTGCGTATGGCGCATATCTGGTTTGGCACTTCTCAAAGTTTCTACTTCAGTTATGATGTGGACATAACCCGGAATCTGGAGAATCAAGGACTTTCTACTACCGGCGATATCCCACTCCATCGAGCTGCTGAGCCGCTCTTCTTTTGGAACAGACATCTTCTCCAGCCTTTTGCAGCCGCAAAAGAAGACTCACTTCTTCTACCACTCATGCAGGGGTTCGTCGGACAGCGCGAATTCACAGTAGATCGACACCCTCCGCAAACGGATAGCGACAAGGGATCGGCCGGGATGGAGATGAATGATTTCACACCTACGGCATCCGGCACTGCATCTCCGACGCCCGAGCCATCAGCTGGCAAGTCTGCCGGCCTGAGATCTACTGAAAAACAATTCTTGATCACAATAATATCGCGCCGAAGCATTAAACGGGCCGGTCTGCGATACCTCCGACGCGGCATTGACGAAGAAGGTCATGCTGCCAACAGTGTCGAGACAGAGCAGCTGCTCTCAAGTCCCGTTTGGTCAGATTCTAGAATTTTCAGCTTTGTTCAAGTCCGGGGCAGCATTCCACTCTTCTTCACGCAGTCTCCGTACAGTTTGAAGCCTGCCGCTGTGATACAGCATTCCGAGCCGGCCAATCTAAAGGCTCTCACACGGCATTTTGATCAGTTGCGCAAGCGCTATGGCGGCATACAAGTAGTGAACCTGGTAGAAAAGCATGGCGTGGAATCTGTCGTTGGAGGGGCGTTTGAGCAAAATGTGAAGAAATACAACGACGACAAGCAAGCTGATACAGAGAAGGTCAATTTCGAGTGGTTTGACTTCCATTCTGCCTGTCGGGGCATGAAGTTCGAAAATGTCAGTCTGCTGATTGACACCCTTGGTGCAGAGGTTGAGAGCTGGGGCAGCACGATACAGGACCGCCCAGATGCAAAGAACAATATTGGCGCTGGTACTTTGACATCCACACAGAAGGGAACCCTTCGTACCAACTGTATGGATTGTCTCGATCGGACAAACGTGTGTCAGAGCAGTTTTGCCAAGTACATGCTTGATTCACAGTTGAAGGACGAAGGGTTCGATATGACCATCCAGGCTGACCAAACAACGACTTGGTTCAATACTCTTTGGGCAGACAATGGCGATGCAATCAGCAAGCAATATGCTAGTACAGCCGCAATGAAGGGAGACTATACTAGAACACGAAAGAGAGACTACCGGGGTATGGTAAACGACCTCGGGCTGAGTTTGACGCGTTTCTATAATGGGTAAGTACTCGACAATTTCCCATAAAAACTCAAGCGATATTAATTCCCTTTCTAGCATGGTGAATGATTACTTTTCCCAAGCCGCCATCGACTTCCTGCTAGGCAGCGTCACTTCCATGGTCTTCGAAGAGTTTGAAGCAACAATGATGACCAAAGATCCTGCCGTATCCATGACCAAAATGCGTGAGCAGGCCATTGAAACGTCTCAAAAGATTGTTATTGAAAACCCAGACTCTGAAGACGTTATTGGTGGCTGGACGCTGTTGTCTCCGCAGCAGCCCGATACGATTAAGAGTTTCCCATTTGATGAAGTTGTACTGCTGCTCACCGATGCAGCCTTGTACGTATGCCGTTTTGACTGGAAGCTCGACAAGGTTGCCAGCTTTGAGCGGGTTGATCTCGCGGATATCGTGAGCATCAAAGTCGGAACGTACATAACCTCCACGATGTCTTCAACGCAAGCAGACGAAGAAAAGAACGTTGGATTGGTCATCACATACGAGCCTGGGAAGAACCATATTCGACGTTTCAATACAAGAACCTTGACAAGCACTGCCGGCTCTGCGCCATCTAGCAGTGATGCAAAGAGCGGTTCAGCAAATGAAGACCTGAAAGACGGCGCAGGCCCCTCTGTATCTGGTGGTATTCTCGCTCCCATCTTTGGTTCTTCGTCGCCCACCAAATCGGGCAAGCCAAGCCAAGCTCAGAAGAGAATCGCTCTCAAGGCTCTCTACGCACAGTCGTCCGAGAACGACGCTGGCGTCGCTAGGAGGGGCAGTCGTGTGCTGAGTGAGCAGGAACAGATTGAGGTGCTGGCGTCTGAGATCGAGAGGCAAGTCTTCATCGCTCAACCGCTTAATGATACCCAAGGCAATGCCGAGAAGAAAAGCATAGTAGAGCGGCAAGACATTATCAGCCTTGCTGAAGCAAGGAAGAATACTGGACTGCTAGAGACTTGGGGTCATGCTGTCAAGAAGCTGGTATGGGCGTAATTAATAGGACACATGATAGAGGAAAGGAAACAACACACTTTTGGCAACAGGTGGCCTTAGAACAAGGAGCGGATCACGACGTACACGCGCATTGATGATTTCACCGTATACATTATTACAGCATTCATACTCGCTAGCAATTCAAAGCATATTCTTCATGACTTTACTATTTTAATTTGTCTTTTCTGCCGTGGAGACGGCCCGATACAGATGCATTTGGTACCGCATGTTCTCCAGTTGTATGGGATACCGCAACTCGTCCGAGATGCGAAACCAGATGGATTCATTCTCGTCGAGTTTCTCCCACTTGCATCCGTCCTCTTGCTGCGCTTGTGCCTTGGTCTTGTCCCCGGCGTTTGATTCCGCGTCGCCGCCATCTTGATCCTGCGGCTTCTTCTTGGTCCGGCCCTCGCCGGCGCGCAGCAAAGTGTGGTCCACAAGCCAGGACATGGGGTACTTTTTCTTGTTCTTGCCGTCGCCGCCCACGGCGGCCTCGGAGTAACTCCCGGGGCTATCGACGACGAGCAGCAGACTGCCGGGCGCCAGGGTCCGGCCCAGCATGCGCAGAAACGCCGTCGTCCGCCCGATGCCGCCGCCCGTGTACAGCTCGTTCAGCGTGAAGAGGAGGGTGACGAGCACGGGTTGTTGGTCGGGCTGCTGCTGCTGCCTCTCGCCGCTGCCAGTGACGGAGAGGCTGCTCTTTAGGTCCGCGGCCGTCAGCGACAGCGCGTCCCGGTGGAGAAACGTGTACCGGAGCGTCGTGGCGTCGGCCAGGGCCCTGTTGGCCGCCTTGGCCGCCGCGCTGGCGTACTTGTAAATGGGCGGCGGTGCCGTCAGCGCCTTGTGTAGTTTGGAGATCGTGTCGGTCCAGGGCCCGGCGTCCACGAGCGTCAGGTCACCACGGACGCCTGGCGATTTCGATAGGAAGGAGACAAAGGCGGCTAGCTCGGCAGTGCCGCCGCCTAGAGCCAGGACTTTGAGGGTCTTGATGTTGCTGTTGTTGTTTGCTGGCGTGGTGGCAGTCTGCTGCTCAGATTCGGCGCCTTGATCATCGCCATTTGCGTCCTTGCACTCCTCAGACTCTGATGGTGCTACGTCCGTAGCTTCCGAGACTCCCGTGTTCGTAGACCCATTGGCCAAGGATAGATCAGCCAACCGTTCCGTCGTCTCGTCATTCCCCTCGGTTTCAACGGCAGCAGGTGTGCTCCAGGTCGTGTCATCCCCCTCAAGGGCCAATCCGTCCAACCAGTCCCTCAGACCATCGAGAACGGCCGCATAGCCCAGCGCCCTCGTCGGACTCCACCTTGCCGCATACACATCCAGATACTCCTCCCGAGCAAAGGCCTTTTCAAACTCGCGGTCGTATAGCGCCGCCTTGACCTCCTGCAGGGTCTGGGAAAAGGCGGGAGAAGACAAGACCTCGCTGTAGGCCGACTGGAAAATGGACAAGAGCTTTTGCTGCGAGGCGAGCTCCTCTGCCGACGGCGTGGCCTTGGCTGGCTGCTCCTGGGCGGCTGCCGATGCTGCAGCCTCTTGTTGCGCCTGCTTGGCCGACGACTTTGACGGCGCCTTGCTGCTGGTGAGCAAATCCCTATCGGCACGCTTGTTGGTGCCTTTTTTCTGTTTACCTGGCATGGCTGTGTTATCCTGGGCCACTCTATCAAGAATGCCCAATCTTGTTTCGGAGGAGTCAAACGTCTCCTTGAGGATTTTTTCTTCCCTTTGTTGGAACTCTTTGCTTGGCTGTTGGACGAAGTATAAAAAATAATTCGGACATGCGATTTGAGTGTCCGGAATTAAGGATTCAAAGGTGCACAATGGATATTTAGCTTGACAAGATAGAAGTCAGTACATACAGGCAGGCCAAGGGCGCACACAGATTTGGTAATCAAATCTATGATACAAACACGGTCCTTTGATGCATTTATCGGGTGCACAATGAGCTTGGCAGAATAATAATCATGAATATATATATCTGTAATTTTTCGCAAAGGAATATCGATGGCATCAGGAGCCATCTAATAAGGTGGACAGGAGCCAAAACAACTCTTGATTCTCTCTCTAAACGAAACAATCCCCAGAGAAGCAGAGGATATATCAAAATTACCCTCGTGTTAAAGGCGTGAATTCATAATGACTCAAGCCTGATTATCCCAATGCAATATTTGTCTACACTTGGGTTTGGTTTTGTGTATCACGAAGAGAAGTGAATATCAGCGCCAAGAGCAAAATCGATTTGAATTCCGAATAATCATATTAGAGTAATACTACAGGGACTCAGCCATGATCAAGGTCTATGGATATCAACTATTCTCACAGCATGTATTTGAAATGTAACCTCTACTGATTCCCGAAATCTCCTAGACATTCAAAACGATGTCTTGAATTCGGGCGCCCAGCAACGTGTCCATAGTTTAATCTTTGCCATGTTGAAAATACTCGCAGCAACAGAGAAATGCTGCGAATAGTAGATTACGCCGAAGCGTAACATGGCATGTAAATGATGTGTGCATTAGGTCGTTCACGTTGGGGAAATCTCGATTCGAAAAGCATGGGAAAGGCGTCAACAGTGTCTATTGATTTCATGTCAGTATTACCGATGATGAGCCTTCAATCACCGGCTCGATATGGAAAGACGTCAATGTTGAACCACGGACGCTTCTTGCTTGAATGTTCGTTCATTCGCACGGCAGCGCTCACACCACGCTTCAAGATACCTTTGGAGCACTAGTGAAGGAGGCTTGAATCTGCCACATTACTTGCTTCTCCACGGCCGGTTGTCTTGACCGCGCTTCGACTATTTCTTGGCCGACCGTGGCATTGCAGCGGACCAGTGCCGTTGGTACCCTTGCATCACGAGATGGTGATAAATCAGCGACTCGGCCTCAGGGCGCTACGGCTGGTCACGTCACTGCACCGTTGAGTGGAGAGCATGCTGCAAACAAGCCCGTACACACAAAGGCTGTGCGCAGCTCATGTGTTCAGAGAACAGATCTTGCATGGATAGACCCAACAAACTCTTCAATACCTAAAGAGATAGTTGTTAGCACGATATTACATCGTGAATCATAAAATACACTGAAAATAGAAACATTTCAGACAGATTGAGAAGATTGGTTGTATGCGGGTGTTTTCGGCACTGAGTTTCAAAGCGCAAGACTCCTACTCCTCTTCGCTGGCCCCCGCATATCTCATCATTTGGGTGACACGGACAAGGAAGAATGCGAGGGCTTACCTTTGAACAGAGGGGTAATGATCTATACATAGCGCCACCCTTATATGTTGCGTTATACGTACGCTGATAATGATGATGATTCTGGACGTCGAGAGACCGACGGAGCATCTCAAGTATCCGGCTGGATCTTGCGGCGCTTGTCTCGCATGGCTCTGAGTTTGGACTTGTCTTCCTCGAACCGCCTAAGAAACTGAGCCTGTTCGGCCTTCTTCTTCTCGCGAAGCTGGAAGCGGTAGAAGTTCTGGGTCTCGTCCTTCTTCTTTTGCTGTCTCTCCAGCATCTTGCGCTTCGCTTCTTCTGCTTCCTCCTGTCTGGCAGGGGCGGTACGGCCACCTCTGGTGACAGTGACGAAGCCGTCCTCATCGGGCATGTTCTGCATCGCCTTGGCCAGCTGAGCAGCCTCGACTTCCTTCCTGTTGTACACGGTGAAGTAGGCGTCGACCATGTCTTGCATGGCATCATTGCCAGGATAGCAGAGCTTGTTGTGCACCTTGAGCCACTGGGAGCCCAGGGCTGGGACCTTGTCCGCAACTCCTTCGCCCCAAACGGGGAACTTCTTGGACTTTTGAGTCTTCTTCACGGCCTTGAGGACAAGGTCGACGCTCTTCTCGTCGGCAAGTAGGACGACAGCTGTGCTGCCGCTGCGACGTAGAGGCCTAGACCAGATGGCAGGCAATTGCGCAGCTGCTTCATCCTTTTTGTTCTGGGCTTCTTGCTCCTCTCTCTTTCGCTTGCCGAGTGCGGCCAGCCGGACAGCTTGTCCAGGTTCGTGGGATGTCTTGGCAGCCTTTGCCTCCTGCTCGAAAGTAATGGCCTCGAACTTGCCGGCGCCTACCAAGCTGGTGAAGACGGCTCGAAAATGAGCCTCGGTGCTGTCTGTCGGGACATTGACCAAGAAGAGACTGCGGGTGTCGTCCTTGGTAATGATCTTTGCATTTCTGCGCAGATAGACGGAATGGGTGGCCGGGATGGGCAAGGACGGAAGGGGAGGAATCGAGAGGGTCAGGACTGAAAAGTCATCTTGTCCTGTTGGTTCAGCCATGATTCCGTGACTTACTATAGTCACTGAATATCAAGGCTGCAGAATGCCTCATTGAGCAAGCTTCTGTGTAATGTGCACAGTGAACTTGTGAGGAAGAAAATACCCAAAGGTGTCAGCCACGAGAAGGAAAAAGTTTTGAAGCTCCAGGTCGAGGTGAAAAAAAGTTTAGGTGGGGGCATTTCGCGGCCAAAAGTTGTGCATGCGCCGACTCGATAAGCTTTATATGGCCCGTGCACACTACCTATGCATTAGGTTAGCGCCCGCCTATCAATGATGCACTACAAACGAAGGTTTAGCAGCTTTTATTTGAGTCGCAGACGGTAAATAAAGCAAAACAGTCGTAAAATTAAACGACTTGTGCAGATCATAAGCCACTCCGACCCGTGTGTCAGCTTTACATATTGCCTATTGTATACTCACTGAAATTTGTATAGGCAATTGTTTACATGTAGATTGAGCCACGTCGGATTGTTCAAATATTGTATAGTCTTATCAACCCTGTACTGAGCCAAGATGAGGAATAGGCCAGACCAAGGATCGTACAGTACCTCCCTCCCTAGTAGGACAGGGTTTGGGCTCCGCGGAGACCATTGATATGCAACCCTTATTAGCTCATTACTCCCAGCATCACATTAGAGGCGGGCTTGGTCAAGAGTCAACATAACAGACTTGCATCGCGGACCGCGCTTCCAGGTCCCAACGCCATCAGAGATTTCTCCGAGACCAGCTCACGATGACCCTCGTAGGGAATTTGCGGCAATTCATTTCAGGGACAAGGAAAGATGCTTCGTCCAAGCCTCCGATTCTGCTATCCTGGCGGTCATCAAAGTTCTTCATCGTGACCACCGTCTGTTTGGCTTTATTCACTGATATATTCTATTATGCTTTGATTGTACCCGTGATCCCCTTCTCTCTGACTGTTCAAGTTGGTATCGCCGAGGAACAAGTCCAGTATGTATCCGCCTTCCCATATTTACCCTACAAAGATTTTGCAAATCTGGTGCAATCCCTAAAATTATAATGACGTCCACTTCTTGGTGTAACCTAACAACACTGCCAATTTGCTAATTCTACGACACTCGAAGATCATGGACCTCTATTCTACTGGCATGCTATAGTGCTGCCCTATTTGTGAGTAGTCCATTAGCGGGTATCTATGCCGACCACACTTCCTCGAGAAGATGGCCCTTACTCCTGGGACTTCTGGCTCTGGCCGCATCAACCTTGCTGCTCTGCTTCGGGACCAGTATCGGCCTCCTGGTCCTGGGCAGGTTGCTACAGGGTCTGAGTGCTGGTATTGTCTGGAGCGTCGGCTGTGCGCTTCTAGTTGATACCATGGAAGATGCTGTTGGTATGGCCATGGGCTATGTGGCCACCTCCATGTCCGTTGCATTACTGATTGCACCGACTGTCGGCGGTGCTGTATATGCAGCAGCTGGATACTATGCTGTTTGTAAGTGCACCAGGGTTATTGTGCATCTCTGCTTATACCACCGTCACGCTAAGCTCACTGGCATTGGGGATATCTCTCGACATGGAGGGCATCTGTCAAGTTGACACTGATGCTCATCAATTTGAATAATTCAAGGCGCCTCGAAAGACTGACATTTGTATCTGCTAGACTATATCGCATTTGGCGTTGTGCTTGTTGATATTTTGCTACGACTTCTCATGATAGAGAAAAAGGTGGCAAAGCAATGGTTGGCACCAGTAGTCTCTGAGAGTACCCCAAATGCTGGAACGGACGTCGAGAAAACAGCGGCTACTGCTTCTCAAAGAGGAAATCAAGAGGACCATCAGGCGCCAGCTGACACACGGCTCATTCCTGCGCAAGCAAACATGGCCACAGGGGCGCTTCCGGATTCTGCAGATCAGAGCGGTGCCTTGGCACGCCATGCCACGGGCTCTGAACGCTCGTACTTGAGATCAAAGCCGATTTGGGTGCTCTTGAAGTCACCTCGACTGCTTGCCGCCCTATATGCTATTCTAGTCCAAGCAGGCATCATGTAAGAGCCCTCGTGGAGTTTTCATTTTTGAACATCAATGCTAACGCTTGTGGCAGGATGGGCTTTGACGCTGTTCTTGCACTGTTTGTGCAGTCGACATTTCACTGGAATTCTATAGCGGCAGGTCTCATGTTTATCGCCATCTTTTTACCCGGCTTCATCTCACCACTGGTCGGCTGGCTGGCTGACAAATACGGGGCCAAATGGCTGTCTTTTGCTGGATACGTGGCCACGATCCCACCCGTCATCTGCCTACGATTTGTCACAGAGGACACGATTGGACACAAGGTCCTGCTGACTGTCCTGCTTGCGATTATAGGTGTTTCCCTGTCTTTCAGCAATACGCCCTTGATGGCAGAGATCACATATGTGATCATGGAAAAGGCCGAGGCTAACCCAGGCATATTTGGAGAGAAAGGCGCGTACGGCATAGGCTACGGGCTCTTCACCATGGCCTTTGCCGCGGGGGGTGTGGTTGGGCCGCTATGGGCAGGATATGTCAACGACAATGCTGGTTGGGGTACGGCGATGTGGTCACTTGGTGTCTGGGCAGCATCCGGTGCGGCGGTCGTGGTCATTTGGCTGGGCAGCAAATCGCCGCAGAAGCAAGATAACAGACCACCAGCCGCCGCGGAAGGAGGACGCGAGGCTACTGCCCCTCCTGTTGTAGAAGGAGTATGATTCGTTGCCGGCGTCTGGTTCCTCTGAATAGTATCCGACAAATGGAGGAATCGCATTCAGTCTCGTCAAAATCTGGATGCTTTGTGCTATCGTTGCCCACTTCTGAGAACGGAGGTCCACCAATCAATCACACATTTTCAGCCGAAATGTACTACCGACATGGATCCGAGTCGATGTCGGTTTCAAAGCACAAGAACAACCGACCATGACCCAATAGAGAGGTTTGGTGGTAGATGCGACTTGTCATGGGCCTAGGTTCCCTGGGCACCTATTATAGTCTAAGGCCATCGCCACCGGCTCATTATGCACGAGTGCGTTTAGAGAGGGAGATATTCCATTCAATACAATACACGGCTCAAGTTTGTTGTAAGATAATAATTCCTACTTAAGTTGAGTCTAATCTGTCATGGTATTAGGTGCGTCTAAACAACAATACTTCAACAACCAGCAGTTGGGTCGGCGACGACACAACTCACGATGGGGTCCGATGGTGTAGTTGGTTATCACGTCAGTCTAACACACTGAAGGTCGGCGGATCGAGCCCGCCTCGGATCATTATTTTGCCCTTCTCAAGGGATTTCCTTTTTTTATCTCGCCTTGAGTCATTTTCTTCTTCCCCCGCATAAATGGTTGCGACATGGCACCACTATATTTCTTTTTCGACGATCTATTGTATATGCTTAAACTGTGTCGATCACTGCAGAAGACTTTGAATCGATGACCGAAAAACACTCAACTGGTGTGCCACTCGGTATGTCTACGTTGCATGGGTGAATCGTGACAATCTTACCGTGCCAAGAGGACTTGTGATAGGCTGGGTCTGGTATGACTTGTGTAATTCTTCTTCCTTTTTTAAGTTAAATCTGACCTATGCGGGAGCGGGATGGAAAAGCAACTCATTACAAAATTGATGAGTAAACACCCAAGACAACTCCAGCAAACCTCTTGTATCCAATTTCGCAGATGACCAGCTTAAGGTTGGACTCGGGCTATCCGCTATTTGGCGCGGACGTAATTTTACATCGACTTGTGCGGATGGGGGCGATGGTAGCTGACTGGTAGCATGCTGTTAAACGTGAAATGGTTAGGGATTGAAAGTGTATGCCAATGTCACCAAATGCAGATGGGATTATGATCCTTGACATTGACGGTAGGTGCGGCCCGGTAGTTTGTGATACCACCGCAAAACATGCCATGAGAACCGTGATACAAAGAAAAGGAAAAGGTGGGCGTCGATGCTGACATTGGCACTTGATCTCGAGGCTATATGCTTGTCCTACTATAGAGCGGAATGGACCGAAAAAAATGTGTGTCAGATGCGATCCCGTGGTAAACCCAGAAAAAGAATCCCGAATGTATGGACGTTCCGAAATCGTCCACGTCTGTGGCGTCCAGAACGGGTAGCCGACATGATCAAGGAAAAAAAAGTTGATAGACACTTGGAAATGATGCTCGTGTATTAGGTTGCAACTGCAAAAAGCGCTCCTATTCGCTTATGGTCTGAAGCAGGGCGTTTAAGTGAGGCGGGCACTCGAACGTGTGGACACCTGTCGAAAGAAAGTCGGCGCACCTAGGCTGGAGTGCATGGCATGGAATTCGACCTGCCGAGCCTTCTGGCGGTGAATGACTTACCGGATTCGTCTTATAATGGAAGAAAAGGGATCCATGAATAACCGCTGTGGTTTGACTTCCATTAACCAAGTCTTGCCCTTACTTAAGTTGTCGACATGTGCCACAACCAGCGGGTCCAGGATTGACATTGATCGTCTTTTGGCCTGTCCAAGATATTTCCTCATACTTTGTAATGTCGTCTGCACCTGTCAACCGGTACTGGATACCACATATCGATATACACAAAAGAGTAATCACACAAGAGCTCCAGTTTTACCTTGGCCCAGATGCAACGGGTAAGTTTTGTGTCCTCTGTGGAACGTATATCCTACGAAGCAATGTCTAACCTATTCCAACATAAAAGTATCTATTACTGACTTCTTATGGACGAGCTAGTAAGGCCATTTACCCGAGACGGCGAGGACGGATACCTCATAACAACCCCGGGTGCTTGCTTGAGTGATGTGGGTTTTCTTTGGCTCGATGACTAGGGTCCGCGCATCTAAACCCAAAGCCAACCAGGAACAAATCAATGACATCTGTTTGAAGTCAAAAGAAATATGGGACAAGGCGGCTGCAGCCAAGGCAGCATCAAACCCCGAGAAGCAGTTGAAGCGGCCACTTCATCAACCGATTCTGATCTCTTCTGGCGACGGATCCGGACGCAGAAACAGTGAACGGAGAAGATCCGAGGCTCACAGGCCGTATAGTGACAGGCGCCGGAGTCACACATCTCAAAGGTGATTGTTGCTGTGCTTGGTGAACATCGACAGCACATATCAGGCTATACCATGGTACACGATTCGGCCAGCGCAATAGAGTACATCGAGGAGGAATGGCCGACTGTTTTGGATTTCAAGACATCTGACGAATACGGAGAACACCGCGTTATGTGCCTCATGTGATTGGATATTCCAAGGTCGAGTTTTGCGTGGGTATCGGTTCGTCCAGAGAGAAGATGCCATCTGGCGCGGCTGATCGCCTGCCTGTGGAGACAATATCTTGTAGAAGCTGCATAGTCGATCGATGGCTATGCATGCACTGCAGCGCTCAGAATTTGGCACAGCAGACACCAATGAAGCATTTCTGGTTACATCCAAACTTGATTGGTTGCATATGCGACTTTCGCCATCGCTAGCGCCTCGACTTTTCTGCATTCGTGTCGATTTGTCGCAAGTACCAAATTTCTGAAGCACAGCTCTGGCTAGCGGCGATATACTCGATGTTATCATGAATGTCAAAACCAATCGCCTAGCGGCAACAGGCTCATGGGCGGACACTGTCCAAGGCACAATGACTAACTTATGGGTAGATGACCATAACGAGCACCGCCCACATAATAATAATAATGCGACTGCGTCGGAGATGCAGATCGAAAGAGGGCCTAGTCACGACACCCAGATACAGGGTAAAGCTCTGGGTCAGAGTAATGACTCCTCTGCAGCACGAAATGCCATGACACCAGGAAATATATTGTTGTTGTCAATCTGTCGATGTCAGTGCTTTTGTATTGTTTGCTTTGGGGCGTCGAGAGGCCTGTTGGTATTAAGATGCGGATGGACAAGAGCAAGTGTAGAGTTTCGGACGAGCCGAGGACCAAGTATTTGTGACAAGTTTGACAATATAAAACGTGGTTTTCGGAGCCAACTTAATTTCCGATGGTGAGATCTCTTGAGAAATTGTCAGCAGAAGTCGAGTTGTTGAAGACCGTGAATAGTGTGCCGATTGAGTGAATAATCACAAAGATGTCTTAGTCATCGACTTTGTGTACGCCGCAACGTCAAGGTCTTGGGCAGACCAAAGAAGCAATGCCTGGACACCAACGTGTGCTCCTGGTGATGGATGGATCTCGCGATCTCGAGCTTTCGTCCTGACGGATGTGATGTAACCCAAGACGTGCACCCACTGGCCAATATCGGTCTGACCTTTGCCTATATTTTCCAGCACAAGCTTCACATCCACTGTGGCTCTCACGGAGCGAGAGGAGGGAAAGTTGTGGCTGAGCGTCAAAGTCCCGGTTTGTACAGCATAAGAGTCTACACTTGAGCCGTGTTAGTGAGCTTACTTAGGATCTGTTAAATATTTCAAAAAGAAACAGGAGAAGAAAAAAAGGAAAAAAAAAAAGAGACACACTCGCGTCTTCGTATGCCAAGATTGAAACCTGCCGCTTTCTTACTCACCATCCGAGAAATCTTACTTTATCTCCAATTTCTTGTGTGGGAAGATCCGAGAGTAGGCAGCGTTTTGATGGCAGAGGGCCTTTCGACATGGTTGACGGAGGCAAGGCATGCGCGCAGGTTATGCCGCAACACCAATGTCATAGAGAGCAAAATTAACAATAATTTGGCACACAGGATCTTGTCCCAAAGGAGGTCATATATATCATGTGAAAAAAAGCGGCCTCTTGATTGCAAGTACACCTGGACAGGTGTTCCGTGTGGAAGCTCTCACATGGCGATTCTTTCATACTGGCTGCTGAACGCCAGCTGCGCCACAGTTGCCCAGGTCAACATGCGACCAATCGCCAGCTGGATCCCAACTCTGCCTGTATCAGCCGAGCCGCAGCTGCTGGAAGCCGACCGACTGGGAGGGAAGTCTTGCATCATACCCACCCTACTACCTACCTAACCTAAGGCCGATATCTCGCCCAGGCTTCAGTCTTTGACCCTCATCAGACGAGAGAACGATTACGACGACAGCAGCCGCTTGCAGCGATAATCTACGTGCCTAATAACTATTTTCGCATCAACCAACACTTGCAATCCCAGTACCCCGGCACTGACGACGCCCCTTTGTCGCTCTGCTCAACGACCCTCCAGGTACCCCGCCATCCATATCGAGTACCTCAGGGCCTATCTTCAGACGGCGCATTTCGCATTAGCAGCGTCACCGATAACAATTTTCTTCCCGACTATCAACATCTCCCATTCGTACGCACTATCTCGCTCATCTCTGCAGATCATCAACATCCAACATGTCTGGCGTCTGGGGCTGGTTTGGAGGCGGCGCGGCCCAGAAGAAGAAGGATAGCCCCAAAAATGCCATCCTAGGCCTACGATCGCAACTCGATATGCTGCAGAAGCGGGAGAAGCACCTGACGACGCAGATGGAGGAGCAAGACTCGATCGCACGAAAGTATGTCAACACAAATAAGAATGGTAGGTTCGCTCAGAGGATGAATTATCTTAGCCTGCACTGACACGGATGGATTTCATAGCGGCAAAGGCTGCGCTCAAGCGGAAGAAGGCACATGAGCACAGTCTGGAACAAACGACGGCACAAATTGGAACCCTGGAGCAGCAAATCAACGCCATCGAATCCGCCAACATTAACCGCGAGACCCTTGCCGCCATGCAAAAGGCTGGTGAGGCCATGAAGAGCATCCACGGCAAACTCACACCCGAGGCAGTGGACGAGACCATGTATGGAAATGATATATCTCCGTTCCCTTATTGCATCTCCTATACTAACAGGTCTGGACAGGGCTCAACTTCAAGAGCAGAATGCGCTGAGCGAAGAAATCGTCAATGCCATTACCAGCAACCAAATCGGAGAACCCATCGACGAGGACGAACTCGACAACGAGCTGGAGGCTATGCAACAGGAACAGCTGGACGAGCAGATGCTCAGAACTGGCACAGTCCCAGTATCGGATTCTATCCATCGGCTGCCAACTGTTGCAAATGGAAAGAGTAAGTATTTGGGCAAAGGCTGCAAAGCAAGCACAATGCTAACGGACAATAACAGTCGAGACTCCTGCGGCCGAGGAAGACGACGAGGAGGCCGAGCTCAGGAAGTTGCAAGCAGAGATGGCCATGTAGTTGCGCTGCAACTTGTTCCCGCACTGCTCTTAATCAGCTGATGATAGCATCGCGGGTACGGGCTTGGCTTGGCTTGGGAGGTAGTCCATCGTTGAGGCTAGCATACGATGTTGTTCTTTTCAGCCTCCCAAGTTGTGCTGAATGACGCACGTCATATCATCTACCTGAGTTTTTCTCCCTTTGGCGTAGGAGTTGGTACGTTTTGGGTGTTGCATTTGAATGTCACAGTTACCGGGGGCTCACAACATTTTTTGTTTGTTATTGATTTGAATGCGGTATCCTTGCTAGATCATTCGGCCCGCTCACCGACAATATAATCCTGTTTGCGTGCTTAATATCCTCTTTGGTTTCCCTGACGATAGTCCATGTGAGACAAGTTCAGCCAGATCTGTTCGCACGCCAGGGACAGGATGGATCAACAAGATGGCCCTTGGATGAGATAGCTGCAAATCGTTGGTTTTGTATTCCACACACACACCGCCAAAGCTGCTTGGGCTGTTGGGCAGGCCCACACTCGATAATGGCGAGGAATGACTCGATCTTTGCTGGCTCCAAGATCTTAGTGCCTCGGATGTGGCTTATTGCGGTAAAAGAGGCTCAAATTGCTTGCGTCAGCCGACATTGTCGTAGGCCAAACACACGAGGCTGGGGACAATAGGAAGAAAAAAAATATCTCCACATTTGAACAGGGTCCAAGACAATGTTCTTTGATCCAAAACTGGTCGTGGGTGGTGATAGCACGGATTAGTGTATTGGGCAAGCACTTACTAGCTGATCTGACCCTTGGTGTGTTGTACAAGGCTTCCACCACATGGCCGAATTCAGGATTGTAGCAACAGCTTCTTATAATATGGTCATATAAGGCTGCTATCGATACGCACTGTTCACTGTTGGCACAAAGATAACGTGGATATCTGGGGGTCATGTATGCCACGCAGAGCAACCTATCCCAAACCCCCTTCCCCAGATGATGTTATGCCCACCATGTGTGGAATTGATGCGGGTCTAAGCAAATTTCCAAGAATAGCTGTCTAGATGATGAGAAAAAGAAGGTATCCAACATGATTGAATTTGGGTAGCGGTATAGAATCATGTTTATTCAAGACGAGCCTAATACGATGCTAAAAAATTGAGGGATTTGAGATAGGATACCAAGGTAGTTATGGAAGCCCAAGCGGGAATAGAAGGACCAACAAGAACCAACCTCGCCCATATTAATGAGAGAGTTTGTTTTGGACGCTATAAAGACTAGCACGCCAGCTGTTTACATTCAAGTGCGCAACCACTTTAGGTATCTAGATATGTACATTACCTGAAAAGAGTTTAAGACATTATTCTTGCCTTTCTATATTTGGGGGAGTGAACTGCATTCTTTTGATACGAGGTTTCATGTTACTGCCATATGTAAGCACTCGAGTTGTCGTCCTTGTGTAACAATGACTTAGAGCCTGGACTTCTGGGGAAGTGAATTATGGCCGGCCCTGTCGAGCGGGACTACCTAGGTCGGGTATCTACACTGAGAAACCGAGATTGGATTCTGCTATCTCAACAAATTTATCACTGCATATTCGAATATATGAAGAACAAGTCATGACAAGAAAGAAAAGCCGGATTCAGCACTCGATCCATCTATTGTGTGTATCCTGCGATGGTCGCCCCATATCGGGGTGCATAGGTGCATCCTGTGCATCAGTGGCAGGCCTCCGCAGGCCCGGCGCAGCGTTTTGGCAGGGGTCGGCCCAGAAGCGAAGCCCAACAAGCTCGACCACGTAGCACACGATGTAGACAAAACGCTCGCGGCCATGCACCTTCTTGCTGCCGCGGACGGCAAAGGGCCCCGGACTAGCTGCGAATCAGTCAAGTCAGGAACAGCCGAGCGATTTCTGAAGAGGCAAGAATCCGTTTAATTTCTGTCTCTTGTGGCGAAGGAGGGTTGCTTGAGGCCCAACATTCCTCGTTGGGAAGTACGTATTCCAACCTCTATTGATTGATGGATACTGTACAAACCATGTGGTAGGTACGCGATACTCCATCTACGCGTGGGTGTTCCAGTCAACCGGTATGCACATAGTCAGTCCATCTAGTAGTCGTCTCTGTCCACTCTCTCGTCAGCAGCTTAACCGAACATCAACCAATTTTGGTATCAAAGAGTTTCGAGCCCGCATCACGCGGCCCGTCACGTCAGCGATGCATCTGCTGTCAAACATCAGACTGCTCTTTACCTGTACCGTCTTCTGCGCGCCCGCACACGTCTTTGTGCAATTGGCCTATCCCATGGCGGCCGTCCTGCAGTCTTTGCTACAAACATACAGTTGGGCCGCTATCTCTGTGCTATCTGGCATCAGCTTCCCTGCCGAGACCGTCGTCGATGTGCTTCATCATACTCACTCAGCCAGCCCAAGTAAAAGTACCGGTCCGGCTCACTTGCTACCTACCTACCGTTGACCTACACCTACCTGCCTTGGTCCAACCAAACCAACCTCTTTGCAACGTGGCGCCAGTGCGTCCAAGTCTGCCCAATAATGCTCAAGCACGAATAGTGATCACAAGAACTTCACTTCGATCTCTAGGACGCGCCGTCTCCACGTCGTGGGGCACCTCGCAGCAGCTACTGTATTACTCCCAATATCTTGTTGCCGTTTCTGGTTCGTATCAACATCGATCTCCGGGACTGGTGGAACCTCCGTCGCATAGCTCGGGACGTCATTCGGATCGTTCCACAGGTAGCAGCAGCAGCAGCAGCAAGACCCTTTATGTCCAATGCCAGAAATAATTTATGTCCATGTCGCTTTGAACTTCTATTCAATTGATTCTCAATAATACACCACCACTTACAAACAAGAATTATTACCGTATCCCCCCATCGTTTACTTGCTCCTTACCCCCCCATTTGCACTGCTTTTGTCTCTGCTGTGCATATTCTCGATACCCTTTCTGCGTGATCGTGGAAACCAGATACCTTGCCCCGTCCAATCATAACCTTAATCGTGAGCATCATTCCTGCGGCCTGCCGGTGCCGGAGTTTGCTTGCATCAACCTCTTGAATGGCAGAAGAGAATAAGACCATCAATCCTCAGGACAACCCTCGCGAGCAATCCTCCGTTGGCCCATTGAGTGAGGACCAGACAGTATGAACGACTCAAATGGGGTGACCGTTTGCCCTATTCGGCACGATCCCTTCACACATGTCCAGTATGCCGACTTTTCCCAGGTCCAGTATTTGCAAATCGTCAATTCCGAGGATGAGGAGGCTCAACTGAATGAATGTACGTAGCGCACCTAGCAGCAACAATTCATGAATGTCAAGCACATGCTGACAACCTACTAGTCGAGGATGAAGAAGAACTAGATGATGATGATGATGCCTACGACGTAGGCGAAGGCTCATCTGCTGCAGCAGAGGCCGAATCGTCCAAGGGTCCACCTACCGGACCAACATTGCCGGAGCAAGGTGGAGATCTAGACATCGACGACGAATGGCCGGAGCCCGCTGCCGACGCAGCGCCGCGGAGTCCGGGTAAGAGGAAGACCCGCAAAGATAAGAAAAAGAAATCCAAGCATGCTTCAGTGGATGAGAATACTCCAGCGAAAGAGGAGTGCACTGTGAATGCGACTGATACACAGGAAACTACGAAATCTTCACCGACTGAAGATCCTCCTGAGAGTTCGTCCAGCAAGAAGTCAAAGAAGGCCAAAAAGCATGCCAAGAAAGCTGCCCAGAAGGAGAAGGCTGACAAGGCAAAGTCTGCGACAAATGGCAAGAATAAGAAGAGTGTTTCTTTTGCAGATCCTCCGACTGTCGAAAAGGAGGAGACTCCTCAAACATCGGAGAAATCAGACGAAGCCGTACCGGCTGATGAAGCTGCGGCAGAAGCAACCAGTGGCGCCGAAAAGTCAACTCCAGAGCCTTCATCGACAGAAGTAGAAGCTACTGAGGCTGCTCCTGATGCGCCGACTGAGTCAGTGCCGGAGGAACAGCCTTCAGCAGCAGAGACTACTGAGGGAAGCAAGGAAGCTGAGGCACCATCAGAGGCACCATCCGAGGCACCAGCAGAAGCACCAGCAGAAGCACCAGCAGAAGCACCAGCAGAAGCACCAGCAGAAGCACCAGCAGAGGCACCTGCTGGGGCGGGCTCTGGCGCGGAGGCCAAGTCAGACGACCCAGAGCCAAACGCAGGGCCTGCAAAGGAAGTCGACAATGTTAAGCCAGAGGATACGCCCACTGCACCAAGCGATGAGGCCCCCGTCGAAAGCGCGAGTACTGACTCTCCGACGCCGGAGCCGTCTGCCGAAGATGCAGCTCCAACAGCACCTGAACCGGCCGATGAGCCTGTGGCAGAACCAACTACAGGTGATACTGCAGAAAAGCCTGCTGAATCAGAATCAAAAACTGAATCGGCTCCTGAGGCTGAGCCCGAGACGAAGCCCGATCCGGAGCTGGGAGCTGTTTCGTCGGGAGCTGAAGAAGCAGAGACACCAGAGACCACCACTAATGACAATGCCGGCGAAACTTCCAAGGACGACGCACCACCTGAGGAAGCTGATGAGTCGAGTGATCAACCTAACGTGGCAGTAGAAACTCTGAATTCGACTGCAGCGGATAAAAAGCCAACTGAAGAGAAGACTGAGCCTGCAGAGTATACTGAAGCGCCGACTGTGAGTAAAAAAATAAATAAAGATATGATACATTTTATGCGGGAGAGATTCAACTAACATTTCTTTTTGAAGGCTGCCGAGGACGAGACAAAGACTGGCGAGAATATCTCTGAACTCAGCAGTGAGGCCGCTGAGGCGTCTTTAAAGTCTGAAGAGAGTAGCAATCTTCCACAGGTGCGTTGATATGGAGTCTTGATGACCTTGTTTCCGTATACTCCAAGCTTGCCCGCTCTTTATTGTCCTGTCAACCCCATTCGAAGACTTTGACTAACTATTTATCAGATGGCAGAAGATGAGCCCCAGCCCAACGTCGAGGAAGGGAAAGAGGAAGCGACCGAAGCCAGCAAAAGCAATGATGCTAATGAGACCAATGCCGAGCCAGATGTCTCCGAATCTGACAAAGTTGTCGCCGAAGGCGCTGCTCAGACCCCTGCTGAGACATCCGACGCACCTGGTGAAGAAGCCGACGAGTCAAAGGAATCCGAAGCTACAGAAAGCAGGTAAGTTGTTCTTGGAAGAAAATCGAATAAAACAGCCAAATTCATCTAATTGTCTTGGCTTCTGATAATGACATATTCGCATTTGTTGTTACAATGCCTCTGGATACGCTAACCATTATCCTGTAGTGCTGCTCCTCCACCCGAAGTAAAGGAATCGGTTGTCGAAGATACTTCGCGAGCTGAAGACACCGCATCAGCTCCCGAGATCGCTACCTCGGAAAAGGAGGAAGTTCAGGAATCACCAACACCAAGCGGGCCCAATGACGTGGCTAAGCCTGAGGAGAGCAATATCATCGAAGCAGAAACTGCTGAAAATAAGTCCAACGACACGGATTCCACAGAAAGGGGCGCAGTAGATGTAGCTCCTGCGGACGAGGCCGTCTCTGATGCGCCTAGCTTGTCTGAAGACAAGGCCGAAGATCAAACAAGTACTGCGGGAAATGCCGACAGCGCTGCCCAAGTCGTGAAAGAACAGACCTCACTGGAACCGTCTGATGATATTGGAAATGAGGAGCCTTCCTCCGCCGAAGAGAAGCCTGAAAGCGAGATCAAGAGCGAAGCATCCTCCCCTGAATCGCAGGATTCCGCGAATGCGAAGGCTGAGGCTGAGGCTGAGGCTGTCAAAGATGAAACCACAAGCGGCACTGATGCAGCTGGTGAGATTGATTCCCCGACGCCAGCTGAGACCAGCGTCGACGACGAGGCACCTCAAAGTGAGGAGGCTCCGGTCGAGACTGAAACCCCAGCAGACAATAGCGTAGAAGCGGATGAAAAGGCATCCACGTCTACAGCTACAGAAGCTGCCACCCCGGCTCCTGCGACGGACGAAGAAGCCGCACCCACTGAGCCCGAAGCTGAAGCCAGTGGGAAAGGTGGCAGCGAAGACGTGACTGAGCCCGCCGAGGCGGTGGCAGCTACTGTAGTACCTGACGACAATGATGCAGAGACGCAGCCGGAGCCCTCAGACCACGCTACTGTCGACGAAGAGAAGCCTCAACCTGAGGCAGAACCGTCTGAGAGTGCCGACAAAGCGGTGCTTGCCGCCACCCAGGAAGCCACAACGAGTGATATCGACGAGACAAGCGAGACCAAAGACACCGGTGCGACTGAAGTTATCACTGAGGCGACGTCTCCGGAAACGGCTGTCCTAGAGGCTGAAGCGGCTGCCGAAGCAAAAGATGCCGCGCCTGCTGACAACGAGGTCGAGCAAACTGCTGCTGCTGCTGATGACAACACTCCAAAGGATACCGAAGCAGTCACAGCCGAAGACGAGAAGCCGATCGATGTTATCTCGCCAGGTGATGAGGAACCTGCATCTGAGAAACCGATTGCGACAAGCAATGTTGTAGACAACTCCGTTGCCGCGGAGGCTTCTGAAGAAAGCGTGACTGATGCTACTCCTGGAGTTTCCGGTGAAGCTGAGCCTTTGAAGGAAGACCAGGAAGATGCGGCACCAGCCATGACTGGAGAGCCTGAGCAAGAGAAGGAAATTTCATCATCGGCAGAGGATATCGCAGATGCCCCACCAGAACCCAAGGATGTTGATGTTGAGGCACCACTAGGTAAATACTCCAGAGCATATCTATGCGAATACTGTGATGATATATATTTTGCTAATGTTGCCCGTTTTACACAGCAGACAATGCGGAACCCGAATCGACTGCTGCTGGAGTCGATGACAAGGACGCCACAGCCACTGAAGCTTCTGAGATCGAGACTCAAAAGCCAGAAGACTCTGCGAATGCAGAAGTCTCAGAGACCGCCGATACCGTTTCGAACGAGGAGAACAGTCATAAAGAGGAGGCTGCGGCACCTGAACCTGAGACAGCACCTACCGAAGAGAATGAGGAAGTGAGGTAAGTCAGAACAAGTTGATGAATAGGAGACATATTTTAGGCGCATACTTACCACAGCGCCTACCTAGTCAATCGACACTTGCTATCGAGGATGTTTCAGCAGAGAAGCAGGATGACACGCCTGCTCAGGAAGAGCCAGCCAGGTATGTTCTTCGCAAAATTTATGAGCCATATTCATACCGAAGTCGACTCTCTAGAAGCCGTGTTAGTTAGCACCATAGGGACTAACTTATTTGTACAGTGCGGCGCCTGTGACAGTGGCAGAAGAGACAAAGATAAAGGAGCCAGTTGCGCTTGAAGAGGCAGCCAAGGAATCGTGAGTTTTCACTTCATCCGTGGGGTTTCGCATATGTAGCACGCGAAACACCAGCCACTCGAGTGATTCTGAATATGACTGAATCGGTCTTTTCTCTATAGTGTCGAGGCCGATGGCAATGGTGACAGCGAACAAGCAACCGAAGCCCCAGCACAGGCTACCGAAGAGAAGCCCCCTGCTGCCGCGGAAGAATCGTAAGCATTCCTGTTAGGATCTTGTTCATCAGAGCACCGACAATTGAAAGGCGCTCGTGGATATTGTCGTGACAACTACTGCATATAGGATAAAGGCTGACCAGAAAATCCAGTGACCCAAGAACTGCCGATATGCCTGAAGAAGCCGAAGTAGCCGTCCCCAAAGAAATCGAAGTCGCCGTCCCCAAAGAAGCTGCTGCCCCAGGAGATGCCGCCTCAGAGCAAAATTCTGCCCCCGAAGAGACCGTCTCTTCTCACGAAACATCTGCCACTACTGAGTCTGCTACTTCTGAAGAAACCGCCGCCACCGAAGAAACCACTGTTACTGAAGAAACGTCTCATCCTTCTGAGGAGACGACTGCTCCGGAGCCAGATGAGCCACAAGTGTGAGTACAATTCTCACTTAAAACTGTCGAGTTGCTATGAAACTAGTTTCAAGAGGCTTTGATGGCTATGTGTATCTAACCTTTGACTATTTAGTGAGGCGACTGCCGGAAAAGAAGAAGCACCGGTCAATGTCGAAGAGCCTGAGAAGCCCTCCGAGGAATCTGCGAAGGAAAATGAGGGCAGTGCCGACGATAAAGCTGCATCCGAGATCAAGTACGTATTTATTCCCTCGAGCACCAAAGGATTTGCTAACTAGGCACACGAGCAGTGCCCCACCACATATCGAGGAGCCCGAGGCAGAAGCCGATGTGAAGACTGAAGTGGAAAAAGCAGCCCCCTCATCAGCTGCGTGAGTATCAATGCGATATCCAAAGCTCTATTAGTTTTACAGATCTGACATTGCGATCTAGTGAGCCAAGCCCATCAACAGACGATCATGCTAAAGAGCCTGAAACGTAAGTGCCTTGCTGTGTTGAAGTGTGAATATGTCATGGATGAATGGATCCCGATGACAGAGAAGCCAGCGAAGATAATCCTTTGCATAAAAGAATGAATATTTTGACTGACTTGTCGATAAAAGCGCCGCGGTAGAAGTTGAGCCTGCTGAGAAGGCAGTAGAAGAAGTTCCTGCTGTCCAGGACGCAGTACAAGAGGCCCCAGCGACCGAGAAAGCAGCAGATATACCTTCCGCAAGCGAGGAAATAGCTGGCGAAACTTCAGCCGTCCCAGATTCTACAGAAGAGGCACCAGGCACTGAAAAGGCAACTGAAGAATCACCAGTGGTTGACACAACTGTTGCCGATGCCGCAGATGCCAAAGAAGACGCCGCTGATCCATCAGCTGCCGAGGCTTCTGTTGAACAGGTAGCTGAAGACTCATCGGCAGTTGATGAAAAGGCAGTGGAGCCCCAAGCTGTTGAGGAAGCAGTTACTGAACCGCCCGCTGGCGAGAGTGATGCCAACAAAGCAACTGAAGAATCGCCGGTGGTCGATGAACTTTCTTCAGAAGCCCCAGCTATCAGAGAGGAAATTTCTGAGCCGCCCACTACAAAAGCCCCTGCTGAAGAGCCTCCTGCTGAGCATGCACCCACTGCCGGAGAGGCACCTGCTGATGAGCAAATTCCTGCTACCGAGTCGACTCCTCCGGCTGAAGAGACCCTTGCTGTTGACGTAGTTCCTTCTGTTGAGGAAACTCCAGCTGCCGAGGAAGTTCCTGTCATCGAGGAAGCTCCTGCTGCTGAAGAGGCCACTGTTGCTGAGGAGGTCCCCGTTGCTGAGGAGGCTCCTGTTGCTGAGGAGGCTCCTGTTGCTGAGGAGGCTCCTGTTGCTGAGGAGGCTCCTGTTGCTGAGGAGGCTCCTGTTGCTGCAGAGGCCTCTGCCGTTGAAGAGAAGAAGTTCGAAGAGGCATCAGCACCTCCAGAAGTGGCTGAAAAGACTCTTGCACCCGAGGAGGAAAAACAGTCAGTATTCAAATCTCGCTACTGGAGAATGTCTAGTTGACCGCAGATATAGAAGTGAGCCAGAAGCCAAGAATGTCGAGGCTAGCCCAGCAGCTGGGGCCGAGCCCGAACCGTAAGTGTTTCCATCAGATCACCTAACCATTTGGATGTAGCAGCACTAATATGAGATTGTATAGTACCGCAGAAGTTCCTGCCACTGATGCGACTCCAGTTGCGGCAGCGACGGAAAGGTATGTTGAAATACTGCATTGTTTTCTTATAGACCACATCAGTATGGGTACAATGACTAACATGACGTTATACAGCATCCCTGAGCCTACCCCGGAGGAGAAATCCGCTCTACCTGCCGAGGAAGAGAAAGACGTGAAGTCACCGGAGGATGAGGAAGAAGCCAAAGACAAAGTTGGGCCGATGCCTTCTTCCGATAAAGGTTCTAAAGGTAAGCAGCAAGTCCATATTAGAGTTGCCAACCCTAGCGGCGTCATGGCGCCTGAGTCTGGTGGAAGCGGACCTGAGAGTGTTTTAGTAGAGGAAGACAACCCCCAGGATGAGCTCATTGCACAGCGTGTGGCGGAAGTTGAAACTACTGAGGATGATCTTGATCTGGCTGTGCCAGATATTCAGACCAAGACTGAGCTTGACCTGCGCCAAGATCCAGTTGGTAGCGAACCATTGAATCCCATTCTGGACAAAGCACAGCAGTCGCAAGACCTGGATCTCCTTGCTTCTGGCACTCCCTCTGGTGCTCTTTTTGGAACGCATGAATCTGGCAACCGGGAGACAGATGTGCCTCAAAGCATTGAGATCGCCCAGCCAATCATAAGCAGCTCCAACGTCGACTCTTTGGGACATGGCGGGGTGGCTTCTATTGCCGCCGCGAGCGAACCCGGCTCTGATCTCCATCCGTCGTCCATTGCCGCTTCACAGGATTTGGACTCAGCGCAACAGGAGCCAGCAGCTATAAATACCGTCGTCGATGAAATGTCTAATCAGGACACATTCCCTGGCAAAGTGTCCCAAGATAGAGCACACGACGATGCGGAGGGTCCGGATTCTCTTGTTGTTGCCATGGAGAGCGATATAATCCAAGTGCAGGGATCTGGCACCCCTGCCAACCAGGATAGCTCCGAAGTGGTTGGGCTTGAGGAGTTTCCCGAAACTGCTGATCAAAACACCTCGGGTTCTGAGCAGCATGATAAGAATATTTCTCTGCCTGTTCAAGTTTCTCGTACCGAACAGCGCAGCCCTCCAGAAGTCACCATGGCACAGCTAGAAGAGCAAAAAGTCCAATCATTGGAGGCACCAGAGTCAGATCTTTCACATACACCTAGTCATACAGCAGCTGTAACAGACGCAGAAACGGATGCGTCGGTTTCAAGCTCATGGCACGGCAAAGTTGAGGAGCCCTCTGATCTTGCAGAGCAGATCCCAACCCTGCCAGATACAATCGCAGAATCTGGCAGTGCTGCAGACAAAGTCGCCCCGCTCGATGAAGTCACGCCTATTGGAAACTCTGCAAAGGACGAGTCTTTGCCCGGTGACGCAGATGTTCCTCATAAACAAGAGCAACGACATCTCGATGAAATTCCCACTTTGGTTGGATCGGGCGAAGTGCACTTGAGCGAGGAGCCCGTGTCTGAACCAAGCGTCGTGCGAAGCGCAGAAAGTGATGCTGCTGCACCGCACCAAGAGCCAGAGGCACTCATCTCGGCGACTACACAATTGGATGCCGCAGCAACACAGTCTACTGACTTGCTTGAAGCTCAAAGTCCCTTTGCAGACCAGGATTCTCAGATCGAGAAAAGTCTTCAAGAGGCAGACGCCGAGACGCCAGCGTCTGTGAACTTCCCAACACAGCATACCACAATTCTAGAGCCGCCAGAGCCCGTCTCTGCACTCGACACCGATATTCTAGAGCCTGTTCAAAGCAATGATCATGAGTCTCAGTCTAAACCTCAGGATAAATTATTGGCCACAGACAGCGAGCCAGTGCTAGAACCAGAAGGTTCAAGTACATTGATTTCACCAACCGAAGAAGTTTCGGATACTTCCCAACAAGACGATTCTATGCAGATGCACTCAGCATTGCAGGAAAGTGAGCCTCTTCTGGAAACTCATCAGCTGGAGAAAGGCTCTGTGAGTGCCCAAGAAACGTCTGTACCAATTTCTGCAGTGTCGGTCGCAATCCCAGAAGAGCCACAAGCTCAGCACCTACCAGGCGAAACTGCCCTCGAAGCACCAGACTCACAAGTCGTTCACTCGACGAACGATTCGAATGATCACGATGCGGATCCCGAGGCCGCTTTTGTTGGTGCACAAGAACCGGAAGCCGAAACTGCGCACGCCGTCGATGCGATTAGCGTCCCAGCCGCTGTGACCCTAGACGAAGCAACAGGTATTGAACAACACGAGATGCCTGCTTCTCCTGAGAGTTCTGACTTGCAAAAATCTGAAGAATCGATTGACAAGCAAGACTCGGCGCCAGTATCTGAGCCAGAACCTGCATTACCAGAAGCTGCGATCGAGAACTTGGAGGACGTGAATCCAGAGGATGAATTCGCCGCAGAACCAGTTCAAGTATCCGGCGCAGCGCCCATTCCATCAGAAGAATCTGAGTCAGAAGTGGGCGCCGTGAAAGACGCGAACAATAAGCCCCCCGATGCCTCGGTGCCTGAAGAGTCTGCTCAGGATTTGCCTCTCGTTCAAACAGAGGAAAAAGAGTTGCCGGAAAGCCCAGCTGCGGCTATTCCAGAAGCTTCCGTTAGCCTCAAGACGCCCATCGAGGATGTGGCGCCGAGTAACTCAGAGCTTAAAGGTAATGATAGCCTTGACACTGCATTGCATGAGAGCTTATCAGAACCTACCATCACACAAGAGTCAAAATCTTCTGTTGAAGAAGGGCCAATCCAATCCCAAATCAGGGAGGACTCGCCGTTGCCAGAGATCACAGCTGCAAGCGAAGACGCTACTGTAGAACCTGCTGTGCCCGAGCATCGTCTGGACAACAATATGGCTGTATCGTTGGAAGAGCCCTCTCAGGAGATGACCAAATCTTCTGTGGTAGATGAGTTACCTGGAGATCATGATCTCTCACCGGTCGAGCAACTCAAACTGGAGTCAAAGCCACGAGAAATCTCACATTCTGCGTCATTATCGGTCGATGAGCCTAGCGAGCCTGTTCAATCAGCTGTCGCACAACAAGCACATGAACCTCTGCTTGAGGAGACTCAGAATGATGTTCCTGCGATGGATGACACAACTGAGACTGTTTCAGAAGAACCTGTCGTTCAAGAAAGTGCGATCGTTCAACCTGCAGATGAACAGGCCGAAAGGGTATACCCTATATCCCAAGCAGGCGACGCAGCCATTGAGTCTCTCGAAGCCCCCGATCACAAACCCCATTTGGAAGCACCGCAAGAAGAGGTTTTACCTCCGGTGAAGGAGGATTTGTCTCCATTGCCACAGGAAGTGGAGACTTCGGCCTCTACAAAAGACTTGCAAGAACAATCGGATGCCATTCTTCATGAGACAAGCAGCATTCTGCCGGCTTCCATCGAAAGGGACGAATCAGAGGCGTTGGGTGATGAACCTCACACCCTAGACGTTCATGATGATCAAGAGCAGCTGCCAGGGGATACTATCGCAGAAGACTCACAGTTGGCCAAGGAATCTGTTCCCGAGGTCAGCTCTGAAAGTCATCTCTCAGATGCCTCTGTGCCTCACGTCGAAACGGAAAACCTGCCCGAGGACTCTGACAACGAGCAACCTCGCCTGGTTCACAACGATGACCACCAAGCGCTAGAGGAACAGGAGACTATTGTTACGGAGCAAGAGGCCGAGCACCCAAGCCCTGATCAAGCTGAGGCTGAAGACCATAAAGGCCTGGCTGCGGGCATCGCCGCTGGTGGTGCTGCATTGACCGCCGGAGCTGGCGCTCTCGTCAACAAGCTGTCCAAGGCGACCCAGCCAAGCGAGGAGTCGACCCAAGACGATGTTCCGAGACATTTGAAGGAGCAATCGCAACGAGACACTGCTCCGGTAGTACCACCTAGGTCTCCCGCTCGTAGTGTGAGCTCTCAGCTCTCGGCAGAAGAAGAAAACTACACTTTGGATGATCGTGAGGCACTGGATCACTCTGACGCGCTGGCCGATGCGGCCGTGCCACGAAGTTTGAGCAAAACAAGCATAATGAGTCAGTTCCCTCCGAAGGCTGCATTGGGGAAAAACCGCCAGGTCAATGCAGCCTACTCACCTCTAGAATCGTCAATTAACCGCAATCAGATCGCTCTCGAAGAGACTACCAAAGGTTCTCTTACCAGTCCAATTTTGGTCCATTCTGGCACGCAAACAGAGCAAGACTCCGTGTCTAGGTTGTCGGGACAAACTGATCTTGGCGACACTCTATTGTCAACAAGGTCACTTACACCCGGCATTGTACTGCCGGATCTGGCAGATGCAAATGCCAAAGCTTTGGGGAGGGCCAGGAGCCTGAGAAGATCTCGGCGGAGAACCATCAGAATGAATGAGGAGACCGTCGCCGCCGCTGTGGTTATTCATGTCGCTGCAAATAATTTGAGCTCATCTTTGGGTCATCAACTGGGTAGTTCCCAGATCAATGAGAACGATACAAGAACACGGGAATTGGGAGCTGGTTCGGAAGTGGGCGTTCAAGGTGTTGAGCTAACAAATATTGACAACTCTGTGACTGACAACCATTCAACAGATGACGAAGGCAAAAAATCTAGTGAACGGCATCGCAGAAAGCATCGGCATTCATCATCGGGGTCCGGAGAATCCAGGTGGGATGAGAGCAAGAAAGACAACCATCGCAAAAGCCGGAGGCTCAGCGAGGCGTCTTCCAAGTCAGATACCTCGGATTTGGTCCCTCCTAAGAGAACGGACAGCGGCCCCTCTGAGAGCTCTCGTGGCTCTGGGCGCCATCGGACTCCAGAGCAGATAGCGGCGCGTGAAAAGCGTAGACAAGAACGGACTCCGGAACAGCAAGCTGCCCACGACAAGCGGAAAGAAGAGTATCGCGCTGCTCGAGAGAAGGAACGCGAGCAAGAAGCCAAAGCAAAAGACCCGGAGACTCCGCAAAGCCGCCGGCATTCTCACCACTCACACCGCACCTCTAGGCGTGATAGCGTTCAGAGCACCTCGACCCAAGCCGAGAGGACACCGCGATCCGTGGAGACGCCAAGCACTCCACCAAAGAAGAGCTTCTTCGGTTTCAAGGGCGTGCAGAGTGCTGTGGCGCCCAACTTCGTGTCTAGAGCCTCAGAACCGGCCGTCCCTCAAGCTTCAAAAGAAACCCCAAGACCGGACAGCACAAGGCGCTCAAACACCACGCACGAAACGTCCCGCAGGTCCGAAGATGTCGCCAAACCTCGTGAACATAGATCCTCCCGCGATCATGATCATCATCGCCGATATAGGAATCGAGATCGATCCGCTGAACGGTCCAAGCCCGTTTCTCGCCCTGCCCAAGAAGTCGAAGACAGTTCTCCTAGCGCAGGTGCATCAAGGCCCAGAGAGTCTAGGGCTCCAAGAGAGCACAGGGAATCCCGAGGACCAAAACAAGAGCACCACTCTCGCCGAGATGAACGACGAAAGACCCGCGATGAACAGGCAAAGAAGCAAGCCTCGCAACAAGCCGCGCCTACTGGCATCAAGGGCATGCTGAAGAAGATTTTTGCCTGAACGACTGTTTGAAATTTCAGAATGATGTTTATGAGTTGTCACAATAGGAAGTTATGATGTTGGACTGACGATGGGATTGATTGTGTGTATGAGTTTATGTATCACGATGTTATGTTTCAACATTTGACGTTTGAGATTGATTAATGATGATTACAAATTGACTTTGAATTTGACTTTCTCATCTTTCGTGTCATAGAGACGCCCTTCATAATTCCAGTCCATGATACAGGAAGTGATTGTGCATATACTGTCGTCTATAACCTGCTTCGTCATAGTTATTATGAATCCGGTGAAGGCAACCGTCTAACCTAGAAGTAACCAGTATTCTCCATTCTACAAATGATTTCACGTAACACTGATGTGATGTGATTGTGTTACCATTGATGCACGTGATTATGGTCGTTTGTGACAAGATGCACATTTGGATTTCCAGATCTTGCAGTCTCCGTCCCTCGTCATCTAGTGTAGCACACCGAGTTCCGATCTCTCACATCCTGGCATCTCCGGGGACAGTCGAGGTACTTAAGCACGAAGAACCGGGCGATACGACTAATGATTCCTTGAAACTGCCGAGTTCGTTCCATTCATCAAATAGGTAACTTTTTTTTTTTTTTTTTTTTTGGCTTTCCCAATTGCTCCTGTCGAGACACTGGGTTATAATAGGCACAATTAAAGTCTCGAGCAAAGTAGAAAATGGCAAAATTGATGCCAAGCAAGGTGAAAATACCACAACTGCCGAACACCTCCTCTATGCATCCCCGACGCACGTCTAAACCATACTGAAGTGCGGCATATCTTCTTGCATTTCAGCTGAAGAAACGTCAGCTGAAGTTACCAGGTACTTGGTAAGTTGGGCTTGCATTCGCGGGCGACGCCTCCTGTTTTGTTTTTCTGGGGCCCTTGGAAATACCACCATATGCAGAAGAAAGAAAGCAACAGGGCTAGAGAGTAGTAGTATGTGCAGTGTTTGCGCTTGAGAGTTATATCGCAATGGCGAACCCGGTAATTATCTCCGCGCCTACATCGGCTCTCTTCGCCTTTGGCCCTTGTCATGTCACCCTCCACGCTCCATCCATGAAGAAAATGAGCGGCAGTGACAGGAGATCAAGTGACCAGAGCCGCTAATGCAACATGTATGGACCACAATGGCCTAGACCACTTTGTTTTTATTAATCTTGTTCAATGTTCGTTAATAAAAAAAGGGAACCACTTGAGAAGAAGTCCGGGAAAAGGACCATTTGTTCCATCGGACGCTTCGGCTCGTTTCGTGGAATCCACCTACCGAAACCACCCTGGCTCGGGGCTAGGGGGTAGTTGGTTCTTTTGGTCTCATTGAAGAGGAGAAAGCGCTTAGTCGGCCGAAAGCCCTATAACATGTAAATGGCAAACCTAAAATAGGTACCGATATAGCAATTCTCGTGTCTCACTGGTGGCATTCACTGTCATTGCATGCGGACACCAGTGGTGGGGGGGGAATCCCCTTTGGAGAAAATAGACAGGTCAACTTACACAACTGTTCGTGCAGCATCGTGAAGTTTGTTTGAGACGTTGTCACCATGTAACCAGTAGCACACTGATCTCTTTGACTTTCTTCTTTTCATCGCTGGAAAAGATGGTCTCGTGACCGGATATTAATCCGCAGTGTATCACTGGCTTCACATTTTCAACTTGTCTGCAAAATAAGGGGGATGCCATTATGCCCAAGGCACAAGCTCGTAGTCGCCACGCGTAGTAAGCTAGCATCGGAGATTTCAGCTGAAGTCTCTCAGCTGGGGGCAAGGACTGAGTCGTTGGCCGAATCTATTTACTACGTACTGCTTAAAAGGTCGACGGAATTTCCGCCGCAGACGAATCGGCGACTTTGCCTTCCAGTGGGCGGGTAATGCTCACGCCCGCATCAAGGGGGCGGCGGCGGCGGCGGCGGATAACGGATACCCATGTTGTGTGTGTGTGTGTGTGTGTGTGTGTGTGTGTGTGCGTGTGTGTGTGTACGCCAGCCACGGTAGTCTCGGAGCTGACGAAAAGCCCGGACTTCTTTGACTCAACATCCCGGATTATGGATAGGAATGGGTGGAAATAAGAAGCCTGGGATCATCTTTGCATTGGTGGAAGGGCTAGCAAGCGCAAAAAAGAACATGACAAAGTAAAAATTGCCATGTACTATGCCATGTACTCTACGCTCACGCTCGCAGAGTGAATATAGAAAACTTGCAAATCTTGTTGAGTACAATTTTTTTTTTCATTTATGATGTATCATTTGTGTCAGCTGTATCACATCATGGAATTGCTGCTGATCATCTAGGCAACGGAACTCTAACCTCTGAGTGTGTAAAGTACTTCCGCAGTTGGCAGGGTTGCGACTAATGGACATCCATCCCATTCAACCAACCATCCACCTGGCGACAAGGTTGCCTTTCCAGAGAGGGAGAATCCACTGATTTACACCAGAGTAATGAAAATTCGCCCCATAGGGTTCTCGATATCAGCCCATTCTTGAATCGACAATTTCCCCTTGGAGTATAGGAGTATAAAAAGGCGTACTCCAAGATTGATCGCCGACATGGTACGTGATACCCCAGGTGAAGAGTTTCAAAAGAAGATCTGCCTACCAACTTTTTTTTAGGGGTCCTGTTGGGCATCAATGCTAGTAGTCATGGACGATGATCCAGGTTTTTTCTTCACTCTAGCTCTCCTGGTACCCACTGATCCAGACATGGAGCGCAGGTCTAATTCCGCCGCTTGTCCATATTTGGTCCATATTGGCGCAGAACGAGGATTCTAAACCCACGAGGATTGCCAAACCTTAATATATCCCTGCCAGATATCAAATCTCGAATATCAATCAGGTCGAGTCTCCATGCCTCCTCGTGTTTGATTACGTTGCACTAGTACTGCGAGAATATCGAATATGAAGCATCTACACAGTACTTCTTCGGTCACGGCCGAGATACGAAGTATCGACTGGATCCCCATTGTCTAAATTCCGCTCATATATGGTCCCACTTGTACTAGCAAAGCCATGTGCAATGAATGTCGTCGGTCCCTGCTGGTGGTTGTGTGTGTGTGTGTGCGTGTGAGAGAGGTGCTCGCAACGCTAAGGAAACGATCTTCAGGAAACCCTTCAAAGTTTTTGAATGCTATGTTCTAAGTGAACGTAATTTGCTTGCCCATAAGATTCTTGAACACATCGTCAAGTGCTTTGCGCTTCTTGGCCTTGTCCTCGCTGGCCTCGGACGATCCCACCTCCTCATACTCATCGTCCAATCCATCAAGTTCGGGTAGCCACGCTCGAATCTGCCCATCAAGATGAGAACTAAATATCGCCCCTGCCATGTTACTACCGCCCGTCACTACACCACTTGATTCGCCGCCTCCCCCTGCACCACGCCAAGCTATAGCGGTAACTCTGTTCTGCACAGTCCTCTCGGAGCCGTTACCAGATCGTACACCAGCGGTGGTAGGGCCAGTACCTCGCAATTTAGTGATAATTCGGCCATCATGGAGATGAAACACCAACATCTCCGTTTCGTTGGGCCAAAAAAGGAATTCATCCTTGGGATGGGTGACACCTATAGGAGAAGTGAACATGGGGACAGTACCCAACTGTGAATTTTTGATGCTAGGTCCAAAATTGGCGAGGGTATTCGCACCAGTAGCAGCATCCCACACGCGAATCCGTCGATCGTGCGCTGCCGAGACGATGTAATTCCCGTCATCTGTCCACGTAAGGCTGTTGACAGGGCCCGAGTGAGCCTTGGCAGACTGCCGGGTCCGCACCTGCCCGTCCGATCCGAGAAGTCCATTGTAGTAGAGGCCTAGACTATCCTCTTTGTCGAGCATGCCTATTGCACCACCGACCCGCCGAATATCCCAGATACGGACGGTACCGTCTACGCTCCCGGTGGCCAAGATGTGGTTGTGGCGTGGTGACCATGCCGCTGCCAGGATTGCATTCGTGTGGCCGGTGAGCGACTGCACGCTGGAGCCGGAACGAAGGTCTGCTAATCTCACGGCAGGATGCTGCGTGCCACATGCTACAAGAAGATGGTCTGCAATTGGAGATATGGCATGGGTGTACACCTTGGAACCTAATGCAAAAGACCCGGATACACTTGCAGTCTCTGTAGACCACAGCTTCAAGGTTTGATCGAAAGACGTAGATAGGAACGCAGCCGGATCAAAGGGATACCAGGACATGGATGTAATGCCAAACCTGTGACCATTTTCTCCACGTTTCACGGTAGCAATGGGCTTGTAGGTATGACTCTCAGATGGATTACCGCAGGACTCGAGATCCCACAGCTTTACTGAAGCGTCGGAGCCTCCGGACACAAGACTGGGAACTGTATGAGTTCGGTCGTTCTTGGTGAAAAGATAACCATCAAGACCGAGGTCTATGAGACTCACATTCGACCATCAAAGCGTTCCACGGCTATCGCGTTAACCCCTGCTTGGTGCGCCCAGATTCCATCTCTCAGAGTTGACCCAGCTTCATCTTGGTGGATGGCGGTGCCACGTTCGCCGCCATCGAATCGGAACCGCGGCGCCGCGCAAAAAGATTTCAGCAAGTTTGTAGTCTGCAGCCTCGCAAAGACGTTGGGCCCGACATTGCCGGTGGACCGCTCAAACAGGAGCTGATTCATTCATTTACGTGACGCTGGCAAGCCTCTGTGCAGTATGTAGCGAATGAGTCGCTTTTGGGGAGACTCGATGTCTGCTTGGGGCACTTGTGCAATTGAATGACTACAATGAGAGAATAGAATGTAGTTGTTGTCCAAGCTACCAGGCAGTCATGGTCGAGAACACGGTTATTTGATGTGGATCATTGCGGGACAGGCGAGCCGAGACAAGCTTCAGTAGTAGGAAGGTACCTGCCTGCCTGCGGGCTTTGACTTCCCCACACTCTGCCGGCCTTGATCAAACTTCACTCATCAACCGACACCAAAACCCCGGGGCGACTTTTACTCAATCAAGAAATATCATCAAACTCTGCCTAGGCGACCGCCCGTGGGCTCAGAGCGCACATGATGCTCAATGAGTGATCCAATTTGCCAAAGTCTATTCTGCTGCGGAGGTGGTGGTGAATAAAAGATTCCATCCACACTTTGGCTGGGATGGCATCGTCAAATTTGCGGCAGCGCAACTATCTAGTGCCGCCGTCTTCTTCAGATACGGACTCCGATTCCTCCGCCGCCCAGCTCGCCAAGGTAGAGAGGCGCAAGAAACGGAAACGAGATGCCAACGTCTACGACGCGGTAGCCGGTAAGAAGCGGCCATTTTTGCTGATACGCGGTGGCGCTACACCAAACCCCCCCTGGCTTCCATGATTTTATTGACCATTGGCTATAATAGGCCGCGTCACGACGACACGTGCCCTAGATGACGGGTCTGACTCGGAAACTCTCTTCCAGCGTCGCCACCGCAGCACTCTGCGCGATCCGACGCTGGCCCCGGAGGAGGTGTTGTTTCAGCGCGCCAGAGCCCCCATTAGATATGCCGAAAAGGACATATACAACGCGCACGAGCGGCTGCCGGAGGGCGGCCGAGAGGTCCTACCCGACAGCGACATGCTCAAGGCTATCCACGGCTATGCTGCTCACTTCTACTCGGCACTTGCCGATTCATCAGTGCGCCGCGATAAGCACGGCGTCTCGGGTACTCAGAGAAGCATCGATGAGGGCAGCATGGACGAGACGGCCCTCGTGGCCTTTGGGATTCTGCTGGAAGAGGCGGCACGCGACGCGCTCGGCAAGAAGGGCGACCTCGTTTTCACTGAAGGCGCTGATGCCAACCCCAGAAGCTCTACAGGATTGGCGGAAAGCCAAACTGTCGGCTTCCTGGATGTTGTTGATGCTGGAGCCCACTCGACAAGAGGCAGAACTCGATCATAGCCATAGGTGTTGACTCTATGATGGTGTATGAATCAATGAGCCATAGTTGCAACGTTGCTCGAAGCCCCCTGGACCTCTCTACAACCATGATTAATGATATCCGACTATGTAACTCAAATGCAAACTTGACGACTGAACATACTTGCACTTAGTCGGCAAGCTGCACATCTTTGCTTTTTGTCGGCTTAGTTGAGGATAGACCGGGCATTTTCACCCTTTGCTACATTCTTTGTGTGCGGGTGTTTGCAGTGCTTTAGAGTCCATCGATGCGTGTGGTTGCGGCTCGAGCGGTCAAGCCTAGAGCTGAAGATGGCCATTTGCAGGCTGCAGCTATCATATGCCACTTGTTTGGGAAAGCCCGCCAATCACAGTATGGGTGTCTATCACCGTGTCAGAGGGCTTTAGCAATTGGCAGCCAGGCTAGACAGATACCCTCCAAGATCCAAATATGATCTCATTAGATTTCCCGAGTTTCTCGCAACACCACACTTTGCCTGACCGCCCACCCCCTCCTAAATTACCCCCCCTGATCTGAGAAATGAGGAGAGGGTGCGATAAGCGATTTATTGATTGACACGGGCCGATGCATCTCGCTCTCGACGTGTAGCAAAAGCCACGCCATCTCTGCTTTCTCCCCGTTACTGGGTGCAGCAGACGAAGAAGGAAGGGGGAAGAAAAGTGATATATCAAAGATCAAAGCATCATGATGAAGAAGCGTGGCTGATGCATGGAAAACGACGCAGCCAAGACAGCTTACTGCCAGCCAACTCATCAACCGGTCATGTAGAGACGCTTGCGACTCATATTTCTTGTTGGTCAGCCTCATGAAGGAAAGAAAGAAAAGGGACGCGCATGCCGTTTCCGTGAACCGGGTGGGTGGTCTGCCCATAATTTCCTTCTCTTCAATCTGGCCACCTGAGCTGAGCTGTCAGTTACCCTTTTAGCCCTTTTTTTGTTTTTGTTTTTTCTTTCTTTCTCTTTCCTTGTCTTGCCCACCCCCTCAACTGCGTATGTTCTCTCGTCTGGGCTATGTAGGAAGACAAAAACGGTTGTGCTTTTCAGCTCCACTATACTGTCTCATTTCCCCGCGAGTTCTGGGCGGATACCGACACGCTGTGTATGGCAGCTTGCATATTTTCTTTTTCTCAACCCATCTCTTACATCGCCAAAAAGTCTTGGTGCAAAAGAAAGTTGCAAAAATACCGTCTCGGTTGGAAACACTGTAGCTTTGAATAAAAAGTATTCTACTAGTATACTAACCTCATATCAATTTACGTTACAATCGGGCTGAAAAGCCCGATATAGCTGCTTAACCGAGCACTATCGCGGGGCACGGTTACGTTTTGTGTCTTTCGAAATATGTAGTCGTAGTCGCATGGAGACAAAGTACGATACAGTACCGATTCCTATTACATTGCTTCCTGGAGACATCATTGATCACTGTGACGATAGTAGCAGGATGAACATTCCACACCTTGTCAACCTACAACATGGTAAACGCGACCTCCCCCAAAGTAGAACTTTTGCCGGTTAACTCAATGTGATATGACCTGTCCTCCATGTCATTTGTCTACCTTACCGGTGATCCTTTGGGTGACCATGTCCTTTTGGCCCTGGGCCACTGGTATGTCAGTCTGGGTAGGATGCCCATTAATGCGGAGTGCATCCCCCGGTACACAACAGAGAGGTAAGCAAGGCAATAAGCACTCGAGGGTAATCTTTCGAGCCTAGTGCTTATCAATATGGGCGAAGAGAACATAATGTTTGCGCACAACAATCACTGCTTGCTATCGATATACCCAACAACTGTGACACGTAATTTCGGCCGTCTACAAGCCCAGAATTTCTTTTCTGGCCTTGTGGTACCCTCGGCGATAAGGAAGAAAAGATGCAGCCCCCGAATACATGGCAAACTTCAAGAAAGTAAAGTACCTGTTCGGTACTGCTTACAAGAACGAGGTCGACAAAGGTCGAACCAGTCGAACGTTTGGAAAAAAGATCGGCCAAATGATCTGAACCAATCGATCGCCAGACCTGGTTCTGTCGACGTGAATCGTCATGTTGCAATGAGCAACAAGCAATTGGTTTTTGAGGCGAAATTTCGGGTTCTGTGAAGGGGTGTTGTTGGGTCACCAACTGCTCTGAGCGTTTGGGTTGATGCTTGCGGGCCATTCGAGGCACGAATCAAGTCCAGAGGGCAACCCAACTGCTACGTACTCTGTATAGCCCGCGGCCGAGTTGTAAAAGCTCTTCATGTTGCTTTGGGCTTCCCTGTGTGGCTCTGTTATGGTACATTTTCTTTGGGTGCACAACGGCGTTGCAGCGGCCTTTTTGGTTGGCCACAGCGGTTGAACGTTTCATCGGGGTGGCTTTCTCGTTATCAAGGGTATCTACATCTGACTGGGGTGGTGGTTGGATTTTTATCTGCTGACTTGTGAGATCCGTTGGCGAGCAACGCAGCCTAAACCCCTCGAAAGTAAGAAAAAACAACCCTGACCTTGGCGGGGTTGTGATTATGTGTGTTGCTGCAACTCGGAAGAGACAACAGTAACTGAGGCCTAATATGACCCCTCCTGACAATAGCCCTAGTGGTCGGCAAGGTGCGTGTCCAAGACGCCACGACCAGATTTTCTGGAATTGGACATCAACTTCCTAGAAGAGAAGTGTTTTCCCCTCTTGTTAATCCATTCTTTTAATTTGATATGTACCTTTCATTACTGTAAAGGCCATGAGCTTGGAAATTGACAGCTCATTGAAACTTGAAAGTAGTCGACGTTGCTGGGCTTTATTATCCCTGTTTGAGCTGTCCTGCGACGCTGATCATCTACGTATTGGCGCAGCAGTCAAATGGCAAGCTGCAGCGGCCGCTAGAAGGGACATACCCATGATTTCTTGGCATTGTCGGTCCATCGTCTCGTTCCCGCTGTCATGCGGAAAATTGAACTACGCCGTTGACCGCCCGGTAGCAGGTTTCCTCAATGACCAGGCGACGTTGAAACTGCCATGTATGTACATGGCGGACAAAGAATGTATGAAGGAGTCAAATTGATCATGAGGCGCAGAGGGAACGTTGACCCCTGATGATAAGTGAGGCCATGCAAAAAGCGGGTCTTTCCAACGGCAATCAGCGGGTGGCTGGTGGGCTCATGCAGAAACGTCGAGATAGACCTGCAGCGTTTCAACCGCTGCAAGAACACAGAGTGCATCGTTAGAGAGAGAAAAGTAGCTACTTCAAAAGTATGCCCTTTTTCTGAAAGTTCAAAAAAGCGAGCTGATTGCCTAATGAGGTTGTGTCATGCCCAAAAAAGAAGGCAATTGGGTGGAGTCTATAGATACCTTTAATCTGTTTCGTCTTGTATGCACAAATATCTTTGTCTTTGTAAGAATTGGGCGAGTCAGACCTGAGACAATGCTGGCGTACTACAAGAAATGGTTTGATGATGATAGTATCGTGGATACGAGTATGCGTATGTACGTATCTGGATTACCTGGGGGATTTGGACGGGTCGCCAAGGCGGGTGTTCACAGCAGACTTCTAGCCGCACCCAAGAAGAGCCTCTTCCTCAGAAAGGGAAAAGAGGAGGACCCTGATTTCCTGTCTCAGCCGCTGTCAAAAAAGGTTTCACGACATGCCTGACTGGAAAGTTCCTCTCGCGGTCAGATTGCCGCTGGGATCGGAGAATTGTGACGCCAAGCTACAGAGTACTCCTCAAGAAACAGTTTGGAGGTCTGTATCACAGCGCACGGGGTGAAACCACATGATTAATCTTGAGGCTCGTTCCTGGGGCAAGTTTGAAGCGTCACACGGGGCGAGGCTGAAGCGCTGTCAATATACGGAATCATGTCCTACCTACATTTACCGCCCAATGACTTCACGGGGCTATCACAAGTGCTTGCTTGCGTATGGGCTTGGAATGGAGCGCACCCATTATCTAGTGTCATTAAAGCCAATGCCTGCCTTTGCAGATCACAGGGCGAGGTGACAGCGAAAGATTTTGTTGTGTTTGGCTCTGGCTCCTAGGTAGAATGGATAGTATGCATCGCTTAAGGTCGCGTTCGCTAAATTTCATTCCAGGTACGCAGGCACATAGGTAGTATCAATAGTTGGCGATCAGGTCGAACACTGCCCCTCACCGGTGAGTCCTTGAGGCGGAAAGTCCGACGTGATAGACGCCGCAGTGTGTGTGGCATCTTGTCGCAATCTACGGGATACCTGTTCGGACGACACCAAACTACGGGATCGGCACTGGCATCGACCCAATCTGGCGCGCATGGTGCAATGTACCACTATGCTGACTGACAATGACTGAAAGTGACTGTGCAGTAGGTATTCAACTGCATAACTGCTCGCCCGCTCATTCGATTCCTTTCGGCAGCAGAATTGCGATATCCTCGGCGTCCACCCTGTTCTAGAACTCACATGACTACAGAGTTGCTTGGGTTTAAATTGGGGGGATGAGACAACCCTTGAGATCGATCCAAAGGGTTGGAACCCAGCCCGTCATCTGATTGGACTGTTCACTCTGCAGCAACCAACATGGCTTGTCGAACGCGACCCATGTCTTGCAAAGAGACACTGGCCCTTATCGGTCTTTTTGCCCTGTTCATGTCCTAGCTTACCAGACATCAGTCGAGTTTCTCCCATATGTAGAATAACGCTGGGGTCATATTTCGGTAGTGGTCCTCCCGATAATGCCTGCACAATGCCAGGATTAAAACCAAAAATGGGACGTCATGGGCTCGACATCCAGGGCTCGACATCCAGGACCTTCGCTTCTATTGTCCAATGTTGGTACCCTCGAAAGATCCCAGCAGCGCCGCGTCTTTGTGGCCTGCCGCCCACCATCAGCTAATAATATCTGGTAGGGTGGGTGGGTGGTGGTTGTGATGATGATGATGATAATACGGGAAGATACCTGAAGTAATCCCAGCCACGTGATGGTTTGTCGATGAGAGGTGACACAAAGGCAGCGGGGAAGAGATTGCGAACCGCGCTGTGCCTGGTTTTCTTCCTAGATGCAACCATCAAAAACAGAAAAAGACCGACAACTTGCGGGGCGTGCTGCAAGATTAAAATCCCGGTTTCAAAACTGCATATATGCATACACGAAGAGGAACGGAATTTTTTTTGTCTGATGAGGGCCGCAAAGAGAAATACTTTTAGATTTATGCATTTCAGTACATACCTTCTTCGAGGGATGGAGGGTTTGGCTGGGCTGGCTTGTTCCGCCGCAATGACCAAACAGAGCCATGGTCAGCGCACGACCACGGTTCCACGTGGGCTGCTGTTGGCTGCATCAGGTTTCCTGCCCGCTGCTGCTGGCCCTGCCCATCGCGGGCTTCTAGAAAACAACATCGCAATCATACAAGGGGGCCTGGGAAGGGGGTTTGATTTCTCGCTGAGGAAGTATTGCATAGCGGTCCTTGCCTTTCGAAAATACGTAGATGGTGGTATTTGAAGAGGCAGGGGCTTGTTCTTCGCGAAACGTTTCGAGAATGTCCTAGGGCAGTGGAATACACTGACAATCCAACATGCTCGGCCGTGGCCTCCGTCATCATGAGCCCGGTTGTGGAGAAGAAGAAAAAATGCTAACAGAGAAATATATCTCTCATGGGCTCGTGCCAGTCGGCAAGCCTGAATCGGCCAATTGGCAACGTCCAGAGGGACAGGCAACTCAAGCCAAGGCGTTCTCGCTAAGCTGGCGAGGCGGTCAAGGCTGCAAACATCATCCCAAGCTGCAAGTTGGCAAGCGCATAGATTGGTAAGAGGATTGGAGGAAGCTTATTAACCGCACACTACTGTCGTGATGGCAGGTATGCTTAACTCGACTGCTCTCCAAACATTGCCGATCATTTTCAGAGTTTCGGCCGTTGCTCAGCCGAGCTTCCCGGGCGCTGCTGGCAGCCTCCACCCAACACAGGAACTTCCTTGAAATGATGGGAAATGGATATGCGGCAAGAATTATCGTGTGTTGCTATGGTGTTGCACACGATCTATTTCACGAATGCGTAAACTCAATTTCATATAGAAAATATAGTAACTTGTATGTAGTTAATAAGTACGGGGAAGGAAATTCTCCACGCCAAAGCAACGCTGCACGGGCTTGGGCTACCTTTGAAGCTGCGCGAAACCCTACCCTGCAGGTATTGGCAGTGCTGCTTGCTGCTTGCCTTGCCTTGCCTGCTGCTGGAGACGGGATTATATGCAAGTCAACGAAGAACCATGCTCGAAGCTGCCGACGATGTCCGTGGCCGCAATTGCCGTGCTCGAGACTTGCATCGTGACCGCATTCCAACAGAGCCGTGAGTTTGAGCTACCATGGCTACTTGCGACCAGCTCGACTTTTTTTGCTGCAACCTAATGCGGCCCTTGAAAGAACTACTGCGGCCATGCCCCTCGTCGAGCTGGCCGTGACTATTATGTGATGTCCTAAAAAGCACTTCATCGTGTCGCTCCCGTCTTCTCTTCCGCGCGGCCGACACTTTTTGCCTGACTGTTATAAGATGCGGAGCAGTTTCCAAAGCACCCACCCAACAGAGGCACTCTATGTCGTCGCTTCCGTAGATAACGCTCCTGAGCAAGGGGAAGTTTGGTCCGCCGATAATGGTGTGTTGCTAGTAGCGTCTAAGAAAAGAGACCTGTCAGGAACGCTTGAATTACCAGGTCTTCAGACTCCTACAAGATTGGCTTGCAGTTGAAACCAGGAATTGAACAACGTCATCTCAGCCCGCTCAGCTCGATCAAGAATGAAAACAAGGCGAGCTTCTCATCGTGGCCAATGTGTCGCACTATTGTGTACTATATAGGCGAGAATAGCATCATGTATTGGCCCCCCCCCCGGGCTGTTGAATTTTACTAGAAAAGCGTGAGGCCCAAGCTTCGTACTTGCAGAACCAATGTACTGTCCCCATGCACCAAGCCGGACTGCTGCTGAGTGCACTCCATTACTTTTATTAGATTGGCGCTCTGTGTAGTTAAGTTTCAGACACATGGGTGACGCAGATCTAGTGACGACAAGTTCTTCCCCATGGTGACAGAATTGGCACTGGCCCCAAAGCCCGGCTCTTATCTTCCGACGCCAGATCACCGACCAACCCTTGCGGATGACCCTTCTTTTCTTCTTGAAGCAGAACGTAGTGTAGAGGAGCAGAGCAGAAGGCGGTCTCAGCAGCTAGACGGAAGCTGGCTGGCTGGCTGGTGCATTGTCGTCGTCGTTATCGCTGTCGTCAATGTCGTCGTTGTCGCGGTGCGGACCCGTGACGACCGAAGTTGACAGGCTGACACAGGCAAGGCTAGGTTTTCGCAACAGAATCACACCAGATGAAAAACAAAAAGTGCTCCTGCAGGGATACAGATCAACCACCCCTCGATATTGGGCTGTCGCACATGCCGATTATTGCCGTATCGCATAACAAGGTGGGAGGAAACTCTCAAGCTTCTTCTCTCTTTGGATCTCGGCTAGACCTGGGTACGGACGCTGTGACCATTGATGCTTCTCTTTGGGCTTCCTCTTCTTCGAGAACTGTTCGACTTGATTTCCGACTGCAGATCATACTCGCAACTTTAGTGGTATGTCATCTTGGTGGGCTATTCCAACGATCCACGACTTGTCATTGCCACCAGTTATGACTGGGAATTTGTTAGGATCGGCTTTGGGTGTCATGGCATGAAGTCATGCTATTTTGCCAAGCTGCTTGCTGCCATTCATCAATTCCGCGAGAGACTAATTGGCGAGAGACACAACCCGTTTCTGGTCATACTCCTATCTGGATTTTTATTCCGCCCCTGACCATTTCTTTCGGGATGTACAAGTTTTGCTGCTTTCTAGCAAAGGATTGGTCAGAAATGTGTTCGCTAGAAGTGAGACATTGACGCGTGAGGAGCGCGGAAACGACTTACACCAACGGTTGACAGCCGCTGTGGGTGTCACTTTGTCGGTCAAGGGTTTACCCCACTTTGCACTGCAACTTTTTTTTTCCTTCGAGCACGCGGTTTTTAAAACGTTCTGGCGTTGGCTAGTAATGCAGGCTGGGTCAAGTTTATGACAGGCACAGGAGGGAAACATTGTGAAAGCATTGGCTTGTGGTGTAGGCAGGCCTGGCATGGTAGGCAGGTACGTGCAAGGTACAGCTCAAGTAAGTAATGTATCTACATTACCTAGGTAGGTAATGTCTGTAGAAAAACCTCTGCCTTCTGCGCGGCGTGCGTCAAGTCCCTGGTCCCTTCGATCTGGACTTGAGTCGTGCCGCCTCCACCACCTGCATTTTCCTCTTGAACCCCAATTTCTTCTTTTCTGCCACCACGTCCGCGTTGCAGGTACGGTAGGTATTTGCTTATTGCTCCTGGGCTGTAACCTGGGCGCATATCTTTGTGTGTGTATGTCTCTCCTGTCTTCAATGACAAGCATTCTGCTTAAGCAGCAAATCTTGCGAGTCAACAAACGGGTAGGCACTGAAGTCTTTGCTACGTATACACCAGTACTGGGGGAGTTTTTTTTTTCCCCCCTCTCCTCCCCCCCGGCACTCAGCTCAACTTGCCGCTCAAGACACCTAAAGGTTACAGGTCGTCGGTATCGACGGATGTACATGAGTATGTTGACCAGGCTGGTACTTTACTTGTCAATCTGCTAGCCGCCAATCTCTTTCATTTTACAGGAATTCGGTGTCAAATCTGCGAACGTGCATAGCTCCACTTACTGATCTGGATTCTCCCATGTTTTCCCCAACGCCAAACCAGGCTTGCCAGATACCGACATCCCTCACTAATAATTCGTTTCTGCTCGTGCCGTGTAGCGGTCACTTCTCCTTTACTACCACATTGATAACATAACGATTTTCTGTAGGTACCACACACTACCTGGGCCTGGAGAAAGGTACCAAATCAATACTCGTAGTGGTACTTGTCTGCTGGGTATTCCGTAGATTGTTCAAACTTTGGTGCGTCGCAGCACCTTTTATTTCTCTAATTTTTTCCTTTTAATTGTTTCTCTTTGGCTCAACCGTCAACGTCGCCCATCCACTTATAGCAAAGCGCGATAAGAAATCTTGAACCTTTTCGCACCAGTAAGCGGCCCGCGCACGCGAGAAGTCAGAAAGGGCCTCCACAAAAGCATGAACTTTCGAGCCCCTTCATTGAACCAACACACACACACCACCCCAAACTGCTTCGCATCGTGAGTCGCCTTATTACTCTTATAAATCCACAGCGACACCCACCCACCCACACAAACACACCGCCGGCCCTTGGGCGGACCTGGCCGCACGGCTTGCTACTTTTGTCTTCTTGTCTGGTCTGGCTGGGCTGGCTTGGCTTTCCTGTCCCCAGTGCCTGTCACCAGCCACCTTTTGAGACTCCAATCGTCGTGGTGGGCAACGAGAGAAGCTGGAGAAGAAACTAGAGACATTTCAAGAAGAAGAAAAACAAAGAATATAGCCCATCAAGAGCTTTAGTGACGCTGGCACACCCACGTTCACTCGCACATATTCTTTATTATCCAAAGGGACCCAGAATTCTGCCAGTGGCAGATCCACCCTCGCTCACGCGCCTGTGTGGTTACGAGTGAAGCTTGGGTATTACGCTGTGCCGAGCGAACCCAAGCTGCTGGGAAGCAATCTCTGGCAATCTACAAGGACTCCATCCTGTCGGACTTGCTTTGTAGTTGTGACCCTTGTCGCGAGCGCCCAGATAACCCCTGTCCTGCTAGCTTCTACCCAGGCGAGCGTCGCCAAGGGTTCAGTACCTACCTCGATCGGGTCTGCAGAAGCCAAACTGCTTTTACACCAAACATCACCTTACCTATCTTACCTACCTACCTACCTTACCTCCAGATGGACGGAACTGCCTAGTCACCGGGCTCATTGTCACTTGTCTTGAGCTTCGACCGCTTCCGAAACTCTACCAGACAACCTCTGCTTTCCTCCGTACACCCCCGGCCGCGTCTCCGACGACTCTACATACTGTAGTAGGTAGTAGTCACACTCTCAGTCCTTTTTTTTTTATCTTATTTTTCTCCCTCTTGTCTCTGCCCAACCGCAGATCTCCTCGAATTGGGCCCGCCTCGCACCGAGCGCGCATCTTGGAGGTCTGGTTTTATTTTTTTTTTCCCGTTCCCCTTGCGCCCACCCAGGAACCTGGCAACCTCTCTACCTGCTTGCGCCTCGCCCACGCCAGAGTCTGGACAAGCTCTTTCGAGAGCGCACCGCCCTCTTGGGACCTCTACTCTCCGATATACCGACTCGCTGGTCTCTGTATGTCGTCACGCGCCAATCACGGTTTCCACTGCTCCAGGACTATACTACCACCCTCCTCCACAAAGCGATCTGCCTCCCCGAGGTACCTTGCCAGTCCCTAGACCGGCTCCTTCCCTCCTGGGCTCTCTGGTGTACTCTGACACTTTCCATGGCCTCCTTTCCGATTACCGTCACTGCTTGACCTGCCTGCTGCACAGCCTATGACTGTTCACATATATCTACCAACTATGGAACCCGGGCAGTCTGAAGCTAAACGCCCTCGTTTCAACAATCCTCCCTCGCCATGGCCTCCTTCAGCACATCAAGAGGCTCGACCTGTGCTACCCCCACCTCAACCATCACAACATCACCAGCCCGCGCTGTCGCCGTATCAGTCTCACAACCTGTATAACCGCCAGCATCCAGAGCACCCGCCTCACCCAGGCCATCACCACCCCGAGGAACGTCGCCATCATGAGCAAGACGCCTACCCGCCTTCACTGCCGCCGCCGCCCTTGCAGGACCACCGACCTCCTCACTCGCCGGCGCATCCAGCCTTTCCACCTTACCCTCGCAGAGAGTCCATCGTGAAGAGGGAGAACGGCGACGACGCCTCTCTGCCCCAGATGCGCCGCCCAAACTCCACGGGTACCGCGCCTGATGGCATGCCACCTCACTCACACCCTCCTCCCTACCCAGGAGCACATATGGACGATCACAGAAGACCGACTAGCTTTGATAATGGAGGCTCCATTCCACCATCGCCCATATACCGACCACCGCAGCCACCATATGCACCTCCTACACCTATCCAGCATAATCAGTACGATGCGTCACCGTCAGGCTACGGCCCTCCATCGTCCGTCCCGGATATGTACCCAAATATTGCCATTACCAGCGCAAAGCGGAAAGCCCAACGGGCATCCCAAGTGAGTAAAACCAAGACATACCTAGTGTTGTGATACTAACGTGACAAACGTAGGCATGTGACAATTGCAGACAATTGAAAGCCAAATGCGACGAGCAACGTCCATGTAAAAACTGCAAGGACAAGTCCTTGCAGTGCGTCTACCGAGATTTGCCTACTAAACAGTAAGTGGCACGAATAGCTTAAAACCTTTTTTTTTATCCTTTTCTCCCTTCCTGGCAGGCATATACCACTAACACATGAAAATTTAGGCCAGACAAGGTTAGCGCCGACATTTTGGAATTAATGAGTTCTTTGAAGAGCGAAATAGTCAACCTCGGTCAACGCATTACGAGCCTGGAACATTCAATTAACACCAATTCGAATCATTCATCGGACACCAAGGTGGAATCCATTGAGGGTGATCAGCATCCAAACGATTACGGTCTGTCCGCGCAGGAATCGAAAAATGCCACCGAAGACGAGCAGCAGTCCTCTCCCAGGAGGAACAGTGATGATCCGGACAAGAAGCAAATGGTCCAACACGCGGCAAAGGTTATTGAAGAAATGGACCAGGACGATATTGAAAGCAACCCAGGACCACCAATTATGCCAGGAGCGCCATCTTTGCCTACAAACCACACCACATTGGCCGCATTGCTACTCAAGTGGCCATCAATTGAGGGTCTTGTGAAACCCGTTCTCAAAAGGGAGGGCATCCATCATATTAACGAATTCCCAATCAGCCAAGAGCAACAACGTGGTGTTCTGCGTGTCTGGGGCAGAGGAGAAGGCTACATATTAAGCAACGCCAAACATGAGAGCAAGTTTGGCCAAGTGATAACCGATGTAACTCAGGTTGACGACTCGCCTGGCGACACTGCACACTCGGCACCATCTCCCTACTCCGAACGTGAAGGTTGGACCGATCGTGAAGCTTGGGGTACAGTCGGGGGCGGCCCCACCTCCACAGTCGAAATACACAAGGGCGGCGTGCTCTATGCCGATGGGACCCCAGATTTTGACCGCGCCACTGTCAAGCAATACGTCCAAAGCTTCAAGGACAATGTGCTCAATATGCACCCCATTCTCATCCCGACACAGCTCGATGCCATGGTGACAATGTTCCTTGATTCTCTGCCACAGTCCACCAAATCTGCGTACAAATCTGGTGCCAAATTTGTGCAGAGTGTCGGATCAAGCGCGACGCCACTTGGCCCGGAGCCGGGCTCCAAAAGGAAGCGGTCGCCTGCTGTGGAGGAGCCGAATATTCACATTCACAGAACCGGGGTGCCTGTGTCGAGGAGTATTCACAGCGCTCTCGTGCTGTCTGTCTTGGCTTTGGGGAAAATATGCCTGCACAAGACAAGAATACCCGAACCGGTGTCGGATTCTGACGGTGCGGTCTATCACAACTCCCCACATGTGCGCAACGGTGGGCCAGTCTCTTCTCCTTCCCAAGGATCGCCACCAGGACCACTCCCAATTCAAGCGTCAGGCCTCCCGTCGCCAAAGGACTACAATGATCGGAACATGGCTAGCCGCCGGGCCTCGCTTCAGGGTTCTAATGCAACACTGAGAGGTCAAAACTACAAGCGCAACATTGACGTCATTCCCGGCCTGGAATATTTTGCTCTCGCCGGAGATATACTAGGCAGTCAAATTTCTGGCTACACTTTAAAGCACGTCTACGTGGAACTATTCATGGGCTTGTACCATGGACAACTTGGTCGTGTGATAGAGAGCTGGTCGTACATTGCTAGTGCAGGCAGGACTTTGCAGGTAGTCCTTCGACCGTAGGTTTTTCCAAGTCGCCTCAGGTATTGAGAATCTGCTAACCGCAAGTAGGAGCCTTTCGCGGTTGAATGATCTTAGAGCGAACGGCCGTTTTCCGTATTCAACGCGAGATAATCAGCTGGCCTTTGCGTTCTGGACCTGCCTTCAACTTGAAAGGTATGCTTATCTTGTCAATTTCGTGGCCTCTTGTTTCTAACAAACACAGTGATATTCTGGCTGAGCTGCAATTGCCCCACTCGGGTATTTTGATGTACGAAGAGGCAATTCCCTTTCCAAACCTCTCGACACAAATGAACAATGGCTACAGCCAAGATATTCTCACGAGCTACCAAGCACAGCTTTGGGTGCGAAAGCAATTGAACCAAGTGCACCATCAGCTCTATAGCCTTGATCTGCCAGATGGTGGACCCGCAATGCAGGCAAAAACGGAGGATCTGAAACGAGTGCTGGCCAAGTCAGAATGGGTGCCGAAAGAGTTCATGTTCGAAGACAGCGACATGCCAGCAAACGACTTCCTCGCAGCCCGACTCCGTGCGAAGTATTGGGGATCTCAAGTCATTCTTTACAGGCCATACATTCGCATTTGCCTCCACACCCCTCGCGGCGATGGTTCGTCGTCTGTCCACAAGATTGACGATAAACAGGGCTTCCACGTGCCTCCTGGCATGAACGCTCAAGCTCTGAACTATGCTCGTTTGGGCATATCCGCGCTAATACAAAGCACAAAGGCATTCCACGGGCTTGAGAAGGGCCACCGCATCCTAGTCACCAATGTTTTCACAACGGCTCATGCGTAAGTACACCCAATTGAATCCATGATCAAGCAGGCAAAGCTAACACAGCAAGGCAATGGGGTAATTTACTGGTCCTATCTGCTTGCTATGTAGATGAGGTTCTCCGGCAGTTCATCGACCGGCATGAGCTGCAAGAGCTATTTCTCCGTACGATGGACTTTTTCAGAATCATTGCACAGTCGACCAGCCCCCTGAAAATTGACTTGAATATCCTCGAATGGCTTTACGAGCAGCTGAGATTTCCCCCCACCGACCACGAATCAGGCACAAGCTCGAGCGTTTCCAGCATGAACAGCTCCGCACATGCTGCTACTGGACCACATTATCCAGCAATCCAGAATATGCTACCACCACCCTATAACAGCTCGTAATGAGATCTACGAGCAGCAATTGCATTCCAGTTCTTTGTTTGTTGTTGTTTTCTACTTGTCTTTTGAGAATGGGAAAGTTGGATTTTACCCTTGAATACCTCGAGCGGGCATGCGAGTATACATAACGCTCACGACGATATATATCACACTATACATACAATCATCATACTTGGGCGGACTACTACTTGGGAATTCGGGACCATGGTTTCCGAGGTTGGACTTTACAACCGAGCTTGTGTGATGCACTGCACAAGCGACCCCCCTGGCGGGACATATTTGCGTTTATCTTCGACAGTCACCAGGCGAGCATCATCTGGCAGGGGCGGGATTTTTGCATCATTTTCCTAGGTGGGAGTGGAGGAGATACCATTTTCTTTTAGTTGTTCTAGTGTGATATGGTCCCCCAGCGGAACCACGTCTCATCACTTGACATCTTATTATGCATTATAATGTTACAAGATAGCGGACACAGAAGCGGAATGTGGAGGAAGAGATATGGGTCATCAAAGGCAAAATACCCAACAGGGTCACTAGAAAGTTCTTCAGCCAGCATACGCATCTATTCATAAAGCAACATGTGGCGGATTATTGATTGGCAACGTTGGGAATGTGGAACGTGGAATGTTTATACATGAATACCTACCTAACTACTTATTATTTGTATGTTCTGTCTTTTGTGTGTGTGCGTACATACGACGTTGCATCAAGTTGAGTTGCGGATAAACAAGAATTGGCTGTGGGTACAGTGCTGCTACTATACCATGAAAAAGATGCGTCGTGGCTCACCGTTCCAATGTCAAGCAATTCAAGGGGAACCATTCATATGCATGTCTAGACCAAAGCGATCTCTCGAGAGAGGGTGGCTCTTGTTAGTGGCTTGACGGAAAGGGAAGACAAAGAAGAAAGAAAAGCCCCCCTCCTAGAGCCGATAAGTGAGTATACTTGGACATGTTGGCTCACTTTTTTTTTTTTTTCTTGGTCTTAGATCAGGATCTACTTCCTAGAGCACAGATCGATGCAATACTCTGTCTGTACTACCAACCACTAACACAAGAAAAAAAAAAGGTCAAACTCAAAAAGTCTTTTTTTTTGAGGCGGGTAGAGCCGGGTTCTAAATTATTTTCCCCCTAAATCGCGATTTATAGCTCTGGACGCGGAAGCGAAGATCGCTAGCGGGCAAGGTAATAGGTAGTAGTGCCAAGCGGTTAGCAAGCAGTATGCATAATTTTAGCATCATCCTGTCTTTGCTTTCTTTTTCTTCTTTTCCCCCCCCTTGTCTTGAGGTCACGCTTGAAGAACTGCTCGCGTAGATATGCGGTTTTTTCTGTGTTCTCCCTTCATGAAATGAGTCGTGCTTGCCGCAGGACAGTCATGTGGTGCTCTCCCATTTCCGCGCGCGCACAAAAGCCCAAGGCTTTCTTCAAGCCACAATATAAAACACGCCGAGGTCTAATTTATTCCGCATTTATTCCGCGGCATCTATCCCGCTTAGTCATAAAGTATGTGTAGAATGTATAGTAAACACCATGCTTTTCCAAGCGTCCAATGACCGGACCACTATGGCAAAATTGAGAGGGAACAAAAAAGCTCAATACAATACCATGTCCCTGGCGAAGTTCCGTCTCATTGTGCCAGCGCATCAATCCCAGGGGCAATCAAAAGACCAGGGTTAGTACAGAGACCTCATGTCAATTGATATGAGAAGAAGAAGAAGAAGAAGGGAAAAAGAAAACACTCTGGGCACGTGAAGCCACACGATGGAAGATTGTGGTCTTTTTTTTGATCCGTATTCTTGTCCGAAAACCTCAAAACCCCATCATCCATTTCGTATGAATATGATGACCTTGTCGAAGTGCCCAAGCCTGTCATGGATCCATGCATATATACCATGGATGTGGACACCCAAGGACCCCTTCCTCCACTATTTTGCTTTTTCCTGCTGCTCTGCCAGCACATGAACGAGGATGAGCATCAAGGCCAGGCGGGGCCAGAAGCTCAACCGCTGAATTACTTGCATGCATTCTTTCCTTGCTTATTCCTTGTTGCAGATAGTAGACCCCGGATCACCTTGCAATTGGTCTTTGCATGTTTTGCAAAGGCCCCCCCGCATCATGGTATTTTTGCTTATTATGCCTTCTGACATTTCGGCTACGGTACGAGTTGTTGCTCTTCGGAAAGTCTTGATCGCCAAATCCCTGCTTCGGCTCCATTCATCGAATAATACCTGCTATCGTTATATTAATATCCGGTTCAGGGAATTCCGGCCATCGGCGGTTATAGTGGTATAACTTGACAGCATGCATAAAAACGGATCGAGAGCAGCATGTCAGGAGCAATAGTCTTGCCGCTTTGCAAGGTTGCGATCAAATAATAGAGCCCAAAACAACTGTGCTTGCCAGAAACTTTTTGCCTCAACCCACACCTCTTGCTGCAACCCATGACATATAGCACATCTGTCATGCAAAATGTCTCTTGTGCAATCCATTGAGACTTGTCACATTTGTAGTTGCGATCCCTTCGATCTGGAGATCCACGTCGAATGTCTGCATATCGATCGTCCCTCGTCCGTAGGGCCCACCTCAAGACTATTGTACAATCCGCGTGTGTATGTCTCAGGGTGTGTCTCTCATAGTTGCATCCCTACGGGGCAAATCAGGTGTGTGTCACAACAAAAAAAAAAAAAAAAATCAGAGGTTAACCGCCCAATTTGCGCAAAAACCTCACAATACGACGCAACAAGAGCCTTCCGGGCCGCTTTTGCTGTATTGAAACCCCTCTACCTTGCACTGTCCTGTGGGCGGCCAGGATTCTAGTCTTGTTCCCGCGTTTTTGTTTTCTCCGCCAAAGACCACAAGGGGAATAGGTTGCATGATTCGTTGTAGGCGGTACTTAATCAAACACCGAGAAACCTCAGGCTGCCCGGTGGCCGCATAAAGTAGACAATCATGGATGCATGTAACATGCAAAGATAATGGTTCTGAGGATCAGACATCCGTGGGGACAACTACGAGGCAGATCCAACCATCGGGATAAGCCGCATCTCGCATTAATTCCTCAAGCGGAGCCGAGAATGGCACCGGAGCACCGTGAAGTACCACATTGGCGAGCACAGGATCCCGGCTGCTTGGGAATAACATGGGAAGAAGGCCCCTAAGGGCTGCGCCAAGCGTCTGTGGTGTTCCTATTCGGAGCGGATGAGTGTCCGGTTAGTTCCTGGCCAATAAAGTAGTCAACCCCCACAAGTGAAAGGGATGAAAGGAGCATCAAGCTGTCATAGATGTAGACAAACATACTATCGTGGACCCGGGAGTTCACCAGGGATTGGACTACTTTGAAAGACCCTGCTCCGGAGCCGTTGCCGCCGCCATCCGCTGATGGAGATTGGGGGATGTATACCCTGATAGGCACGTTCCTGAGCTGGCGAGAGGTGTTGAGTAGCCTCGAGTTGACCTTGGCAAACGAGGTGTAGTCGTCTTCAAACAACACGAGTCAGACCAGAAGAAAGCAAAGGACTGGCATGACACGGGCCGGGCACGGGGTTACATACTGTCCCGAACGGCATTCCAAAGTGCTGTCGTGTGCTCCTTGGAGAGTGACATGATCTGCTGTGCATTGCCGTTCCGCACAAAGTCCGCCTGTGCAATGCAGATAGCAGTCAGCGTCAATATACAAAGTGAATATTCCCTGTCGCAGAACGATGCAAGTAGCTCTCTTATTGGCCTTGAATATCAGGGATGTGTGATACAAATTTTGCGCAAACAACTCGCCCGTGCCATGGCCATGTCGAGAATAGATAGCAAGCCAGCACTTTTATTAAAAAAAAAAAAAAAAAAGGGAAGCAGATGAGACAGGATTGAAGAAAGTCCTGAAGATTAGAGAAAACCAGGCAAAAAGGGTCAACAGATGAATAGGCAGATAGACAGACAGACCTCTTTGGCACTGTTTAGAAAAGTGTCGCCAATGTCCCAGCTCGTGCCGTCGCCCACAGTCAGCCGCCAGGGCAAGGTGGGCGAGTACAGGTCAACGAGCAGGCCAACCGCAAGGTTTCGCAGCAGCACGTGTTCATGATGGAAACTGGAGCAGGGCAGACCAAAGTAGGAGGTCAGGCGTGGAAGCAGCAGGGCCAGATAGCTGAAGCGTGGGACTGTGGTGACAAAGGGCGTGTTGGGGAGCGAGGTGTGGGTGATGTAGAGCGGGACGTGCAGGTCCCAGAGGGTCTCGGGGATGCTGCTGCGATCACCGCCGCCGCCACTGCCGCCGCTCATCTGGCGGGATATTGGCAGGAAATCTTGGATGAAGGAAAAGAATTGTCTATTCCAAGCGTGTGTCCTGGGTCGGATTCGGTTCGGGGTGCGGCGTAACCTTTCTGAGGCAGCGACAAAGCAACAGTGGAGGAGATGCAGATTGAAGGGTGATGAAAGGAGACGTTGTCGTTGGCTGGGCCAGGGTTGCAGACAGAGAGAGAGAAAGTGGTTCGTTCCCTTGTTTGCAATCCCTTCGAGGTTGTTAACGTCCCGCTGCTGCCTCAGAGGGAAAGCTTATCGCTGACGGTTCGCCGTGTGAACAGTAAGGAAACAACAGCCTGGGGGGTGGGGGGGCCGGGCGCCGATCATGTGGGGTATCTTAGGCACTGTAGTGACCCGTTAGCGCAGGAGGACCGCTGAAACCTGACATCCACCCCCATGGTAAGGCAGGTAAGGCTGGAATCAGCCATGGGCTACTCGGGCTTGTCTTTGCATGAAGAAGTTTGTTCTTTTTCTGGCAGGATGAGGGTTGGCAAATATTGACCTAGGTCAATGCTGCCGAGATGCCGTTCAGGACGTATTTACTTTAGTGATGTATCAAGTCATCTAACCTAGATACCAAGTAGCTAACCGTCCAATACTGAATACCTACTTATAGCTTGAAGAAAGGAGCTTGTGTAAATTTTGCTTTGGTATTGCGTATGTACATACTGCACTGGGATTCAAGCTGACCATCAACTGTCCCGCTGGTGCAAGTTAGGCGATATCGATTACCCAGGTTATCCTCTCATCGAGCCATGTTACCATGTCATGGATACTAAATTGAGCGTCTGAAGTCAGGTCATCTGGAACTCCGAATTCAATCTTCATCTCGTTAAGCCACGTTGTATCCCTGGCCGCTGCAGAGATGATACTTGATTCATATGATATGCTCTAGGTGGACACAGGGGCGTATTGTTATTCGTATTATTACATTTTTGTCTTTATTTTACTCATTCACAGCCGGGTGCCTAGATATACTGCGAAAAGAAACGTAGCTGACACCCAAAGTCCTCCCGATGTCCAGTTCGTCCCGCGCATGAGAGCATCGCACACAAAACCCTGGCCACTTGATTCCTAAACGACCACACAACCTTGATTGTACTTGTCAGACAAGTACCACGGAGTATCAGTAGAATTCATGCATATCCCACAGACAATATTCGATCCAGGCATGTATGAGAAAAGGAAAGAAAAACAAACCAAACTCCAGCTCCGTTATCTGATGCAAAGTATTGATGATCTGGAAATTGCTGATAGGTCATGATATCGGCCATCCTCCAAATCCGTACGTTTCTGCTGAATCAAATAATCATCATTACGTACGGGTTCATGTGCCACTGTTTCAATACTTTCTTTTCCTCATCCTTCCCCCCTTTCCCTTCCTACTCGTCGTGCATATTGGATTTCAGCACACTGTAATATTGCCAGATTGCTTGCCGCCGGCAACGTCCACTACAGGCATCAAAAGCATGTGGCTTGTGTAGGGATGTTTTCTCGAGAATTGGGTATCGAAAAAAGAAACCAAAGACCAAGACGAAAAATCAAATACTCTTGTACTAATGAATACCCATCTCTGACGCACATCATAGGCTGAGCTCTTTTTTTTCTCTTAATAGGAAATTTGGACGTTCTAGACGGACGCCGCACAAAAGGAGAATGAAAATGCTCCATCTCCCTACAAGAGCAAGTTCAGAAGGCACCATGCAAGGTTACACCAAGGCTTGACAATGGGGTTGGCAAAAAAGAGATGAATCATTGACCAATACAAACCCGTGTCTCGGAGATAATGCATAACAAACCAAAATAACGTCCGCATAAACGGGGAGAGACTCTCAACCCTGCCTGTTACGCTCGTACAAGCAAAATAACCTTTGAAGCTGAACTCGAATAAACCACACTCAGCAGCCACTCCATGGCCTCCTTGTCAATAGTGCTAAGTGATCATAGCGGCGAACTTTAGAGCATCAGTTCCTTACCTAATATAGCAAATTCAAATTACTTTGATAGGGCAGTCTGGAATATGGTGCCTGGCACTCATTCCTTCCGTATCTTATGAGCCGCCTCATGTTTCTTTATGTCAGCATACGCCACTCGTGGCTGCTTAGTGTGGCTATCCGTGTAACGGCCTCATGTAGGCTGTCTGTAATACGGTAGGGACAGAGCTTTTACTGCCGGTCGGCCCGTACATTAGTTTTGGACTTGAAAGAAGCATCTTCAATATTGTGCTTAGTCGAATTGATACCGTCTGCTGCGCCACAGTGTGCGAAGGGTACCGCAACGGGAAGGGTTGATTAAGTCTGTTTGTACACACATATTTTCGTAGATGTAGACCATCTTTAATTACTCTTTATTTGAGATACTGGTCGTATAACCCTCGTATCAATTCGGCCAGGACTCACATTATCATGTTCAGTCAAGGCCGCTCAACTATACATAAGAGTTCGTCCATGTTCTTGCAAAATAGTCAGTCGCAATAGGAGAAAGCTTATGTGCATGGAGATGTAGTAATCAATATCAACAGCAATGTACAACGTACAAGCAGATGCAGTAGTCTATGGTCAACCGCAATGTATATGAAATTATAATTATTAGCGAGTGGCAAGGTCACAAGACGAGCTATCCATGGATGGGCCATCGCAATGTCTCGACCTTGCAATATTTCCTAGCACTAGCAGCTCTATGATATATCTTGCTCATGCAGCAGCCGATCCTGTGAATAGAGGCATTAGACATCTGGTCTTGGGTATCTTAGATAGACTATAGCCTCCCAGGGATGAATCTCCCTCCCCCAGTATCCAAATCTAAATCTCCCGCCCGCTGGCATTTACAGCCTTTTCTTGATCAGGCGATACATCCTTATTAGGGACCACGCCACCATTGACAACATGGGCCTCGCTGCGCGGCCCAATGTAGTAGTGGCGGCCGCTGATGAACCAGTAGCTGAATGCAAGCAGGAATACAAAAGCCAGAATCACGACAGCATAGTTCATCTATTAAAGGGTTAGTCACATGATATTCCTGGAGGAAAGGGTCTCGAAACGGAATGTGATTTCTTACATTGTCTGGGGTGACTGGCATTGCTGTAGGGAATAGGAAAATGACCGAGACGAAAGCCGTCCATATGCAAGCCCAGGCATTCACAAAAGGGCTAGCCTTGCCCAGATGCCACGGGCCGCGCTCGAATTTGTGGAAGAAGAGCTTGCAGATGATTGGAATGCAGTATGACCAGTCAAGACAGATGGCGCAGATGTTGAAAACGGCAGAAATAGCCGTGTAGCTGCCCAGTCCGATGAGGTTGATCAAGATGCAAAGAAGCGAATAGAACCAGACAGCCAAAACGGGGGTGTCAGTCTTCTTCCAGATCTTGTACCAGATCCTGGAACCTGGCAACCTATAGGAGAATAATAAGTAAGCTTCTCGTTTGCTTTGAAGCAATATACGGGGGGCATCTTAACAGACTTCCCGAGTACGATATTGATTGGGCTAGAAAGGAGGAAATTCTTTCAGAAACCTATCTCTTCTCTACTTACATCTGATCTCTGGAAAATGCCCAGATCGTACGAGAGCCGGCTTGAAGTGCCGTGATGCAGACAAAGTTCATGATCATGAAGGCAGACACGGCAAAGAAGATGGCAGCTCCCTTGCCCATGACCTGGTGGAAAATTTCGACAACCTAGGAAGTAATCGTCAATCATGGCATCTTGCATAAGATGATAGGTCGTCAGACTCACCGGTTGGGCGATGGGGCTGCTAAGAATAGTGGCTGGATCACCCATGCAAAAGACAAGTACAATGTTGAAGAGCCATCCAACGACGTAGGTAAACGTCAGAGCGGTTGAGATGGCCTTGGGAACAACCATGGCGGGGTTCTTTGCCTCCTCGGCAATGTGTGCAGTAGCATCGTAGTCTGTCATGGTCTAAACATGTTGTAGATTAGTACATGATTCAGTATCAATAGGAGGCTCATTTCTTCGGAGGCCCGGGCAGAAATATTTATTTGTTCGTTTCAGGACATTCAAGAAGAGAGAATCTCGCCCAATACCTGGAGCGATCGATATCAAGGGAAATGGTACGACCAAACTTACCCATGCGACAGACAAGAATCCAAAGAGGAAAGAGAACCCAGGCGGTGTCCAACCAGAAAGCGGCTCGGGATCAATATAAGTGAAGGCGTACTTTGCATCGTGCTTATCCTTTTGCATGACGAGCAGAGCCACACAGGCGCTGAACAAGACAGCAATGTGGAAGACGGCATAGGTCTTGGCAAGGTTGTTCAGCCATGCAGTGGACAAGGTATTGATGCAGGCATGGAAGATGACGAGCGCAACCATTGTTCCGATAATGTGCGCAGGTTCCACGGTATAATGATATGTCTCTCCGTCGTAGGATCCAAGCGAAACAGCTGCGAGCAACATTTGAGCTGCACCATATTCGGACGAAGCACTGCCGGCAATTTGGCCGATGAGGTTGAGCCAGCCTGTGATGATCTAGTCAGCTCCATGAATCGCGTATCGAACAGCTCATTCAGGAATCAATTTCCCCTAGAACAGAGCAAGCAAATATATGCATGGGCAAAAGAAGAACGCACCATCAATCCATGCAATCCATGCGACATGTTTCTCGGGGGCTAGGTATTTAATGGTGAAATACAATGCGCCTGTTTAGCTATAAGTCAGCCACCTATATTCTCAGAAAGTTGTCTCCGGGGACGCAGCGTACCCGAGGTAGGATAAGCCGAGACGATCTCGGAGATGGACAAGGCCAAGCACAGAGCACCGGCGCCGGCAATCAGCCAACACCAAATCGCGGCAGCGCCACCGCCGGCGTAAAGCGGGTAGCTAAAGGTCGTGGCAACGGTTGCGAACAGACCCGAGATACTCAGAGCGAAACTGAAGCAGCTCCACATGGAGAATTCACGTCTAAAGACCTGTGCAAGGGGGTGAAGAGAGAATCTTAGTTTCAATGCGATGCCGCGGACCGATTCCAAAAGGAACCAAAAAAAGTGCTTACGGGCTTGTATCCCATCTCTGCCAATGCTCTGTCGGCATCGTCGAGCTCGCCGATCGAGTGATCGATCGTAGGCTCTTGGACCTTTGCCTTGTCTTCTGTTGTCATTGTGTCGGTCTTTGAGTGTATGCACGTATGGTAATTCTTGGCCTGCTAAGACACGAGACCCCGACGGGGTGGGACTAGACGCTTGGAAAAGGAAGATCAGGGTCCTCCGCCGAGCATGCAGATCCGGGGAAAGAAAGGTTTGCGCTTTTTTTGGCAGGAAAGGTAGGAAACTTGGCCGTCGCTTGACTTGTTGTGTCGGCAACTCAATAGAGAATGAGCTGAGAGGAAAGAAAGAAGAAGAAGAAGAAAAGAAAAATTTGAGGCTCGGGTAACTACCGTGTGTCACGCCGCCTCGTGGGATTCACGGTGCATTTGAATCAAATGGGCGAGACTCTCCATTAATCTCGCAGCTTTACCCAAGGGAACGTCACGCAACATCAAGGCCGCCCACCCCCTACATACCTTGTAAAGTGAGATACCGAGAACGAGACCCTGGAGGGGGCCTGCAGCAGTAGCAAGTGGCAGCAAGCATGGGTGGGTGGTTTGTCTCTCATGGGTTGAGCACCGAGATTCTTGCCATGACAGGCCATGATAGGCTGGAATGGTGACCTTGTTGTCAGCCACGCAGCCCTGGCCACAGCACTAAGATGCCTCTGGCTTCATCTTTTTGCCCGCTGGGTACGTATCAGGCCATTGCGCCGGTGTGTTTATCTACGCGGCGATGGATGGATATCAAAAAAGACTCTGGTCCAGCCCATTGGGAAAAGAACAAGAGCATCAATCCAATGAAAATATCCAATGGCAGCATTTGTTTGCACGTGGAAACATCCCTGGAGTTGAGAGAGAAGGCAAGAGATAAGTGTTTGGAATTAGCGGCGGGGCTCACATCGGCTCATACACCGCAAAACGGATAGCTTCCATGGGCTGAAGGCCTTTTCATTGGTGCCTCCAGCGTCCATAGATAGGCGAGCTGGGGTAAAACCGCACTGAGGGTCAACTCAAATTTGTGGTACCCAGCTGCGTCGCTTGTAAGTGCGTAGGTAATAACCAGTATTCGTACGTACGCTCACTGATTTTTCTACTTCATCGTACCAGGAAAACACCAGGAAATGAAAACAAAAAGAGTCGTCAGATTATGGAACCTCCGTCCTGCTTTTCCAGTTCCTCTCCCTCTGAAATTCAGTAATTATATCATCTGGCTTCGAGATACTACTGCAAACTATAGGGGTCAAGCGCAAGCTGTGGCCGAACCGTCGTCCTGGGTAGGCACCTAGGTTCTGTAGTAACTAGTAACCCGTTGGACAAGATTTGAATTCCAGCCCGTCGTGTGCTACATCACAACGGAAACCCGACCTAGTCCACAAACGATTGCGGCCCGTTACAATATTAGTTGCTAGTCGAGGGCGACGCGCCATTGAACATGCAAACAACTACTATTATATTCGTCCAACCCACAACAAGTAAAGCTCCATATGATTAGCACAGGGCAGCAGGGCCAGAAGGGTAGTGGGACGACGGAATCGAATTGATAGTTTCTTCTCTTCGCTTCTTTCAATAAACGCTACTTCCAGAAGGATTCCGAAACACGAGTAAGGTTTCCCATGGTCTATGGGCATGCCATGGTTGATCGCATATGACGAAAAATGTCGCACGTAAAGATTCCTTCTGGATGGTAAGACAGGGTCTTCCTTGACAACGGACTTGCGTCTCAAGTGTAAACCCAAATTCATTATCCGACCATGGGCTCCATCAAATTTTGAATCTGAACCCGTTGCTCACTGCCGCTCCAGGCGCCGCGTTAATGGCGCCCTCGACGTGGATGCCCCGATCCAACTTCTTGTTCAGCCGGACGAGCATGAAGCGCAGCACGGTAGCTGCGCAAATGGCGATAAAGGACGTGGTACAGTTGACCGACATGGCGACAATGTAGCGCGGCCCCGCCGAGTTGGGATACATGTAGGACGCGTAGATGGAGCTCGTGTTGCTGACGGCATTGATAAAGGCCAGTCCCGCTGCCCGCTTGGCCGGCGGCCGGGGCAGGGTGTTGCTGATCCAGGCGAGCGCCACCACGTAGCCCGTGTACACGCCGGGGACCATGAGCATCATGCTGAGGTAGCGCGGCGCCAGCGACGTCGTCGTGGCGGCGATGATGTTGGCGGCCATGTTGATCACCAGCGGCCAAATGACGTGCCAGTAGCGCTCGCCCGTCTTGTCGGCGTGCCAGGCATTGGCAAACGATGTGAGCACGCAGAGCACGTACGGCGGCGCGGTCAACAGGAGCGAGTTGACGTTGTTGTATCCCAGCGTGGCCACCACGGTCGGGAAGAAATTGGTCACGGAACCGCTGGCCACGAAGCAGAACAAGAGGACCATCTGTTGACGCACACGGAACAGATGAGTATACGGGTCCGAAGTCTCGAAATGAGGACGATTTTCGGGGCATTACTCACCAAAACATACGTCTTGATATCGCTGAATGCGAGTTTGGCGCCCTGCCAGAACGTCTGATGCTCACTATCGATCCAATCATCCTCTCCAATATCTTCCTCCAACCTCCATATTGCCAATGCCCTCTCCTCTTCACTTAACCAGCTCGTCGTCCGCGGAAAGTTGGGAAGAATAAAGTAGCTGATGAAGGCGATACCAACCGTGGCAACGCCCTCAATGATGAAAAGCCACTGCCAGGCGGCGATACCTCTGACGCCGTTGAGGTTGGCCGTGATGCCCGCCGAGATGAGCCCAGAGAAGGCTCCAGAGATGAGGGCGCCCGAGTAGAGCATGGCCGTTCTCAGACCCAGCTCTTTTCGGGTATACCAACAACTCAGATAGTAGAGACATCCGGGGAAATAGGCGGCCTCGACAAAACCTAGAAAGAATCGCACGGCAATGAGGCCGCCAAAATTCTTGACGCCGGCGGTTGCAGCAGAGATGATTCCCCATACAATCATCTATTATTGCGTCAGTACTCGTTTCGCTTTTACACCAGGCTTTCATGTCTCCTTTGCCAGTTCTTGTGTGTATTCATGCCGCCTATCAAGTGGGGTAAGTAGTAGCAGGGACATACGCAGGTTGGGAGGTAAAGCGCAGGCTTTCCGATCTTGTTGAGAAAAAGATTCGAGGGTATCTGCATCAGCAAATAGCTGCATGATGTTCCTTGTCATTAGCACTTGGTCCTGATTCGCGTGCACAGCAGTATACGGCTCCATACCCTACAAAGAGAATGCTAACAGCAGTCTGGTATTCGGTCGATCCGGATGGCAAGCCCAAGTCTTTCTCGAGGTTGGCGAGTTTCGCAGCAGCAATATTGTTTCTGGTAGCGGTCAGCTTTTCTGATCGCAGAAGTAGTACCACAGTGTTCCAATGTGCTATTACCGGTCGATATAGTTCATGATGTACTAGGTGGGGGGCGTCACCCCTCAAGTCAGCCACATCCACAGTGTGTTTGTTTCCAGTGGCATCAAAACGCACCATGATGATCATTGTCGGCAAAAGTCTGAGATCAATCTTCTTTCTGAGGTGCTTCTCGAGTTCCTGTCGCCGCTCGGGCGTCATGTTGGCAATAATGGCAGGCGGCTGCAGTCCGCCGCGTCTGGGCGATTCTGAGCCCGTGAGCCCGGCCTCCGCCTCGGCCGCCGGCTTTGTGCCGTCCGGGTACGCGGGAGGCGAGTCGTCGGCCGCCGAGGCGTGCTCGACGTTGGCTTTGAGGTCCGCCATCGGGGTTGACAAAAGCTCCAAAAGGTCTTTCTCCTTGCTTTTCCCCCGACGAGATTGTGCAATGATGCTCGCTGTACTGAGCGGTCCGATTTTACGCAACAAGTAAAAATACGAGAGGGGTAGCAAAAGGGCGTAAAAGAATTGGATGTGTGCGACCCTGGCGATTTATATAAGAGCCGGTCTTTCGGTCGTCGGTTTCACTCCGGGCGAACGAATCATAGCAAGGACTATCTTTGGGCAGCGGGTGGGATCTCGCATACTAAATAAGGATGAACTGGGGGGGAGATCAAGACATCTGACGTTTTCTCCAACACACGGAGATAATGCTTGCATACATGGATGGCAATTAATCCCCTCTACTTACCAGCCCTGGCACTCTGCCTGTCCGGGCCTTGGTAGGAGATGCAGCCATAGGTAAAGCATCTCGTGGTGGATAGAGTAGCTAGCCCCCTGGCCATAGATGACGGTGAGAAAACCTGCCAAGCCATGACGCTGTCATCGCAATTGGCTGCGGGTGAATTCATTAAATGTAGCTTACAAGGTTCGAAGCTCCGATATCCTTGACCATGAGCTTGGGTTCAATATGCGGGTGACAGAAGTCGTGCGGGGTTAGCGCTTGACTCGAGCGTCAACGACCGGTAGTGAAAATGGAGGAGAGCAAAGGGGCTAGTATAGAGGAGCAGATCATGGACCGAAATGGGTATTGGGGCGGCAAAGGTGAGGGGGGGTTCTCTTGCCATGTCGTTTCTGACGTTGTGAAAGTTGGGGAAATGTTGGGGGAAAATGGGGGAAAAAGTGGGAAGGATCATCAAGGTCATTCGATTGGTGGCTATAATACCAGATTCGTCTCGGAAGACTTCCACATATGTACAGAGCACTGCTATGCCGCTTCTCAACACTTGGAGATTGCCTGTATCGTATGTTTGACCAACGCGATCTGATATGAGATCCACTACCGATAACAAGCATTAAAAGAATATGCCAAGATATTGGTACTGCTATGAATGAATTTATATGAATATGTATAACGCTTTTTCTTCTCTCTCTCTCTCTCTCTCTCTCTCTCTCTCTCTCTCCCCTCTAGGATATATATGTATATATACAATGAGGCTCGTATGAACAGGATAGGATAGGTGGGCGAGCTCCCCTAAGGTTTTGAAAAAAAAAAAACACAAGTGCAATAGGTAGATATGGCATGTTGTAAATACATGGACAGAAGCTTATAGTGGTGTGTGTGCAGGAATGCACAATCGAATGCAGGCAATTAGTAACTTATTGGTATCGTGGATATGTTTCGTTCGCTTGGGCGTTTAAATCATCGTATCGGGCATTTAGACTCTGACTGCTTTGCAATTTGGGTCGTCGTTTGTTGTTGCTTTCTTTGAACGTCGTACATGTGTACAGCCGAGGTGGTGTGTCCCGCCGTACTATTATACGCCCGAGTCGTCTTGAACAATGTGATACTTGTCCTTGAACGCGTTCCATTTGTTGCAAGTTTGATTCAGGTTTTCTGCATTGACAGTGGCGGCGATCTCGCTCTGGCGCTCAATGAGCTGCAGCGCAAAGCCCTCCGAGGTGTGCCATCCAATCTTGAGTCGCATGTTAGTCGTAATTATCATAAAATTGTGCGTTGAATGACTTACGTGACAGTGCAGCAGCCAGACACCTGGGTTATCAGCCTGGTATGCAATGACCAAGTAGCCACCCGCCGGAAGCATGGCGACATCTCGCCTGGGCGGGTTGACAGTGTTGAGTTCTGACCGGTGCGTCCACCTGGAACTTGCCTTCTGCGCAAGAATGAAAAAGTCGTGACCATGGAGGTGAATCGGGTGCGGCTAATTTTGGTCAGCCTCAGTTGGTCAGATTTTTCCAGGCCTTGGGACTCTTACCAGTCCAACGACGGACTCAATAACAAAGTAGACCCATTGGTCAACCTCGTTCAAATGGACAACCTGCTGGCTCTTTTCATATGCGGTGGATCCATCGATAACTTGCTGGAGGGCTACTTCAGGTTCAATAATGCTTCCATGGAAATATCTTAAACTGCTAAACTTACTCGGCTCATCCCAGTCCGTCTGGAAAGGACTCCCATTGATAGTCCAACGAAAAATGCCCGACGAAGTGTCGATCCCAAAGTTGAAAACATCTTGAACTCCGGACTGGTCAACATCAAGCTCAACATAAGGCACCAGGTCCGATTCATCATCGCAATCGTCCTTGCTAACGCTAGTGGTGCTCTTGGGTGTCTTGACATCAACACTGTCATAATTGAAGATGCCCTTGATGTTGAGAGTTTGGACATTGGCAGCACTGCAGGCCGTCTGAGGCACCGACCGGAGCCAGTAGTTCCCAGGCTTTTGATTGGCGGTCACGATAACGTCGTACCGCTGGCCCATGCCCACGTTGATCGAGTCTGTAACGTATGGCTTGATTGCCACGAGGTCCGCGCCAATGACTGTCAGTTTGTGGCCATCAATAGAGAATCTGAACATGGTGTTCATGGCGCCGTTGATGAGGCGAATTCTGTAAGACTTCCCAGCAGTAACCGAGGTCTGGTATCTTTTACCACCCTTTCTGTAGACGTTGGTGCCATTGATGAGACCATTGTCAGCTGCCGGGGGTCCGCCCTGGGAAGCCTGTGGCCACAGAGCGTCGACTGTCTGATGGTACCAGTCGTTCAAGAATAAGACGCCCCTATCTTCATCGTAAGAGGATGTAGCTGGTCCTCGGATAACCACACCACCAAACACGCCGTTCCTGCACCCCTGTTAGATTACAATGATCGTTTGCTTGCAAGAGCAAAAAAAATATCGAGGCACTGACCAGGCCTGAAGGCTAAAGTGCGAGTGGTACCATGTTGTGCCATATTGAGTGGCTCTCCAAGTATCTTGAGACGTTAAGTTAGTAGAGAACAAGGCAGCCATGACATTGTACAATGATGAATCGCCGTGAGATAACGCCAGATGCGTGCCCCGTGATGAATCAAATCACTGAGGTTTATGATCTAGAAGCTTGCTGGCAGGACCCGCTTACATGTGCTTGATTCACCCGGAGCAGTTGGGCACTGAGTGATGGAAGCAACGCCATCGTCTTGAGATGTATTGCTTGAATGAAATGTCAGCATGTGAAAATTCGAAATGTCCACTGTGGTCATCATGGAGAGATGGTTTGTTGCTCACTTTTGTCGTACACCGTGAAAGTGTATACTCGTTCCATTGGTTATAAGGTTGTTTGTGACGTGAAGGACTATAAATTGATTAGGCCAAGGCCTGTATAGTAGGCAGACTGGTGAAAAAACTTGCCAATTGTATCTCCCCAATCAGCGTAGATGGTAGGTCCAGGGACTGACCCATTTATGGTCATGACCAATCGTTGTACGCCATCTGGTGCGGCATAGTGTTGAGAAACATTAAACCAATATTCCCGGATGACACCAGTATTTGGTCCTTCCTTATACCAGTCCGTGGAGAGGGACCAGTCGCCCCAGCATTGTGGTGAGTTTTTCGAGTCAAATTCGCACTGATGGCTATCTTGTGACCGACTGGCAACGTCGTGCTGTGGAGCCGCGAGTACGGCGGCTGTGAAAAGAGCAAATGAATTAGTCAAAACCGTAGCGAAACGCATTTTGCCTTCTCCCCCTTTGAGTGGGCGATGAACAATGAATAAACAAATGATGGACCACAGAGCCGCTTATCAGGAGAGTCGAGGAAATATAGCGACAGTATCATGAGTTATATACATACCTAGAGAACTTTGCCATGTATCATCACACCTTATCCGCGTAGGCTGCACGGACCAAACTCAGCAAGCGAAGAAAAATCATCGAGCGCCGCAAGAAAATGCAGCAGTGAACCAAGACTGATTAGAATTGTTGGGTGACATATGCACTGAACCTGAGTAGTGCCAAGGGGCAAGTGAAAACTACATGGTACGACGTCCTAGCCACGTGTGGTGCCATTCGAGCGGCAGGTTTGGTCGGGGAGGTCGGAGGCCAGTACGAATTTCGCCTCCCAGATTTCTTTTGAGAGGTTGCTGCTGCTGCTGCTGCTGTTACTCTTACTGTTGGTGAGACTCCAGGGCAACGTTTCCAACTATAATTCGTATCCAGCCATGCATTTGATTGCTGATCAAGACCCAATAGTGCACATTTGCGCAAATGCTTGCGTGCTCGTACGCCGCTGTCAGAGCAACATGGGAGAACCAATTGGGCACATTTTGTATTCTTGTTCTTACCGGCCTTGACCATGCACCTTATCAAAAGTGTCTCAGCTGAGCCTCCAATCGATGCGAGATCGCCATGATAGGCACCATCCCTATCTTGAGGCTTCGGCTTCGATTACGTGGCAGGGTCCTCGTCTGCCCGTTGATCTTTCCAGAGTATGTATTGTTCACCATTCTCTAGATGTGTTGGCAGTCCCGGCGGAAACAGTCATTCGTGGGTTCGATGCCACATATAAGTCGCCTCGGAATGAAGCAAGCCTCTTCCGAGGAGGGAAGTGAGTCGCCATATCGACCGAAGAAAAACCACCATTTGCACAAGATAGGGGCTCATAGATTTTGTCTGTGATGACTTTGTGGCGTGGGTGTAGCGACGAGCATCGGGAGGGTGAAGATCCGACCTCACCCGCCCTTTCTGTCGATTCTCTGCAGGACAAGTTTCCTTAGCACAACAGTCAAAGCGTCGACCAGGTCAGTCTGGAAGCACCAAGAGACAGCCGCCGCAGCACTGAGCAGCAAAAGAGGGCGGCGGCAACACAGGGCAAGACACGGCCGTTACAGCAGCAGTGGGTAGAATGTGGTGAGCAAGGTTACGGTCCTCTGGTAACGACCCGCGTCCGAAAGTCTAATTGACTTTTTTTTTCTCCCCCTTTGATATGGGGGATCTACCGCTAAGCAGTTCGGGGCCCAGTTCCCCGACTGTCCCTGCCGTCGCCACTTGCTTTAAACCGAGGACGATTTCTTTTGGATCTGTGTTGGCTCTTTCTTTACTCTCGCGATCTCTCGCGTCCTTGTCACATCTGCAGTATTTCTTATTTGTTTCAAAGTTTTCACAATGCTTCATTTTTTCGCTTATTATTATTGTCATTTCGTGAAACTTCGATGCATACTCAGTATGAATTCAACATTAAATCTGAAGCAGTAAATAATCTGGCTGCTGCGGGAGCAGCGGATGTGCAAGGTAACTTTTTCGTCTTGGCAGCTTGCTTGGCAGCAGCTTCACAGTGGAAGACAAACAGAATATAAGAAGAACGCTTTGACCAGTTTGTCTTGCAGGTTCTGGCTCTGTCCTTGCATCTGTTGATGGTTAAGAATATTCCAAGAATAATCCAGGGCTGGGGCGTGGAACACGAACATTGCTGCTTCCACTGTCTCCCATACACCACACACACACACCTACACACTCTCTCTCTCACTGTCTCTCTTCCTTCCACCCCAGCCCTAGACCCATACTTTATCATTATCGAAAACAAAAAGTACATTTACACCTATTTCAGCCACATTTTCCCACGCCCCAGTTTTCTAAGCTACCCGAAACTCTCTTTATTTTAGATCGTTACACTGAGCATGCGTCCATCTGCCCATCTTTCGTGCCCCTGGATATATGGCATGATTGGGGGTTCAGCGAGTCAGGAGAAATTCGAAATCTATGATCCAAGTCTAACTTGGCTCGTCAGCCTCTCTCTCCTTCTCTTACATACCAGCGAGTATCGCCACAGACGCAATTGACAGTTGTTCTCATGTACGCAGAGTTGAGAAAATTCTTCTTGAATGAGCACGAGATCTTGTTTTGCACCTCCGCGCATCCCGTTAAAGCTTTTGAGAAAAGTCCAAAGCTTTTTGAGGATTAGAAGTGGCCAGAACTTGCTGGCTGGATGAAAGACAAATGCACCTGGCGGAGGGGCCGAGAAGAGCCAAACGGTCAGCGTTGAGGATTGGATATTGCTTCCTGGTGCCCCTACGGATTCTACGCATTGCATTTGTCCTAGCTGCCTATGCTTGCAGTTGGATGCAAACTCGCCAAAGCAGAACCAACCTCGGCCTGCGTTGCGCCGCAGCATGTGCAACTTATTTATCAGCTCAATTTTTTTTTTTTTTTTGGACGCAACTCAGGTAACTTGTCAAAACAGAAACACTCTTTCCTTGCCGTGTCCTGCATCAGCTGAACAAGAGCAATATTGTGATATTTGCCAATTTAGTCTGAGACTGCCGATCTTGCTTGGAGACTCTACGAGTTTTTATGCTTCTTGATACGTTGGACCTCTCATCCTTCTTCCACGTTATATCCTTATTCCAATTCGTGCTCGACTTTGCTCGGGCATTTCAAGAGAATATGGGATAGTACTTGTTGTATTCATGGTTCCTGGGTCAGATAATCCCGACGCTGCAGAATCAGGTCGACATGAAGCGTTATTCCACCGCTTCAGAACAGGGAGCGCAGTAATATGCGATCGTGCGAGCAGGAGGCCACGCAGAGACAGTTATAAGCACAGCCTCAAGGCACAGGTTCAATGCCCGAATTCGGCATCATGTATGTGTGCAGCTTCGCATAACCACACTCTGCTTGGCAGTACGTTGTATGCGATGCGACCATAAAAAATTCGTCTATGCATATACTCTCCTTTCTGGCTGGATATTTATCGTGATTGGCCAAACCCCATAACAACCACGCATTTTTGGAATCCGGGGAATTAGACATGCTTGCTTTTTGCCACGACAAACTCATTTGATTTTTTTCTCTTTCTTATTTTCAAGATTTTTCATAGCGAAGCGATTCTCGTCGTACTCCAATACTTGTCGCTCTCCTCCATGACAATTTTGCCCTCTGCCTCCAATGGTCCAATTACCTCTACATCTTTCTGTGGGCAACCCTTTAGGAAATCCTTGGTGTGCCAGTCCACTAGGATGATAAGGTGAGCAACCAGCAACATTGGGTGAAGGGAAATGGGTTACTCACTCGTAAAATTCTCCTTGTTTCCTGGACCGGTCAACTCGTATAGCTGATCATTGGTACCGGCAAAGATGATGCGGCCAATATGAGCCCACTAATATTACAGGCATTAGCAATCGTATATATTTCCCACTAGACTATGCAACCGTAAACATACGTAAATTGTAGCTGTGCACATGCCACAGGGCTCCCAGGTGCTGACGAGGGTGCACTGCCAGAGAAACTCCTTGGTATAGTGGGTATAGGCGAGGCGGGCAAGAGAGCTCTCGGCATGATTGACCTGGTCGATACTCTGGTGGGTCAAGAGGACCGTTTCATTGTCCGGGCCGAGCAGGACGGCGGCAAAGGGACGCTTGCCAAATGTCACGGCCCGTCTCTGGACCACCAGCGCCGCTTCCACGCCGGCCGCGATCTGTGCCGGGGTGATGGGCTTCCGCTCCGGGAAGAGGTGCGGCAGTAGAGCTGCTGCGCTGCCGGGGGTGGGTGCTGCTGCTGCCATTTCCAAGTAAGTAGGTATGTAGGTAATATTGGCAAGAAATCTCCTCTGTGCTCGCCGTTTTACTTGGTGTAGCGTGAAAATTTTAATTTGAAGAGAAAACTATCTTTCATGTAGATTGATGATTGTCAATGTCACGAACAACTGTCCCTTCATATACATGGTCTTGATGTGGCCTATCGGTAGCTTGTTCCGCCGGTCTAGGAGCCCGGCGAACGCCTTCGATAAGGACCCGTCACCCCACAAACCGGGTGAGCCCCGAAATCGCGAACCGGATACATGCAGGTAAGGAAGTCGGGTCATGATGGCTCTGGTTTTCAAACACAATGCAAAGCGGCATCTAGTATTCCATATTGGATAATAGTAGTCAGTATGGTTTCGCAATTGGACTATATTTGTATTCATACCGGTCAATTCCTGGGGGCACTTTGGGGGATGCACGCCACTACCTAGGTAGCTCTCATAGGCGTCTTATTACGCTTCTGTCCCACCCACACGAGCTTATTACTGAATAACAGACCGAGCGAGTATGGAGCCCACCCCTCTAATCTGCACGATTGCAAACACACTACTTATTCCAAGAAAATTTACAAATTTCCAAATCGGGCCGGTTGGCGAAATGGTATCGCGTCAGATTTCGGCTAGAGAACAATCTCTTGTAAACCGTCATCCTACCTCTGAAGATTGTGGGTTCGAATCCCATATCGGTCGACTTTTTTCTTTTGTTTGGTTACGATACTCTCCAGTTCTTTTTTTATGCGTTGTCTGTCTGTCTGTCTGTCGTACCTGCTTTTTACTTTGACATATTGTTTTCAGATTGTGTTTTTTGTGCTTCTCTGGAATACTTCTTCTACTTATGTATAATGACCTATTTCGTATACTCACATCACTTGCCATGCATCATGGCCTTAAGCGCCTGAGACATCAAGAATAGTGAGCTGCTCCCACCACGATGTATTTTCGTACACGTCGGAGTGCCTCTATATGTTCAAATTTAATAAAGTAAAATCGAAATTGGAATGGTACGAGGTTAACTGAAATCATGCGCAGCGAGTTAGATGTCTGGACATGCCTTTTTCATGAATCCCAAGGCTTTCCGCCTCCTTCTAGAGCAGAAGACTGTCACTTGAGTTACTTTTATTCTTGTTTCATCTTTCTTTTCTTTCAATTCTCTTTCGTGAACAGAGTGATGAGCTTGGATTTGGATGAACTAACAGATGTTTACGATTCCATTGAACAAGAATATTGCAGCTTACTTATAGTTAAATTCTTCATTCTTCAAATTCATGGACTGGATTTCATCCATAAAGGAATGCTGTTGGCCCAATCGATCCCCTTTTCTTGACTTTGGTCAATAATACATGATCCCGCAGTCAACCCCCTACTCAAATTAGATCGAATGCCAATGGGACAACATTCGAGCCTTAGAATTGAGCCGTCATTTTATTCATTCAACTAGACCTGATTGCCATTTTCGTGCTCTTTGTACCAAAGTTATGATAGCATGAACTCCCCACTGACACCTTCGAATTCAGTTAAAGAACCAGACAAACTCTTGGCGTCACCAAAATATCGAAGTCTATATGTGCCAGGTTCTGCCCACTCTTCCGTTTCCCAGGTCACGGTAACCTCGCTTGTCGCGAGCAACTCGCTCGTCCGACGCCATCGAAATACGAGGTGCCAATTGCTGTCGTCGCGAACAGTCTGCCACTTTTGCTTCATCGATCCCTCCGTTTCAATGAGTTTCTCCACGACCGCGTAGCTCCGTTCCAATCTGAGATTGTTGCGCGGGTTGGCGCCAACAAAAACAGCCGACACAGAAGACCCCCGGTGAATGTCAGTGTCATCCACATCAGTGATTACGTCTCCAAACTTCTTGAACAATGGCGGCCTGTCATACACCACACCGGGAATGAAATTGAGACTTCGGTTGCTGTTGTCAGGAGGACTTGGTCCTGGCGACGGTAGCCTAGTGGATGATGCGCTGATGTATGGAACAAGGGACAGAGTCACGTTGATGTAAGCTGCAAGGGTGTGCGGCCCATACAGCGTACTGGCACCTTCATACCGTTGTATCCTGATTTCATGTTAGTCACTGATAAGTATGCTAATGATTTCTGATACTCACTCGTATTCTTCCTCGGTCGTAATGTAGTGAGTATAGCTATTGGCAGGTCCTCCGAGAACAACGACGGGTGGTGTAGTTGAGCCTGACATTGACACAACCTTATCACCAACCGCTTCCTTCCAGCGTCGGCCAGCCATGGTTGTTGCTTCACCAGGACTGACGACAATGACCAGCTGTCCCACACGAAAGACTTGTACATCGACAACATTCGGTGTCCACAGGTAAGGTGAAGTCATCTCGCCGACGTCCAGTAGAATTGGTTTGGATCCATGACAAATCTTTTGCTCTTTGGTCGGTGCTTTGAGTAACCCAGACACAACTTTCCACACAGGTGAGGTGGTATTGGGGCCACCATCATGTTGCGTAAAGTCAAATGCCCCAGGACCGTCCGACGTTCCAGCGGCGAAAGAATAGCCCAACGCTGCCGGGCATGTCTCGACCTCAGTGCCATTCGGCAGCTGGAAATGGAAATTGGACATGTTGTGAAATCTGTGAAATGTTTTTACCCAAGATCCATGGATGGGTGACAACTTTTCAGATTCATCGTACAACTTCCGTGCTGATTCGAACTGGCGCCTGCCAATCTCGTAGCATGAAGAAGTTCCTTCGTCGTTTGCCCGAAAGAAGGGCCCCCGGGCATGGCATTTCTGGGTCTTTCCATCACTACAGGTGCTATTCTCAAAACTGCACATTTGACCAGTCCCGTCTTCGCACCACGCACCCAAGACATTTGGACTGGTATCGCCCACGCTTGCCTGTGAAAACCCGGCTACAAAGTTCTCTGCAGCGTTATGACCGGCCTTTACACTCTGCTCGAAAAGGGATGCAGCCACACCCTTGTTGTCTCCAGTGATTAAAGTATTGTTGCCAAGCATGGAGGTGCCATGGGTGGGAAACCATGTGAGTACACCGATATCCTTGCCATCGGATGCACGGGTAAACTTGAGTAGAGTCAAATCCTTCTCCACGGATCCGTCATCTGCACTACTGATATTATAGCGTTGTCGTTCCTCTGCTGGGTTATTGAGGTACGAAAACAGGCTGCGATTGATATTGGCGCCAAACACCTTGGTCGAGCCGACACTCAGATGGCCACGATCGAGACTCTCGTGTGCACGGCGGATTGACAAAATGGCACCGTCAACAATGGCACGATAGCTCTGCTTGTCAAAGCCTTTGCTTGTTATCTGAGGAAGGAGATAGTTCAGCCATGCGCCGGGTCCAGAGTGGGAATGTGTCCCCGTGACGGCCAAGTTGTGATGGCCATAGTCGGCGTACTCGGCTCCCAGTCCCTGTAGCCCCGACAATATACCGTAACGAACAGCCGTATCACCGGATTGTGTATCCAGGACGAGATAGACAAAGCGGTCAGCCGGCCGTCCCGGATCGGCAACTATAAAAGCTCGGGAATAAAGGCGCTGCCGAAGGCCTGTGCCTAGTTGATTCGGGTCGGCATACCCCATCATGTTGATTTCGACACATGGACCAGTGATATCCGCCTTTCCCACACCCAGAAGGTATCGGCCTGCCTCATCCAGATGACCCTCTAATGGGTGTTGCGCAGCTTCAGCATTGGCGGTTGAGGTATGGCCGTATATCCCACTCCAAATGTTTAACCTGTGGCTCAGGCCAGTCGGGAGCAAAATAGCGAATAACAAGAGTGGCACGAGAATGATCATAACCACCCATAAAAACACCCTCCTCGTTGGCTCTCGAGCAGGCTCCGCCGAACCCCATTGTTGCTGATACCAGACACCACGAACATAGTCCTTGACTCTATGGGAGGGGCCAGCCTTCTCAGAACGTATAGTAGGACGCATGGTTACAGGCGAATCTGTAAAAGACGAGAAAGGGAGATATGAAAATACAGGAAACAGTACAAAGTCCGAAGTTGCAATGGCCCGGCCTTGGCATACAGTGGATCATGCAGGACAATCGATACAGCCACTCCGTACAAAGGTTAGGTGAATCAAAACAATGGTCGGACAAATGTCAATAAGTCCACCGTGACCCAAATCATGAGGTGCCGGAGGTTCATAGGCCGAGAATTGATACAGAAGTGTATATGCAAGAAGAATAAGAAGCTTGGTCATTAATCCTCACGCCTAAAGGAAAGGAATCTAGTGTTTGGATGTATCAGAGGAGCTGTAGGAAGAGCTACTTGGAGCTCGGCAGTGGCAACCCCCAAGTGAGCAATGTTGTGGTGGTTGTTTGTCAGCCTCGATCAGCGGCGGAGGATTCAGCGCCTCCGGCGTTCCGTCATAGGCCATAACACCCCGGCGGTGATCCGCCATTAGCGGTCATAGGCGCCTGTGCTGGAGCTGGGTAGACGCCAACTGCGCGCCAGCTGAGCTGCTGCTTGATAACTGATAAGCCTAGGAAATTCATCGCGCCTACCGAGCACATGTGTATGGGCACAGTACATACAACACCATAATTACCGATCGAAGCCTTTGCGACAACCAGCATTCTGTGCTTTTCGACTCACTGTGCGCACAGAATACCACGAAGCAACCATTGTCAGACAACAGGATCGCACCTAGACGGCTTCCGACGAGGCCAATTGAGCTTCGCCAGAAATATATAACCCTACAAGATGTCGACCAGATCAGCAGTACACGAATCCCTCCCATGTAAGCTTCCATGCGCAAGAAACTCTCTATTTCTTTACAGTTCTGTATGTACATCATCTAACACTCAAGTAAAGACATAGATACAGAGCCTACCCCAGATCAGCGCGCCGCCGCCGAAGCACTGATTGCCGCCGAGCTCCAAAATTCCGAAGCCGACACCTCGTCCGCTTCACTCCCGCCGCTGCGCGAGCCCAACTTTTCGCCGCTTATAGCACAAGAGCTAGAGCGCGTCGCGGCCAAGAAACCTCTCGAGGCCATTGACTTGAAGCGGTACGAGGAGCAGGAGGAACCGTCGGCGGCGGCATCGGCAGACGAACGGCAGGCGGCTCTGGCACAGGCGTACACGGCCAACACGTACCTGACCTCGCGGCACACGCATCTCTCGCTGCTCGACAGCTTTGGAAAGAACGCATGGCTGGTCGGCAACTGGCAGACAGAGGCCGAGCTCGCAGCCTTGGAGCGCGAGCTGGCCGACACCAAGCGGGATATTGAGCTTGTCAACAATGCGCGGCGGCGGGCACAGCAGGACATCGCTGGTGAGCTCAAGGGCCTCGAAGAGACGTGGAAGACGGGTGTTGGTCGGGTCCTGGAGACCGAGATTGCCGTCGAGTCGCTGAGGCAACAAGTGCTCGAACGGAGGAGAGCAGGTGTCGCGGCAGAGTGATGCAGGGAATCGAGAGCGGTTCAGTGTGAATGAACGACACATTTCAACATTCGAGCGAGGAGATACTCGGTTGAAACGACATCAACCCAACTCGACGACACTATAAATGGCCAAGCGGAAATGGGCGGTCATAGATTGCTGCCCTGGTGAAGAATCAGCTCCCGCCTCCAACTTCACCTCGTGAATAATGCCATATATTTGGGCAAATATTTGTTCCGGCAGCAGTCAGCCGTGTACATCAGTACAGAGCAGGTATGAAGCACAAGAATGCAAAGGGCCGGACAGAATTTCAGAGCAACCCGCGACTGGGTAGACATTGGTCAAAGAAGAGTGATACATAATGTTGCATATACAGGAGACCGTTGGGAGGAAGATGAGCGGGTCGCTCCATTGTAGTACAGCCTTCCAACAAGCAGGCGACTCTTGTGATCAGGGATGAGGACGACAGAACAATAATAGAACATAAAAGTCATCTCGCTCATTCGAAATACATTCGAAGGCACCTGCTCTTGGAACTACGTTCCGCTCTCCTAGAACGCATTACTTGGGGGCCAGGGAATACTGGCCAGACAAGTCGAGTACGTGATAAGACTGATGCTTCATATACTTATAAGAGTCCAGAATTCTCAGCAGAGAAAAGATTGTATTCATGGCTTGCCATAGGACCACCACGAGCAAGACATCCACCAAACGCAGAGTTACTATCAATGTGTCCGGTTGCGCTTGATCTCATGGATGATGGTATTTCCATTCGAGTAAGAGCATGACTGATCGTCCTGCTCTGTCCTATGAATCTTGGTTACGTCGCGCCCACATCAAATACTTCAAGAGTCCCGAGGGTCTAAACAGACTTTTATCGTGACCAAGAGACCCATGAACCATGGCGACTGAGGCCATGACAGGGTGATGGTTTCAATGACTACGTAGCAGCAGTCAACGTCAACACTGCCATTTGTTCCTCAGGAAGTGGCGGATATTAGCATGGAACCACCATTTTCAAGCCTAGCTATGCATCTTGCTTTGGGGGGTGGGGGGGAATTCAAAAAATAGCAAGAGTCTCTTTCCACGTCTGCATGTTCCTGAAGATCATACAGTGTAGTCCCACAGTGCCAAGAGGATGATATGGTTCACGAAGAAACGCCACCTAAAGCAATGTCAACGTTCCACAAACAAGTCAGAATTACTTGTTTTATAATTTCATCAATAAATATATTTACATTTCAGAGTTAAGGAAGTTGTAATTGCTCCCTTGCCGATCCAACCTGAGATTGACTTAGGATACGAATTGCGCCACGGAATAGAATTTGGCTCATTCAGTTCATCAACATGTTTCGAGGAGATCAGCTTCTAATATACTATTGCACAAAAGGATCACCAAGCTAGATTCCCTTCCATTGGAAAATAGAAGATGAACTGACAAGCTCTCAAGAGTGGCCATATTAGAAACTGCCCCCTTTTTCCGCATGTGGCTGAAGGATGATCGGTCAAGGCTTGAAAGTGACCGCCACTGTATTAGGTCTATTTGGATTATAAAACATATCTTTGGTGCATTATATACATGAAGTGAAGAACGATCAAGTTCATACAAGGTCCCTTGCTCATGATGGCATAGGTGGTGAGCCTGCTCCACTTGTGTGAATCTATCACGCTGACTCGTGACGAAATCACCTCTAGCCTTTACGATGCTCGATTAGGCCAAGGACAGAGCGCTCATGTGGATCGTGAAAAGCTCAGCACATCATAAAGCTCGGGAGGGAAGGTGAATAGATAAACAAACCAATAATTTGCAAGTCGCATGAAAGTATCTGTCTTGTACCATGGAACGAGGGTAATACCATAAACGCCATTCTTAAACCAACAGAAATCGAGTTCCCCAATCCGTCCGTGAAAAGGACTCTCGTTTTGTGAGAAAAAAGAAAAAGTCCATAAAGTGTAGGCGCCGTGTTCATCAACCCATGCTTGATATAAGGATACCAACACTACCCTCAAGGTGTTTCCTAACCAGGTGTTAATCATGATAATTCCGTAGAGCCACATTTGGCTTAAGAGTGAAGAGGATCTACATCCTCGACACCTGATTTCACATACTCAGTCCTCCTCATTATACCTTCCACGGGACCGAGCAGTCTGGCAAAAGCACTCTTTCCAAGGGTTGATACCTTCACTTCGGTAGCACTCACGACACTTGCAGCTCGTGGCGCGTCGTTAAGCAACGCCAGTTCGCCAAAGAAATCGCCCTTGTTGTAGTGTTTCACCAGCTGTCGTCCCTCATCCTCCTCCAGAAATGCGTCACACTGACCGGCCTCAAGAAGGAAAAAAGATGTGCCAACATCACCTTGTCGGATGATGGTGGTTCCAGGTGGGAACTTTTGTGTCTCAAGAGCATCGGCAATCTTGGAGCGTTCGTAGGGCGTGAGACTGGAGAGCAAAGGCACCTCCTCGAGGAAGTTCTCGTACATTCGTCTGCGTGCAAAGGTTGACTCCATGAGGATACGGCGAAACGTTACACGGTCTAGAGCCCAGAGTGTACATCCGGGTTCTGCGGAAATAACGGTGGCAGCTCGGGGGGCGTTGTACATCAGAGCCAACTCGCCGAAGGAGCCGCCAGCCTTGATGGTCGAGACCAACTCACCGAGACCGTCAGGTCCGGGGGCACCGTTGCGGTTGATGTAAACATCAAACGTTCCCTTCTCGACCACGTAAAAGTAGTCTCCCGAATCGCCTTGAGTGATGATCTGAGAAAGTTTTGGTCAGCAAGGAGCATCAATGCCAGGAGGGTATTTCAGACGTACCTTGATATCCTTAGCGGGAATTGACTTTTCAGCCAAGGCTCCCAGAATAAGGGCACTCTGCTCATCATCCAAGTGACTGAACAAGAAGTTTCCTCCGATTGCCTTCTTCAGTCGAGCGAGCTGGTCCTGAGTCTTGGGTATTTGCGGAGGCGACCAGTTGTCATTACCATCACCCGCAGGCTTGAGCGACTCGGCAGACACTGACGTACGGCGGCCAAAGTTGTACAGCGGCGGGTATGAGTCCGGGTTGGGAGGACCACGTAGGGACGATGGGGGTCCGTCGGTAGGGCCATCACCTCCAAAAACGCCCCGGAAGGGACTTGCTGCGCGGTTGGAGAAGCCACTTGTGAAGGACGGAGAAGTAGGAGAAGTGATTGTATCGGTCTCGTCCTCCTCGACGACGTTCAAGAGAGGACCGGCGGGCGGTGCCTCGTTCTTCTTTCCATCGGCCCCGAAGGGATTCGAGTTCGCCGCAAACGGACTGCTGAATGTTGACGACATGATGCCCGGGAAGGACGTCTGAGAAGCACTAAAACTGTTGTGTGTTCGTTCGTTTTCGAGCCGCCGTAAAAAGTAGTTTGCGCAGAACTGGAGTATGTCGACGGGGTTCTTTGAGACTATCTCCTCCTCGAGAGCCTGTCTTTCATACCTGTAAGTACACGGAAGATACATGTTGGGCAAGCAAAAGAATGAATGAATCGGATTGGGTATAATAAAACGAGTGTAGAATCCGGATCTGGTGCCTGTATCCAAGGGAGAAGGGAGAGAGAGAGGAGCCTCGGATCTTCAAGACGACCAGAAAGCTGGGAGATATATGTTCAAGAGCATGAAAAGGGAGCAGCAGATCCAACGGGTAGGGCTTAGAAAACTTCACGTTACTAACGTATTATTTGCTTTGCGCAAGGCAAGGGTCGTGGTAAGGGGTGCCAAGCTGGCGGGAGGTCTTTTAATGACCCCGAAATTGGATCGTGACTAGTTTTGCGCAAGCTCCAGCGACCAACTTTGCGAACGAGCCATGTGACGGGAAGACGCGCTAGAAGATTGTCCGTGGGAAAGGACCTTTCTCTGAACAATGCTGCTGCGTCAAAGAGGTGGGAACGCAGGACATGAATCAAAGGGGGTCAATGAATGACGGCACTGGGTGGAGTTGAGCAATCACCGTGGGTGGCCCGAGCAGGACAAAGGGAAGAAGAAGGCTTCCAGAAGGGTGTAGAACAAGAGTGCCCAGAGTGTATGGTTCCCCAATGGGTAGAGGCACGGATTGACAGCAGATCGGTAATGTAGGTCGTCAAGGAACCGACGAACATGGCAAGATGGAAAAGATGAATGGTTCCCAGGGAGGTCTTGGTGCAGGAGGAAAGCGGCAGATACCCTAGTACAAAGATGAAAGGATGCGTCACTTACTCCGCAAATAGCCAATTTCTGGAAGAAGCAGGGGACCGTGAGTGGTGAGAGGCGATGCTGACGGCGCAGGTCTACCTATCGTGCTGAGGACTCAAAGTCGTGGATTGGTTCGTCTGCTGGTACAGATGTAGGAAGCAGGTATGATAGGGTAGTTGTGAGCTGCAGCACCAAGACGAAGGTGAGGCCAGAGAGCACTGAGGGGTCCGCCTGAGTCGAGGGGCCTGAGAGGTCTGTCCGTCTGTCTGGACTGGACTGGCTGTAGGTAGTACGGCGATGCCGCCTGATGGGATTGAGTAGGGAAAAGAGACGGCGGAAATCAATGGGAATCCCTGAAGAAGCAAAAAGAGGGTCGTCCTTCTGATGCTAAAAACGAGAACCCTTGAGCTTGTAGCTGTATCCCGACGCGGTGGTTTCTTGTAGAGATTGGCCAGAGAAATGCTTGTTTTTCTTCTTCTTGCGACGTTCGGTTTGGAATGGGGTGTTTCAAGGGAAGGAGAGAGAGGCAGTCAAAAGATATTACAGCCTCGAGTTGTTTCAGCCCGACTTGGAAAAGAATGCAGCACGCCCAAAGGCTCAGTGGCGACAATGACGATTCAGGATAGGCAATTCTGGTGTAATAGTACTGTACTGTGTGTAAAACAGCAGCTGAGCCGGGCGAGGAGGGGACGGACAAGGGAACACTGACTGACAGGAGGCGTCGGGCCAGTTGCTTGGGGAAATCAGGAGGCCTGACGACTGCCACTGCTCTAAAAGGTGGGGTAGAGAAGCTACCCGGTGGTCCAAGCTCCCAATTTCCTTCTTTCTGCCTTCGAGAACGCTTCCAGGCTTCCGCGACCTTTCCAAGATTGCCCAAGGTTAGCTACTAGGTATGGTATCACGGCTTTTGCAGGCCTGGCGAGCAAGCATCCCGAGACAAAGCCCACTTGTTCTTCCTTCTAGTGTACAGACAGGCAGAGCACGGTGTTTGAATGTCGTGTGCCCATGGATGGTATTGAATCTATGGTGGCATCGTCGCACGGAACGAGAAAGACGCAAAAGTCATGGGTTGACACAGCACGGATCCCCTTTGCCTTCGGCCTCGCCTTTTCTTTTTTCTCTTTTTTTTTCTCTTATCGGGGCGAGCAAGACGACTTACATGTGAGTCCGAGAATGAGTACCTTGCACAGTACAGAAGTCGCCGCCATCGCGATTCCCAACACGAAACTTTGACCTTTCTATGCGAGTCGTGCAGGCAAAAACTAAAAGGCAAGTGAGTGGCAGTAGTGTTAACCTAGCACTACTTCGACTACCTCAATGTACTACTCAAATCTTCTTCACTTTGGGGGTTAGTTGCCATTCCCAGCACGCGACTCAACTTCTCTTGTCCTACACTACTATGTGCATACCATTCCTGTTCAGACGGAAAACCCAAGACATGGCCCAAGCTCCCATAAGCGAACCATAAACCATGTGAGGGAGGGTCCACGCTATTGCAATACATTATTTATTAATGTACGTACGGCACCCGGTCCGTAGGATGATTCGCTAGACCGAGGAAATAGCGAGCAGGAGCCTTTCCTGGGCTGGCAATGAATTGGTTGCTCGCCAGCAGGCTATCAAAATGAAGCTTCGTTTTTCACTGTTAACGTCGGCCCACTGAACCCCCTGTCCCTGTTTTTTTTCTGTTAGGTTACCAGACTTTTAACTCCCTTTGAACTAGGATTCAAGACGAAACCCGAGAGCATTGGAAAGGCAGCGTAGGCATTTTAGCAGGCATAGCACAGAGCAAGCACTGGCCTCCGCGGACCGGGACGGGACTTCCGGTCCGCGCAATTACACCGTGGAGCTCACGCTTGTTGGTACCAAAATTGTCGGGCTCGCCGCGACGACTGACAGTCGTTTCGTTTGCTTGCCCATCAGAGATTTCACTGGTATGTTATGGCATGGTTGCTTGCTGCTTGGCCAGATGCGGCCGCCTGGTTGATTCCACGTCTACCGAGGCCGACATAACGTAGCAGCAGCCTTCCTTTTTTTTTTTTTTTTTTTTTTTTTTGGAAGTCATCCCCCTCGGTATCCTCACTCCTTCACCATGGTTGTTATTCTAGTGCTTTTGCGAATTGCTTCTCTGCTGTTTGAACCCCTAGAGTCCTTGCACGCCCACAGTCGCGGCCCTGGCAACTTTGTAATCAACGTGCTTTCGGCAATACCGCAACACCACGTGTAAAACATCCCGGCACTCATCTATCCATAATACAATGTATCCATTTGTCCTCCACGAGCCCGCTCAGTTGATATATCGTGACACCATCTCACTCGAAACCTTATCTAGGTGGGAGACCCGCCAACTGTGGCCATTTGCAAATGGAGCCAAGGAGCAGTCCAGACTGTTGGAATTAATTGGGACAAAGGGACCGTTCTCCCCCAGCTTGCCATGTCTCCTTACTGCCAGTCAAAGCCAATATCTGGGGGAGAAGCGACTGCCGGCCACGATAAATTGTAGATCTGATAGCTTGGTGATCAAGCTGTCGACCGAGTTCGTGTTCATTCGTTGAACATTTCCGACCATGGTCGATCGTACTATGACAGGTTCCCACAATTGCCACATCCGATTAGTGCAAGTAGTTCAATTCAATAGATTCAAGCCTATTAAGCTATCCTCTGATGGCCGACGCCACATGCAAATTCATAAAGGGGCGGTTCTGAAATCGTCATCTGCTGGTCTCCCTCCAGTGCTCTGGCTGGCTGCAAGAGGAGGCACACGTCTATAAGCATAGCAAAGATGCTGGTCAATTATCGTGGTCCTCATACAACAGATCTGCTGCCGAGTCTACTCTACCGTGCCACTGACCAAGTGTACTCATATCTTATTTAGTTAGATGCTCAGGAATCCACAAATACTGCTTGTGGCGGAATTGTGTACAAGTTATGTTCAGATCATCTCAAACAGACCATCTCAATGCACCATTTCAGGTACATGCGAAGCTGACATAACTTCAGGCATGGCAAGGCGAGGTTGTTTGTCACACAAAACCGTTCAAGAAAGCTGATGATTACTGTTTGATTATCAAAAGACGATTGAATTTATTGGTATCTTATCATGTACAGATCGTGTCAGGCAATGACTTGGATTGGTATGGCCAACCCGCTTGGCCATGATGGACAGAATATAAACTGCCATCATGTGAATGAATGGCATGTGGATGGACATACGTCAGCAACCACCAGATAGTTCAATGCCGTTTATATCTCTTTCGGAGATAGTGGTTGGTGTTCGTGAATAATGTACAATGCTGCGTCCTTTCGCAGCTACCCACCCCGGGCAATGTGCTCAGAGAGAAAGTGTTGTCCCGTCACTGTCAAATAAGGCAAATGGTTCTTTTCTGCCCAGTCAGTGCAATCAAAATCCTCATGCTAGCAGCTTAATGCTGACTCCATTCAATGGTATTGAGGTCGATGCCCTCTTGTACAAGCTCCCACAGCGGACTCAGCTCGCGGAGGAACGTGACACGTTCTTGTACGGCCTTGAGCACGTAATCAATCTCGGCTTCCGTGGTGAAACGACCAATGCCAAATCGGATACTGCTGTGTGCGCTTTCATCGCTATTGCCAAGTGCCCGGAGAACGTAGCTAGGCTCCAGAGACGCAGATGTACATGCGCTACCTGATGAGAGCGCAATATCCTTCAGTGCCATCAAGAGTGACTCGCCTTCAACGTACGCAAATGACACGTTGACGCAACCCGGGTAGAAGTGGTCCGGGGAACCATTCTGTGTGGCGTGCTCCAAAGCCAAAAGGCCGTTGAGCAAGCGGTCGGAAAGAGCCTTGATGCGCTTGGTATCATACTAGGTGAAAGAGTCAGCTGCCAATAATTCTCGGAGGAAAACATCATGATATGAAGTCTCGAGGATTAAATCAGACGTATGTGCTGTGTCTCAACATAAAAATTCCGGTCAAGGAATTCAGCAAGCCATGCATGTTTGAGCGGTTCATCATATGGGGCTAAAACAGAAAAAGTAATAACGTTGTTCAACATACCGGAAGTTCTTCCTTGGCGATGCGGCAAGCCTCGCCAAAGCCAGCCACCAGAGGCGGCGCCAAGGTACCACTGCGAAGACCACGCTCTTGTCCTCCTCCAGTGATGATGGGGTCGAGTCTGACTCTTGGCCTTCTGCGAACGTAGCAGGCACCGATACCCTTGGGTCCGTAGATTTTGTGTGATGAGATGGACATCAGGTCAATATTCATCCTGTTGACGTCCATAGCAATCTTGCCCACAGCCTGAGCAGCATCTGTATGGAAGAAGATCTTCTTGGACCTGCAGAGCTTGCCAATCTGCTCGAGTGGTTGGATCACACCAATCTCATTGTTAACGGCCATGATTGAGACGATGGCGGTCTCGGGACGAATGGCCTCTTCTAGCTGCTTCATGTCGACCAAGCCATCGTTTTGCACTGGGAGATAAGTAACCTCGAAGCCTTCATCTTGCAGATGCCGGCAACTATCCAATACACACTTGTGCTCTGTTTGGGTTGTGATTATGTGCTTCTTCTTGCCTGATCTGCCAAAGAATCTTGCAACGCCCTTGATGCTCATGTTGTTGCTTTCAGTAGCACCACTTGTGAAAATAATCTCCTTAGGGTCGGCACCGATGAGGTTGGCAACGTGCTCACGAGCCTCCTCTACTGCCTTCTCACTCTCCCATCCGTAGGCATGTGTCCTCGAATGCGGGTTTCCGTAGAGACCGACGTAGAAAGGTAGCATGGCATCGAGTACTCTTGGATCGACAGGCGTGGTCGCCTGCATGTCGAGATAGATGGGCCGCTGGCCTTCTAGGATGGTTGCCTGACTCAGAACTTCGGCAACGGGGCTGCCGGCTGGGCTGACAGCGCTGCCCATGCCAGGCATGATCATCTCGCCTTTCTCGTTCATGAAATCCTTCTTGTCCAGCTTGATAGCAGTCTCGACATTGACCTGCGCATTTTGCTGTTTAGTCTCTGACACATAGCTCCTCCTCGAAGCTCGACTCGGAGCTATGGCAGCCACTCTCGATAGAGTGGGAGTAGCTCGTGCGGACGATGAAAGGGTTTGCCTAAGGCCAAGGCGCGATGCCTGCCTCAGCGCAGATGCTGCGGCATTTGCCATCATTGATCAGGTTGTGATTATTAAAATATTGTACAAGAAACAAAAAAGGGTATCAGACAAACGTATGGAGGAGAAGGGAAAAAAAAAAGTCGCGGGGTTTGAGGAGTGATGACAAATTTGTGTGGTTTGCAAGAGCTGTAGTTGGTTGGTTCGGCAAGATAAATCACTACTTCAGAAAATAAAAACGGACCCGAGCTCCAACGTCCGTTGCCCGCAGCGAAAAGCGGCACTCGGTGATAGAGGAACGGAGAGCGGAAAAAGAAGCGCACCGAGATCTGATTACAGTTGGGTGTAGGTAGGTACCTAGGGTCCAGGGGCAGCACCCAGCTGAAGGCAGGTACAGCTGGCTGCCCAATACCCTCGGACTTTCTCGCCTTTCCCCTCCGGTCTTCTCAATAGCGCAGTACAGTAAATTTGCATGGAGGCTGAAGCTAGCCGTCCCAGTAAAAAAGTGACGTAAGCACCCCTCTGACGTTGTTCCTGGATCTTTGAGCAGAAATCAATCGCATCCGGCAGTGTCGGCATTTAGGCTAGCGAATTGAAGAGACTTGAGATCCAAGTTTGGCTTCGGTCTTTGCTTCCATAGAAGTGATAGAGGTGCATCAGCTGAATAACTAGGTGATGATATGTGCCGAGTAACTGGCAAGCCAGCAGAAACAAGCCATATTATCAAATTACGCTGTTACGTCCTGGCTATAACATTTCTAGTCGGAAGTTCCACGTTCAACTTTATATCTTCTTTAGATCCTGCATCCCACAGCTCCTTTGCCCCCATCAGAGGACGCCTAACACTTACCTGCGCTTGAAACTGAATAAGCAAGACCACAAGGACATACTGCGGTCAAGACATCTATTGTGGCAGCCTGGCTAAGCCAATAGACTTTCGAGTCAGATTTTCAAGTACGTGCCTTGTGCCACCCACAAGCCACAGCACTGTACCCCGTCAGGTTTGGTGAAGTGAAGCCCGAAATTCAGCACTGCCACGAGAAGTTCGTCACCAAAACTTGGCCGGCGTAGGTACTAAAGCTTGACCCGGGCGCACCCAAAACCCACCCACGCCGCATCGCCCTTTAAGTGCTCGTTCCCAACTCACAAACATGCCTAGGCTGTTCCTATGACATATCTCGTTCGACCTGATAGCCTGATTCTCTGCGTCGCCGACCAACTTGCATATTTCCCACACCTGAACTCACTTATCGCCGTGATCTGCCCACAGGGCGCTGCTGTCGCAAAACGGTCCAACAACTCGGTTGGTTCTCCTAGACGACACAACGCATAGATACCCCACCATACCCGACATCATCATTCTGGGTTGCCTCCCACAGTATCCTTTACCCGTTTGCCCACCCAAACGTAGAGATGAGCTTTAGAGGGTTTTCGAAGAGCGTGACTCGGGTGAGTGTCGCACCTTGCACCGAATGCGATCATAGAGACATTGGGATACTAACCTGATCTACCTCTCTTCCAGGCGCCGCAACAGTTCAAAGCCAAGTTCAATCTTGGTGAACAAACCAAGGACCCCGTCTACATTGACGCCGAGCGACGGTTCAAAGAACTCGAGACCGAGACCAAGCGCTTGCACGATGAGTCCAAGAAGTATTTCGAAGCCATCAATGGCATGATCAACCACCAGATCGAGTTCAGCAAAGCCATGTGCGAGATCTACAAGCCCATTTCCGGCCGCATGTCTGACCCCGATTCCCTTGTGGTACATGGCAACCCCGAGGGTATTCGTGCATGTGAAGAGTATGAGGCCATAGTCAAGGATTTGGGTGAAGCTCTCAGGCCTGAGCTCGAGATGATTGACTCGAGAATTATTGGTCCTGCAAACGAACTTCTCGACGTCATCAAGGCCATCAGGAAGACTGCGGTGAAGCGTGACCACAAACAGCTCGACTACGACCGACATCGGGCAACGCTCAAGAAGCTGCAAGACAAGAAGGAAAAGACTGCCAAGGATGAAAAGGCCATGTGGAAGGCCGAGGGCGAGGTGGAGAACGCGACACAAGAGTTCAACTACTTCAATGATCTGTTGAAGGACGAACTACCAAAGCTTTTCCGGCTGGAGCGCGAGTTTATTCAGCCCTTGTTCCAGTCATTCTACTACATGCAGCTGAATATTTTCTACACGATGCATGAGAAGATGCAGCACTGTGATATTGGATATTTCGACCTGACTCAGGAGCTGGAGGAAGGATTCAACCAAAAACGAGGCGACATCCAGGAGCAGGCTGAGAAACTGTCCATTGTGAAGTTCAAGACGACGGGACAAAGAAGACCACCAAAGTATGGCCAGAAACCGGCGGCTCTCACTGGTCCGAACCGACCCGCGGCCATCACTGCCGGCCCGTCCTCCTCGTCCTCAATGACAACACCACAAATTACCTATGGCCAAGACGCAGAGGCAGATCAGGCTTCTGCTTCCGCTCCTCCGCCATACTCAGCCACCAGCAAGCCAGCATTCGCGTCGGCCGCGTCTCCACCACTGAAAAGCCCGATCTCTCCAGGACTGGCCGCCGCTGCTGCTGCGAAGTCGAAACCACCTCCTCCCAAGCCCAAGCCTAGTCGTCTGAGTGCCGCACCTGCAGGAGCAGAGACTGTGACAGCACTCTATGATTACTCGGCCCAAGCAGAAGGGGACCTGAGTTTCAGGGCTGGCGACGTGATTACCATTGTACAGAGAACAAATAACGATAACGAGTGGTGGACCGGAAAGGTAAACGGCAAGCAAGGCCAGTTTCCAGGTAAGACTTCTCACGCGTCCCCTCTCCGTAGCTGTACGTCTAACAAGACACAGGAAATTATGTCAAGCTTGGTTAGAAGCCAAGTCTCCCACAACCGCAACGTTGCCAAACTAGATTGCGTTCTACCATCTAATAGTATTAGTCGTAAGGAATGAATAGATACACGGCATAGCATCAGCATGTGCTTCGCTTGCAGCAGGGTGTTAAGCGTCACGTCAGGTTGTACATGCGATAATTACTTGATCAGCGTCAGATGACCACTAGGGTTGGACATGGATGATTTAGACCTAGATGAGTTGTCAAAGCAAAGTCAGAATAGATGTTTCATACCAATCCAGTAGCACAAAGTCAAAGACGCTGTGATGTCGACCTTTCTATATTCAACAGTTTCCAGACCACATACTGGAAGGACGAGTTCATGCTGACTGCCTTGTTTGTATCCAGAGATCTAGACACGGTCATTCAAAGACACAAAACTCAGGATATCAAGTTGTGTAAATAATCAGATGCGAAAAGTTCAATACCAGTGGGCTTGAGGCAACAGATCTTAACCAATTGCTAGATTGTCATTAAGATTGAGCTAGGTACATACCGGAGTTCAGAACTTCAGAGATCGACCTCGTGATAGTGTGAATGCTTTTTGTTCATCTACTTCAGACAGCATGCTCGGCAAATCTTCAAATACTTGATCTTGCCTTCAATGTAGCGAGTTGAGTATATGGGAGCAACGAGTAGTACTTGTACATCCTATCACCAGCTAATATGAATGAAAGCGAGAAGAGCTGAGGTGCTTGGCTGCAGCATTGTTATAGGCTGTCCAGGCTAGGACTAGGGTATCGCGCATGAAGCCGCCGTCTCCCGCTCTCCAAATGTTCTGCAGTTCAACGTCCGACGAATGACAGGTCTGAGCACTGGGCAGGGACTGTTCAGTGGGCTCTCAACAACCCGGCCGATTGGTCAGCTTCCCCACACTTGTCTTGGGCTTGAAGTATGCAGAGGCCAGAGCCCAGAACCCAGAACCTGGAACTTGCTTGTCCCGTCACGAAGCTGGCTCGAGCTTCCCCTGTCGGACATAACAACGGCATCAGCTGGCAATGCGCGAGTGAGAGAGGGAGAAACCGCAGACAGCGAAAAAAAAAAAGGACAGAAGGAAAAAAAAAATTGTGGTCAGAGGATGCCAAAATCCCGCGTACCGAGCGGTAGTGTTCCCTCGACCTCCCACCCCTGCTGCCCTCGTCTTGCGCGAGGAAGCTCCCGCCCTCTCCGGTCTGTCATTGGCCAGAGCCCGTGACAACCTCCTGTTTACCTGTAACTCCAGTCCAACCTCAAGTCCATCCATCTGCCAACTTGCTCTCATCGTTTTCTGCCTCCCACTTGACTGAATCCGCTTGTTTTTTGCTTCATCCTGGTCGCAAGTACTTGGCGACTTCAGCTGAGCTGTCAATCTGTCTTATTTCCGTTTACTTGCATCTAATCTCTCACATCATGGCCCCGGAGCTCCGTAAGCGCAAAGCTCCTCCGCCGGCTCCTGAGCCAGCCCCAAAGAAGGCTTCCAAGGCCTCCAAGGCCTCCAAGGCTGTCTCCAAGGTCAAGGAGGCTGTCGTCGGCAAATCTGCCAAGGTCGACACTACTCCTGCTGCTTCGGCCAAGACTGGCGCGCCAGCCGTGGGAGATGTCATTACTCTCGATGGCTTTGGCGGCGAGATCGAGACCAACGATGGAAAGAAGACGACATTGAAGGCTCTCGTTGATGAGAGCAAGTCTGGGGTTGTCCTCTTCACCTACCCCAAGGCATCCACCCCTGGTTGTAAGCACAAATCGTTTCATTGCCATGTTTCCACGCTTTGCGCATCATTGCTTGCTTGTATTGGAGATCTGACTTTTTATATCAAGGCACCACTCAGGTGTGCCTTTTCCGTGACAGCTACGAACCTCTTACCGCTGGCGGCCTGGCCATCTATGGCCTGTCCAAGGACTCGCCAAAGGCCAATACCACCTTTCACACCAAGCAGAAGCTGCCATACCCTCTCCTCTGCGATCCAAGCGCGACATTGATTGGCGCCATCGGCCTCAAGAAGGCCCCAGCCGGCACTCAGCGCGGTGTTTTCGCTGTTGACAAGAGTGGCAAGGTGTTGATTTCTGAGCCCGGTGGTCCGGCTGCTACGGTGAACGCCGTCAAAGCCCTCGTGGAGGGTAGTGCTGCGGGTGAGACCAAAGACGAGCCGGCTGCCGAGAAACCCACCGAGGAGAAGCCTGCCGAGGAGAAAGCCGCCGAGGACAAGCCGGCGACTGATGACGCTGCTGCTGATAAGCCTGCAGAAGCGGCCCCGGCCCTGGCTGCAGCCCCGGAGACTAATGGAGACACGATTACTGAAAAGAAGCCGGAGGAGGCCGTCAAGGACCCGGTCGACTAAGCAGGTCTTCTTTCCGCCACGGTATGAATATCGGGGCTCTGCGCTGAAATTATGTTCAATTTGTTGTGTCGTGGAGAAGTCTGTGCTCAATAACAGTCTTGCAAAATATCGTCACTGACAGGAAACTGTCGTATACTAGTCAGATAAAAACCTTCAGTGTTTGTGCCCGTTATATCGTATTGCAGCTTGAGGACAGAGTTGCCCTTGCGAACAATAATGCAGCCTCTTTCAAGTCTTTTTATGACAATAGGGATTATCATTGCCGAAGACTAGATGAGCATCCTAGTCTTGATGTATTATTAAAATATGGAGGAATAGAAACACAAGCGAAACCTACAAATCACTGAACTTGACTGTTTGTAAGGTGGGTGGGTACCGATTCTCACAAAAACCGACCTGCACATTCGATGCAATGTGAAGAGCCGCCCCACCCAGCATGAGCCAATCAAAGCTTCCTTATTACCGCGCACGGGCCTCTCTCGAATCTCAACCCGTCATTTCGACGCCTCCAGCCAAACAGTCGACGTCTTGCGTGAAAGAAGCTCAATAGCAATTCTCCCATCTGCCATTGAGTCGCCCATCCGTAACAATGGCGTCCAAGATGACTCCTCTGCTCTTCAGAACCGCCGTCCGGTCGGTTGCCAGAGCCCCCCGACCCCAGATCCGCGCCTTCACAGCTGCCAGCGCCAGGAGGAGCGATACTCTCTCCGTCGTAAGTGAGCACCATTTACCTGCCCATTGAAACTTCAGGCGCAAGCCAGGAGTTGGAAGGCCCGGAAGTGTTGAAGAAATCTTGGTCTCGAAATGAGAATGCCCGCTTCAGAGGCTCCGGTGACGGTCCTGCAACCGATTGAGACACTTTGGAGATCAAGTCGTGGCTATGGAGAACATATGGCTAATTCTTTCCATTGCGATATAGCACCGCAACACTCCCGACAACAACCCAGACATTCCCTTCAAGTTCACCCCTCAGAATGAGGCCATAATTGCCGAGATCATCAAGCGGTATCCCCCGCAGTACAAGAAGGCAGCCGTCATGCCCGTGCTCGACCTCGGACAGCGCCAGCACGGTTTCACATCCATCAGCGTCATGAACGAGGTTGCTCGCATCCTCGAGATGCCCCCGTCCCGAGTCTACGAGGTCGCTTCCTTTTATACCATGTACAACCGGACACCGGTTGGCAAGTTCCACGTTCAAGCTTGCACAACTGTAAGTTGACCCTTGCATACGCATCTTTCTTACCCCAGCGCGTTATGGGGAAGGTTTTCCAAAGACATGCCCGACTCTCTCACATTCTTTACGAGCTTGGCTGATAATTATTTAAATAGACGCCTTGCCAACTGGGAGGTTGCGGCAGCGATGCCATTGTCAAGACGATCAAGGAGGAGCTCGGCATTAAGCAGGGCGAGACAACTCAGGACGGCCTCTTCACCTTTATCGAGGTCGAGTGTCTGGGCGCCTGCGTCAACGCCCCCATGGTGCAGATCAACGACGACTTTTACGAGGACCTGACCCCCGAAACGACCCGGACGCTCATTAGAGCGCTCAAGGAGGCCGGAACCTCGTCCGCCGCCGCCGCAAAGGTGCCCGCCCCTGGTCCCCTGAGCGGTAGACAGACTTGTGAGAACAGCCAAGGACAAACCAACTTGCATGATGAGCCCTGGGGTATCGAGACTACCCGGGCGGATTTGTAAAGGAAGAAAGGGACGAGAGTTTTTGAGCGAACATTGCTATCTTGAACTAAATGGCAAAACAATCTCGAGCGTGTCATCACTGCACCGGTTGCCTCAGGTCATGGGATTTGTAGAAGGGGTTGCTGGTTCGAGATGTGGAGCAGCGCCATTAGAGAACTGGGAACTTGTACATAAGAAAGAGTAAAATGCTTGTATTCATTGCCACAGACTAAAAGCCCATTCATATGCCTTGCAGGCTTGTGCGATGCTCGAAATCATAGGATCATCTGGGATCCTTTCAAATTTGGTCTTAACCAATACCTCTCTGGCTGGCAAGCTTTTGCATCAGTATACTTCTGGTTACTACGAGTTGATCAATTCATCACAGATGCCAAGAACAATGCATCATTGGTGCTTGATTTTTGAAAAACCAGTCCGCGAGTACGCCTATGAAATACAGAATAACTGGCTCGCTATCGTTGGGCCCGTCGTAGATGACCATTGTTCATTTTACAGGGATTTCCAGGCGTGCTGGCATTTCATGTCATCTTGGTCTTACTTTCCCTTCATCTCTCTCATACTTCAAAGTGACGGGAGTGCTCGTCTTAACCTGTGTAAGCCTTGGCCTCACCAAGCCGGAAGACCCATGCGTCGCCCAGCCTCTGATTTCTCTCATCGATGCCGCCCAGCAGTACGATACCGGTTTCGTCCTGATCACCCAAGGCAGCGCTAGCAAACCAGCCTCTTGCCCCGGGACCGCGGGCATCGGCCTCGACCTCATCGTCATATGGTTCCAGATCGAGTCTCGACCACTTGCCCTCGCCTGTCTTGCGGCCCGTTGCCTGCAAGAAGGCGTCTTTGAAGCTTGCAGCCGTCATACCGATGGGCGGGACCTGGAACGCCCAGGCATCGCTCCAAAATTGGCCCGCGGCCTCGTGGCCAGCACCTGAAGGCGTCTGCTCGCCGAGCAGTAGGACCAGATACTCGCGGCCGCCACCGCCCATGACGAGGTGCATGCCGCTCACCGATCTGGCACCCGGCCACTCTTCTGGCACCAGGGTGCCCTTCTCGCCTTGTGTCTGGGGCGCAGACGGCGTCAAGGTGATCCAGCTACCCTTGGCGCAGATTCCCACCTCGCCTCTGCTGACACGGTCGTCAAACAACTCGACGCCGAGCTCCAGAACGTCCAGCTGGCCTCCAATCTCGCTTTCGCCATCGAACCCACCGAACCGGTACAGGCGGCTCTTGGCAATGGCCAAGGCAGCGCCACCTCTCGGCTTTCCGGGAGCGGTAGGCAGCTCCTTCCACGTCCGGCTCCTCACATCAAAGGCCCAAAGATCATTGACACGAGAACCATCCTTGAGGCAGCCGCCATGCACGATAAAAGTACCGAACCCAGCCTCCTCCTCGTCGCTCGCATGGGCCGCCACGTTGCCTACAATTGGTCGTTGCGGAATGCCGGCATCAGCGCTGTCGCCCTCGGCCCATTCCTTCCAGGACTCGGTACGCCGGGGTCCGCGCGGCGCAAATTCGCGAGGCTTGTCCGTTGCCACGGCTGCAAAGTAGGATCGTGCCGGAGCCGAGGGACTCTCGCGGTGCGGGTCCAGGAAGGACCACGTGTTGGTCTTGGTCTCAAAGACCCAGACGCGGCCATTCTCATCCAGGGTCTCGGCGGCAGCGCTGCGCCCGCCAAACATGAATATACGGCTGCCAATGACAGCGGTGGCGTGCCCGACTCGGGGCGAGGGCACCTCGGCGCTGAGCAGGTCGGGCGATTTGCCCTTGTCTTCTGATGAGTCGGTGGGTAACGGAGAGGAGAGAGGCACCTCGGACAGGGGCTCGCCCTCTTCAGCGATGGCATCTTCCGTCTCTGTGACCGGCACATTCTTGGCAGATTGTTTGGCCTTGACCGTGTAGTAATCCGCGGGGGCACCACTAGATGGCAGTGTGATGACGTGCATGTCATTGTCTACGGGATTTCTTGCCTCGACCTCGCCGCCAAAGATATAGGCAGAGCCGCCCACGACATTGAGGGAGTGCGATGACCTGGGGAGCGGTGGAACCGAAACGTACTGCCAGGTTGCCTTCATGGCAGAGGAGTCGGAGCCGAACTTGGGCAGATTCGGCATATTTGGCATGTTGGGCATGCTTGGCATACTGATGTTTGGCATCTGCACCTTGGGCATTGAAGGGAGGTTCCAAGAGTTGTTCTCCACAAGATCCGTCGTGCGGCGCTTGAGCTTCTGAAATGACTCCATTGTTGCTTTTTGTTATTAATCTTTTTTAGCTGGCTGTGTGTTATTCCCTGGGCTGTAATGCGAGCTGTCGATATAGCTCGAGGAGTTTGGGCTGATGTTGTTTTATATCGAGTCAACAGCAGTTCTTGTTTGTTGGTTGCGGTTGTCGTCTTACAGGAGTGACGTAAGATCAGGAAGAGGGGATAGCCGCAATGTATACGAGGATGTCGGCTGGGATGAAGGAGCTTTTAAAGCTGAAAAAACTCCCCAGGGTGTCTCGGGGGACTCTTGAGCAAGGTAGCAAAACAATGGTTCGTATTCTCGGGTAAACCAATGGAGTGCTACGTTCGTACAGAAACACGAACAAGCTTGATGAATCTTGTGAAACAAGGGCCCCAAAGCTCGAAGTTGCTAGGCCGACCTCGTCATGGACCATGGCTGAGCTCAGGGCGGGGCCCAGCGCTGCGGGGATCAATTGCTCCCCTTGGGCGGGCGCCAATTTGGTGTCAACTCCACTAAAAACTGCCGCCTAGTGGTCTATATTTGGCGATCGCGGGGGGCTATGTGGAATGCGCTGTGCTACTGGCCAATGCGACACTGCTGCCATACGTAGAACATGCGATTGTCAACAAATCTTTAAAATGAATGCGACAAAGTGGTTCATCACGATTTGAAATACAAGCAATTAGTACAGCTTTTTATGACTGGAATTCGTTCATGAATTAGTCGTGACACATGGAACAGTCCTCAAGAGACTGGATACTTTCCTAGTCCCTAATTCTAACACTACTATATATGTCGTTTCGTTTCATTTCCCCTTCTCATAACGCAGTGGACCTAGTCCCTTGGAGCTACAACGCCTTCTTCTCATCAGCCGAGTCAGCGGGGCTTCTCTGAGGTGCCAACTCCTCTGTCTCTTCATTATCATGGTGATACAATGGCTCAAGCTTGGCGTTTCGCTGGAAGAAAACCCAGCGCTTGAACCACCACGGCAGAGCCTTGGTGACTTGGTAAGAGGCGAACTTTCTCATGGGAACAGCAAAGATGTAGTCGAGTTCTTCGAGCGTTCGTTGCTAAAAAAGTAGAAGACATTAGTTTTTGCCCAACACCTCAAGGAGAAGAAAATACTAGGAAAGACCCCTTTGGGAACATTGCTTACCTTTGTCTCGGGAACCAAGAAGAAGATCATGACGAAGGCCACTGCGTTGAAGGCAGCGTAACAACCAAATGCGCCCGCAGTGCCGGCTCTCTCCAACAAGAACGGGAATGTCATGCCGAGAACGGCAGCCCAGAACAGACAAGTGGCCACGGCGAAACCCATACCGACCTCGCGATGCGACAGAGGGTACACTTCAGCCGAATAGGTAAAGGGAACAGGTCCCTCACCGGGCGAGTAAAAGGCAGCGAACAGGAAGACAAAGAGGGCGACCAGGGCCGTTCTTGCGGTGTTGGCCTCTCCGTCGGCTTTATATATTGGCATGAGTGTGCACAAACCTGCCGCGAGCAGTGTCCAGGTCTGAAAGCAAATCAGTATACAGAGCTGGGAGAATACAGTACAGTCGATCTAACTTACCATTTGCGGAAAGGTAAAGAGCAACAATGTTCGGCGTCCGAACTGTTAGCTGTTAGCATCTAGAGCAGTGTGAAGTTCAGCTTTCTCAACTAACTGTATCAATTGTCCAAAAGGCCGGGAAGGCAAAGACAAAGTTGACGAGACCGAATCCAAAAGAGCAAATCAAGGATCGGAAGTCATCGTAGCCAGCCTCCTTGAAGATGGTGGTAGAATAAAAGGCAATAATGTTGATACCGCACATTTGCTGCGCAATCATGACGGTAAAGGCGGCAATATTGGCCCGGCGCACTCGAGGTATGGTGAAAAGTTGAACAAAGCGTTTGACGTAGGTGCTGTTTCTTGTAAGCTGCATCTCTATCGATAGCTGTGCATGAATATAGTAAATATCGCGCGCGACCTGGATACGGTTGTTCCTGAGAACCACCAGCGACTTCCATGCCTGGGTGTATCGATTCTTTTTCATGAGCCATCTGGGCGACTCGGGGCAGAGGTAGATCAGGCAGAGCAGAGGAACAGCGGGGATGAATGGGGCGCCCAACATCAATCGCCAGTTGTGAGGTGCGTAGAAGACAGCGAGGTTGATGGCTGTTCCGAGCAAGATGCCGAATGCAGTCCACATTTCTTGACGTGATGTTAGCATTTTGTCTCTATTACAAAGGGGCAGTCGCTGTTGGAGACCTACGCCAAGACATAACCAGAGCTCCACGCACTGAGGCTGGAGCATTTTCGGCGGCGTAGATGGGGACTGTGTCGCAGCATTAGCTTTTGAACAAGATCCAGTGTTCTTAGGGGAGAGGCTCACCAGTTGACGCCTTGACACCCATTCCGATACCCATGAGGAGACGACAGGCAAGTTGTTGTTCCCAGTTGTGGCAGAAAGCAGAACCAATAACAGGCCAGATGCAGAAATGCGCCGAGAAGAAGATGACACCACGGCGTCCGAACCAGTTGTTGATGGGGTCAGACAACCAACAGCCGATGAAAGCACTTCCAATGTAAGGACCAGCATTGACGAGACCAAGGATCTGACAAGTAGATGTAAGTAAGCCTCAGTCTCGGTATTCAGATCCGGGTAAAACTTACCAATCGCGATCGAGCATCATCGCCATCAATGCCGTACTCTTCGGGAAAGAAGATGTTGGCACCATTGGAGCCCGTCTGATCCCAACCCTGAACTGCAGCACCAATGGAACAAGTAGCGATGGTGAGAAACAGCTTCCAAGGCATGTGCCACTTGTGTGCGACTTCGTTGTACAGGGCTAACTTCTCATCCTCGTCGAGGGCTTCGGCCCCGTCAATGTTCTCGTAGTTGGTGGGATCCTGAGCAACGAGTGCGCCCTTGCGAAGCAGAGGGATATGCTCCTCCAAGCCCTTTTCGTGAGCAAAAGCCTCGACATCTCTCACTACAAAAAGAAAAGTCAGTTATGAATTATGGAGCCAGTGTGGCCATTTGTTCCGAGTGGTGATGGCAATCGTGACATGGGGCATTGCCATTTCGTGACTCTACTTTGGGTTGGCAAGAACGGATTGGTAAACACCAGACCCTGCGATAGAACGTACTCAGCTGGTCTCGTGGGATTCCTTTCAAGGGATTTTTGATTCTAGAAGAGCAAGTGTTAGTACTATCTGATTTCGAGATGGGCACATAGACGAGGAGAAAAGGAATAGGTCAACTTGCTTGGCTTCAAGATTTCTGGCAAGGTCAACATGATCAGGGACGCCAATTTCAAGATGATCAACGGCCCCTGCCCCATGGTTTCTGGACGAGTAATAATGTTTAGCTCAGAACTGCAACCAATGGAATGAATAGACAACTCACTGCTCTGAGGTCATGGCCTCTATCTTATTAGTGTCGTCCATGTTTAACTCAGCTGTTGCTCCTGATGATTGGCGACCTGCAGGTTGACTATGCTGATAAAGTATTTCAAGTAAACGTGCTCTCCGTAGCCTTGCCCGAGACTTCAAATAGTCTAAATCAAACAATCATGGGGAAGAAACTTGAACCACAGAGGCTGACGCAGAAACGAAAGACGAGGAAGGCTCCGAATGCGAGGGAAAGATCGGCTTTTATGTCGGTTTGCAAGGCGACACCATCCCACAACGCCTGTCAAGGACAACCAGCAGTCATTATGCCCACGGGGAAAGCCTTCCCCAGACCTGGAGGAAAGCGGAACCGGCATAGTCTCCGCGTCTGTCTACCGACGCCACCTTCAAGACCTGTACTAGAGATTGGAGCGCGCCCTATGCTTAGAATGCTTAGAGCACCGATCCAAGCTTCCTCACTCAGGAGACATTTATCAAGTCATCCCGGCTTGGGAGCGTAGCGCGAATGGCCAAGATCACCGTCGCCAAGTCACAAACTTCATCTTGGCCAGTCTTGGTACTAGACAGCGTCGAATGTTATCCCGCCGTCTCCACTCGCTGGACGCTTGGCCTGGAACCGTGGCAAGGGAAGGATATCTTGTCCATGAAAATTCAAGAACAAGAAAAGATCGGATCGGAAAGACAATTCTTGATTTTTTTCCCCCTCCAAAATGGGTGATACCGACGAGGCTTCTTGGATTCTCTTGCTTAGTCAATCCAAAGGTATGGAGTTACATTGGGGACGGCATGTTGCTTACACACATGGGCAGCTGACATTGATGCGGCTCTGCGGAGTTGCCTCGATTGCAAAGGCACGTCGGCATGGACCAACAAAAAAAAAAAACATTTCTCTTTTAGTCCATCTCCATGTACTACGTCCACCACCCACAACTCCGCGTTTATCCTCGCGCGTAGTTCGTCTGGGGAATCTGGAGAATAGGTGGGCACGAAGGATGTAATCACGCTACCATAAGAAATGCAAATTGGTTCCAAGCAAGAGAAGATCATGTCCGAAATTCTTTGTCAGACCCACTCGAGCTCCAGCGACAATTGACCTTGACGTGAGTTTTTGGATGTCTGCCCAGCAATGCCGAGATGCTCGAATTGCTGATAGCGTCTTGGACGTTACGAACCAAGCCTCTGGGCAGCCCCGCAAATAACGTCATATCTCAACGAACAGGCGCACAGAGTCCGCCTGTTTCATGGTTTAGTTACAATAGAGAGACGAAATCACTTGAGCACAATTGTGCCATCATTCTATCACTCAACTGGAGTTTTACGACGGCTCATTGTTGAAGCGGTGTCAGTTACCGCAATATCCCCAGCTACCTAGCCTAAGCAGCCCTATTCCTATTCCGGTGTACGTCTCTAGGTGCTAGGTGTCGGGCTTCTTTTAGGATACCAGCAGCCCGGGTCGAAACATGCAATACTACCTTTATCACAAGCCGAGATCATACGACCATTGCCGCATAGAATCATATCATAAATTGAGGCCAAGAATTTGCGTCGCCAAGGAATACGATGGACGATCACACCATGAGGGATCTCGAATTTTGATCTTGTCTATCTGAGCATTATGTCGAAACAAAGAGACTGTGATACTTGGTGGCTTGTCACAAGCTTGTTCGTTAGCTCAAGCCATCCACCACCAGCCCGTGTGCGTGGGACCAACAGTGGAGTACGTGATAGCACAGCACCACTGTGCTCCCCGTATTGAGTACCAGAGCCTCCCAGGCCCAGACCAACTTTTATAGGTTATAGATACCTAAGTAGTCTGGGGAAACAATGGTTCCACAAATCGTGGACATTGACTAATCCCCATCGTGGTGAAGGGATCATGAATGTTAGGTAAGCTTCGACTACATGTTGATAGAAAGATGTTCTTGCGATTGCATTTGTGACCCTTTCTGCTCTTCCTGAGTATTCATGCACTGATCCTCATGAGGCTGGCGTTCCTTTCCATTGCTGCCAAGCAATCCACGCCTGCAGTATAGAAACTACCAAGCTCATTATGCCAAGAAATGGCGACAAAGATCCCAATAGCAATAGCCATCATGACATGTTTATCTCTGCTTCTTCGCTCAATCCACCTTTCTAATGATCCTCGCGGTGTTGGGTTGCGCAGTTCTCCATACAGCTCCATCAGACGTGGCCCAAGCCATTGGTACGGGATGTCTTTCTCGTTGTCGAGCTCACAGTCTGAAGCATTATATTGCAGGCGTTCAGGATCAAAATCTTTCTGCTCCACCAAAGAGCGCATGATGGCCTGAAACTTGAGATCTGGGGAAAAGAGTATATTCTGTTGTTTGATAGACTTCACATCGTAATGTCAGTCATTCAAACCAGTCACAATGTATTGGTAAACAACGGCTAAGTGTATGGTGGTGGAAGGGGGTTTGTTTGACGGTAAGACGAACCATTGGAAAGAACCTCGACCAGTTCTCTCAGCCTCAACCTTGTTTGGTGCTATCTCGAAGATCAGATCCTTCGTGTAGGCGGCTACTGCCATGGCTGCATATCCTTGCCACTTCTCGTGCTTATGCGTAACTGAATAGTTGCAGATACCACGGAACACAAGGCTGAGCTTGGTCACTCTGGGTTGTTCTACGCGACTGATTGACCCATATGAGCCTCCATGATCCATCCGACTATAAGCGGATCCATCTAACCTACGTCCTTTAATAAAACAAAGTATGAGCATTTTCTAATGTTCTAGGATGGTGCTTCATGTTAATGACTTCAAAAATTATTTCGAGCTTGATTTAAGCTTTGGCCGAGAATGGATCTGGCCCGTATACTAGGTAGCTCATGAAAGAAAACGTTGCGACGTCGAAGCCCCTGAAGGATATGGTATGCGCACTTGCCATAGTATAAAGGACTAGGACCGGGCCTGTCAAGCCTCGCCTCGCTTGCCTCACTTCTTTAAAAGGGGGGCTATTGTAAGTTTATTCGTTTCCACACAGCACCCGTTGATTCGCTTCAAGGACTCATCCCGTCTATCTGCCACTGAACACACGAATACTTCAGTATATGTTAAATTCGTTACTCAAGCTAACATTTTCCTCTACAGGGGAGCTGGCCCAGCGCAGCAAGTAGTTGTATCAGATTATCATGGTCTTCATCTTTCTCGCGTATCTCGAGGACGCTTACTGCAGAGTTGCGCATATAGCGATTGTATCTTAAACAAGCCTCACTTTCTGGTGTTCAAGGCTGTCCCAGAATATGCTCCCACAAAGTCCGCTTTCCTCAGTGAAGAACAACCCAGCTCTTTTGTATTCGCCAGGTTTGCCCGTTGGGAGCACCAAAAGACCAATCAGGAGATCCTGGTATGTGACGTCTCCGTCTTTTCCAATCTTGGCCTTTGCATCGGTAGCCTTGCTGGATACTAGAACCATTGACAAGCAATCAATGGGTCCATCTTCAAGTTCCTCTTCCGTCTCGGGATCCTTAGGTGCTGAGGCATACTCCTGTCGCCAATCAAAGACGACATGCGCCAAGCGCCGCCCATCGTCTGTCAATAGCTCATACGGAAAGATGAACCCAAAGAACACACTCACGCGGCGCAGTCTCGTCGACGGGATCTTGCAGATCTTGGTAGACAACAATAGGTGTCCACTGGTCAACCGACCGTAAGGGTTCACCCCATCTACCGTTACAGCACCACACAGAAGCTCGAATTTCGGTCTGAACGAAGTCCTGACGTGGAATACCCATGTTACTTGATACGGCTTTGAAGCCCAACTCCAGGATGGGGCGATGTATTGCTCGTGCGCCGCCGCTTCGAGAAATTGTTTTGGTGTTCTCATACCAAATCGTGCCCGCCACAAAAGTCCGAGATGCAAGTTCGAGCTGAAGAGGCCGGCGAGGTACTGACCTTTAATCATCTGATGCCAAACTTGTGCTATTGCAGACAATGCCGGGAACGTATCGCTCCGGTAAGTCAATGATCGCGAAGAATATTCTCGAGCTAAAAATCGCCACGCATCCTCTACCTGAGTATCAGCCATTGCGCTCTTCTCATCTACGCCTGCGCGTAGATGGATTGGCGGCCAAAATGGACGGTCACTTGATGATCCATCCTCTGATTCGAGCCACAATCCACCGATACACACATGGACCATTCTTGCCCCGAATAGCAGTGCTCTGGGAGCTAGGATAGATTCTTGTAATGTCCAGCCGCGTCGGCTCCAGTTACAATTCGGAATATCCATATTGTATGGATCGTATGAAGACGTTGCGAAGCGGTACGGGGTTGGCAGAGGCTTCCATGGGTCGAGAAAATCAGTTGCACATCCCCCTCCAAAGTAGTCTCTTGCAATGTGTTTGTACGGGTCTTCGTCTGGGGCGACGAACAGAGAAAATCTTCCCGATACGCTTGGGTCGATTGACGAGGTGAAAGGAACATCGACTACTTGCGAAGGAACTGTGCGACGTAGAAAACTATCCAGGCATGAGTCTCCCTGTGCGGCGCAAATAGTCAGGAAGGCATTGGCGTAAACGCTGCCCATCTTCTGGGCCTCGCGTTCCCAATCGACCTTATCGTCCTGGATGATACACAGAGAATCAATCCAAACGTAGGGAATGCCCAGGGCGCGGCACACCAGCACAGCATCTTGGTGCGCCGCAGGCATTGAAGAAAGCGGTATCTGGCAAAGGCGATCATTCAGCGTTGACGTTTCCGTCTTGAGCTGTTTCTTTGCCTTCTCCGGCGGTCCCCAGCAGTAGCTCAACGCGTTGTAACGTCGTGCGCCGTCCTCATTCTTCAGTGGCGGGTAGTCTGCTGTTATGACCAGGCGGGGCTCTTCTACCTCTCTGGTCGGGCCCCTAAGGCCTACGTCGATAAGCCTTGTTGGTAGTTGTAGGTTATCTGTGTCGCGTAGAGCCACAGACGATGCTGTATCTGCAAGCTTCTTCAAGCGCTCTAGACCTGGGTTAGATAAGACATTTGCATCAAGACACTTCCTAGGTATTGACAGCCATTCTGCACAAGGATCTTGACTAGATAGGTAAGTAAGAAGTTCAATTTGCTGCTTTGAGGTTCAAAAAAAAAAAAAAAAAAAAAAACACATACCGGTCGAGCTGGCTTGCACTTCCAGGCGCAGAGCGTAGGCGGCATCTTCACCCGCGAACTCTTCCCCGTACTGCAGCTTGAAGTACACAAACATCGCATGCAGCCAATTTCTTCCCGGCTTGGTCTTATCACCAGGATCGGGGTTCAAATAATACCCTACTTTGTGTATGAGCAGCTGCGTGTATTTGGCATTCTTGCCGAGGAACCGTATGATCTCATTTTTGATGACAGAGCATAGCGCGCAACCGTCCGCAGCGGATTGTGACAAGTTGGGCAGGTCTGGAAGCGTATCGCTGAGCTCATAGTCAAGAAGCAAACGTTTTTTGAAGTCGTGGTCGCCGTCGTCGCCAATGCCAATGGACACGTATTGCTTCCCTGATGCGGAGGTTTGAACAATTCCGTTGTGTTCTGCGTCATTGATCTGAATGACTTGACACTTCCGACATAAGACAGACATGCTGATGAATTCGAGGAGGACTTGTCCTTAGCGCAAGAAAGGTCCGAGCCAGTGACTTATTTCTTTGACTATTATGCGACAACGATAGTAAAACAATTATCAAGGATCAAATACATAATGATGACTTAGTAACCTGGATCTCCATTGCATCCCTGTTCCTATCTCTACGTGAAGGAGGGGTCGAAAAAAAAAGAGGAATCCGGTGGCCAAGTGGATAAAGTGCCACGTCAAACGTGCCCCAACAGAAAGACAGATATCATGAGCTGCATAATAGGGACAAAATGGCGCTGGCCACGCATTGATCTGCTTGAGTAGGTGAGCTGGTCCCGCGGCGATTGCCCATTCGCCCCATCGATACTTCTCGGTTGAACAGCACTGATTAATTACCGCGAACTCTCGGCCATCCTCGATAATACTACGAAGGGCCATAGCTGAAAATGTTGCAAAATCAACTTTTTTCGTAAAAGCACCCCCATCACTTTTCTGCGGATAACCAGATGACAGCCATTTTATAAAAACGTATTTCCATTGCATTACTATTGCGCCGTACCATATAACCATTATTAGGCTAGTTCCTAGTGTGGAGCTTTACATTTTGTTCAGCTAGTGCAGTGGTTTGGTGCGTCAATTACACTAGAATGGATCACACACTATATAACACCACTTACACTCACTATATGCACTACTACCCTTTGCAATTGAAGAATTGTTGCCATTGAACGAGTGTGGTACACTAATGATGTTGGACTGTTCTCCACTTAAATGTGACCAGGTAACATAATACTGCACTACGTATAAATCCGTGTAAAGCTATTCTATAGCATTACATTTTATTCAATTAATATTAATAAGTCCGATTAAGCTCAATTTTTACTTATAATAAATTGCAATGCAAAGGGTGCAATGCAAAACTCAATAGACACGCTCTTGAGATTGGTATTCGAGGCGCATAGGTTACCTAGTCAAAAATTCGTGCCTACTCTTGACGATTATGATAATCTCGAGTCACCGAGAAAGCTACCACCGTACATCGTTCAACAGGTATTGCCGCGGTGGCAAAATTTTTGAGACTGATGCTCAAGTGCAAGCTGCGATCGGTACAAAATACTCAACTCAGTCTATAAAAAGAACGAAATACTGCCAGTTACAAAAACATACAACACCAAGGATTCGCTGATCGTCACCGACTCAACTAAGGTCACTAATTTGGCGATTTCCAGTTTATCCAGGGCAGAGCGGACGGGATGCCGAGTTCTCTAGAACAAGCCGTGCCCAGTGAAATGGAACGTCATATGATCTTGTAACTCTTTTCTCACCTGAGCCGATGTGTGAAGGGGGACATGAAGACGAGATGATCGAGCAAGCATTGAAAGTTGTCTGAGTTGATCTCTAGTCTACAAAAGAGAGGTGCTGAAGAGCGACTATATACCCACGCAGGTGATCTGCGGTGGGTACTGACTACGTCAGTACGACATCTTTCGAGACATTTCGCGTGTCTGCTTCTTTAAGAAAGACTGCATTGAGCGGCTCGGACGCAAATATACGAGAAATAATAGCGAATTTGTCTTAGACGGACGACAAAGGAGTGCATTTGTAACTTTATTCATAGTTACGAGGAGCACTTTTTGTTGAACGAACAGGCCCTCGAGTGTGTCTGTGAGCGGACAGAATAGCTCGCAAAGAAGAACTGTATGAAGAGGCAACTCGATCGATGACTGTCCTCCTGACACAATCCGGACCATTTATAGCCGAGGGGGGGGAGTGGAGGTATTCTCGACATATCTACTGGTACAAACGAGCTTCGGCACTTATGAATGTCCGCACCCACAAGCTAAGGATCAAGGGGATTTGCAATAGTTCAAGGTTACAATACGAGCACCTGGAAGCCGTATTTACTGCCGGATTTACGCGGGCAGGGGTATGGGCGACATTCTTGCCGAGAAACTGGCGGCTCCGACGTTTTGTGAAAGCACAGTTTCCAGTCCTCACGTCCATGTACAAAGGTTGTTACCATAGCCGTTCTCCAGTTTGACCAGAGTATGGACAGCGCATCTGTTTGTTGATAGCAAGCTATCTGGAAGCCATAGCGTTGAGTAGTGTGCTATTTTGCGCCCTGGTCTCTCGATGCAAGTCGTGTAAGGCCAGTCAGTGCCTTTATGGTAAGTAGCAGTGACTTCACGGAAATAACGGGAAACGAAGATCTGGATGGAAACGATTGGATAATCTAGCTACATGTCACGAGACTGATAATGATGATCAGGCATCAGTGATCCTGTCAATCTGAATTGTGGCAAACGTAGCAAAGGTGATGTACAAAAGAGGGCGGAGTGGAAATTAGGTACTAGTACCTAGTGTGATGAATTCTTACAGCATTATTTATAACCCTCGGATCATCTCGGATTGGTAGGTGATTGGCCGAGTGTTAGATGGTATATGGCGGACAATAGTGGGGCATATTCCTACTAGGTAAGCATCAATTACCAATTGGCAGAAGCAGCAGCTTATTACAATCTTGTAAACTCGAGTATTTATTAAAGGAACGTTGCCTCCCGTAATCTGAGAACGAGAGGCGTAATGAACATTCCCCTTGCAACGCGACCATCCATTCACCAACTTCGCTTCCATGTCTCATCTAGCGATTTTAGCAGCTGTCTCAGCACTGGCTCTCAGCTGCCAAGCACAATGTTATGTGAGAAACGAAAGAGCAATCTTCTCGGGATAGAATCTGACAGCTATAGGTTGGCAATAACACGAGTGCCGATGTCCCTAGTACCATCTCGAGCAGCCAAAATATTTCGGCACCCTTATTTGTCGGAACTCCCTACATGGAGAAGGCCTTACTTCCGAAGCATCGATGGTATCCAGAAGCATCGCTGATGCACGCTGATGGAGGCAATTCTGGCAGCACCGACTGGCCGGGCCCAGTGGGACTCAACACATCTTCGTCCAGCAGCGCATTAGACGCCGTCGGTGTGTTGCTCTGGGGCTCAAACCATACAATGGTAGTCGGGTACGTTGACATGACAACGAACCCCATCACGCTTGGCCTTGTCGTTAGAAATGCGACAACCCTTCAGGTCCTAGGGCAATGGCCGGCACCAGCAAACGAGACTTTGAATCTCGCCTACATAGAATTAATTGCAGGTGACGCTAGCGATCGCGTCATTGTCAGCAGTCAGCAAGGCCGGATTTATAGCCTCTCCATATCGCATTGCCCAGGTAGCGCGAAATTCACTATGGACAGGAAAATTGATCTATCGCTTGGCGACATACTCTCTGAAGGAGAAACGCTACTCAACGCCATGGTCGACACGGACGACAACATTTGGTTCACTACTGGGTACATCAATGGCACAAGTGGTTTGACGGGCGGCTCTACAGCGTCTCCAAACTCGACAACCCTGGGTTTTGTGACCCCCGATAATGCCATCAAGCGCATCCATATCGCAGGACAGGTTGTTGAGAATGGAATCGCAGTCAGCGGCACGACCAGCTTCATCGTGATGGGGCCCACCGATGGAATCAACGCTACAGGTTATCTGGCAGCTTATCGCTCAGACGAGCCTTCAAATGGTGGTATTGATCAGGTCTGGAAGTTACCTTACTCGGCCGGTTCCACTACCAAGCCCGGGGCCTTCTCTCGCGGCTCTGGTTCGACACCAGCCCTCCTTGGCGATCAATTTGTTGCCGTGACCGACAATGCGGACGGCCAAATCAATCTAATCGTCGCCCACCAAAACACCACTACAAATCAACTGGCGTGCAAAGTACCGCTCTTCATGCCCGGCAGCGTTGCAAACGACTTTAGTGCCACCGTCCACTTCGACGGGACGCTGTACAGTGTCATGTTGATCAATAATTATGGAGCACCTCAAATCTTCTCGGGGCAAGGTTCCACTGACATCAATGGATCTTTCAACAACAAGACTATGATGCCCGGTGGCTTGACCCGGGTTGACGTTGATACTACTGGTGCTGCATGTGGCGTGCGATGGGTTTCGAATATTACGACAACCGCTGTCCCCATTCTTTCTACCGCAACGGGGTTGCTCTATGTTTACAGCCAAGATCCCGGACTTGCCCTCAAAGGAGAATACGTTTGGTACCTAGTAGCGGTGTCTTGGGACACGGGTGATGTCGCCTGGAAGGTGAAAATGGGCTCTGGCGGTATTTTCAATGACAATTGGCTCTCTGCAACGTTGGGGCCAGATGGGACCTTTTATCAGTGGGTCATCGGTGGCCTTGCCATGGTGAAAGATTTCGGTAGTTTTTATTGATGTCTTTCCATGTGGCCACAGTATAAAGTCTGAAGGGTTGCTGTCACACTGACGTAGGTAGAACCCACCGCAGATCACCTGCTCGGGTATATCAGGCTGCTCCTCAGCACCTCTCTTTCGTAGCTCTTTAGGATCAACTCAGACTTCATTCTACGCTCCTCCCTCTCGACTGTCAGTGACTCGTCTGTGGCCTACTTTCTACTCTGAGCCTTCAATAACGCTGATTCAGGTTTCAAGAATCTTGCTACACAATCTTTTAGAACAAGATTTAATTAAAGGCAGTGTTTACATTCAACAATGGTTGATATCTAGATTTGAAATATCTTGCACATTGACACGCCTAATACTTTAGGTCTGCGTAGCCGACAGTTTGGCAGGGAAATGTGGAAAAAGCCATCCTAATGTTCGACTTGACAATGGTCCTTCTGTTACTCCCATCTCTTTAACTCTTCCTCAGTCCAGTCCCACAATTTACGCATGAGCTTCTCATCGTCCAGCACGGTGTCCTTGTATTCTCTTAGCTTGTTGCCGTAGAAGGCCCCATTCTTGATGCTTTGCCGATCCGTCGAACTTGCCCATAGCTGACCCCTCGCTCCGTTGTGAACATCCGTGAGGACCAGACGTCCCACCACACCAATCAGCCCCCCAAGCCAGGGCCGTCTCTTTTTGAGGTCATCAAGCAACCCAGTGTTGACCACTCCAGGATGTATAGCAACAAAGGTGATTTCTTGATACCGCTGACTCAACGAACGGGTATGGTAGTAATCAGCAAGCTTAGACTGGCCGTAGCGCGCCACGCTGGAAATATTGAGAAGGGGGGTCTTGCATTCGGAGAGCAAAATCCCCCCCTTGGGAGCTTGTTTGAACAACTCCGAGCTCAAATTGATGATGCGGACATCTGATTCTGGCAGGTTGGCGGTTTTGGCGAGAATGGGAAGAGGCAGCTTGGTGAACAGCGCAGGTCCGAGGTAGTTTGATCCGAACTGGACTTCGTAGCCGTCGACTGTAAGACCGGGCGGCGATGCCATCAAGCCAGCATTGTTCATCAAGATGTCCAGACGTTCGGACTGCTCTAGAAAGCTCTCGGCGGCCATCTTTACTGATGCGAGAGATCCTAGATCGAGCTCGAGGAATCTAATCTTGCCTTTGGCCTTGGGCACAGCTTGCAGTATCTCCTCGATGGCGGTTTCGCCGCGTGCTTTAGTTCTAGCCGTGAGATAGATGACCGCCGGGTCGTGCTTCGCCAATTGGAGTACGCTCTCTTTACCCAATCCGCTACTGCCGCCAGTCACAATGATAACCTTGCCGGACAGGTCTGGAATGTCGGTATCCGGGGAAAAGTTCATCATGGTACGATTATGGGGTTCCCAAATAATAACGGAGGCAAGATGTTGGAGACAGGGTGAAAAAGTTTGCGGTAGGCGGAAGCTTGAATGACAGGGCAAATACAGCAGGAAGGGGGTAACTTGTGACTTGTAGAAATAGTGTAACTTATATACTATAAATCCATGTATACCTGGGTAATTCAGCCGAGGGTTCGAAAACTGGTGCAGGCTTTCGCTATAGCACCGGCACCAGTTTTCGCAGATTTTTAGTACAAATGCATGTATGTAGGTGAGGCGACGAAATACTTCACGACAGGATGTACCACAAAACAATGCGTGGCCTCATCGCCATGTGGAAACACACAGAAGTCAATTGTCGATTTGTCATCCAAGAATTCATCACAGCCGTTCAGTAATCCAAGTTATCAAAGGCTTGGCTCCAAAGTACCTAAGGTTAGGTAGGTTAGCTGATCAACTTTCAAATTGGCCCCACCAGCTCGTATCGCTGGTGAGTCCAACAGCGGCAGTCTTTTTGCCGCGCGTTGGTTGCTGCCTTTCGAATTTATTGAATCAGTTTTTCACGAGTTGAGCCGTACCGTTACAGCGGTCATCTGGCACCGACACACCCAGGTAAAGTGGATTGCTAAATGTACCTGTTGGATCGTTTGAAATTGGCCATATTAATTGAGCTCGACTGTCTGTATTTCAAGTCTCAGGACGCCAAACGCGTGCAGAGAAAAGATTGATCCAGTGAAAACCTCTGGATATTCTGGAAAGTTTCTCAAGAAATGTGGACTTGCAAACTGAAGCTTGCTGTCAGAGCTTGCAGACTTGAGATTCTGTACGTTATTGCCTCAGTTCCGAGAGGCGTCCAAGCTGATCAAACATGTCAATTCATGCATAGTGTAGAAAACTCAGCCATGTTACCTGCCGATTATTGGTTGTCCGGGGTGACCCTGCCTCTTCCTCACCTGGAGTCTGATTGTTCCTGGTATGGAAGCTACAAACTCACCCACGCTGATCACGGTTCGACGTGTGGACCCGAGGCAAAAATGGATGTCGCAATTGACCAGTAATGCTGCAAAGAACCTCTCGACGACCACCGGAGCAAGCTGTCGCCTGGAGCATGCTTGGGTTCCCTGCCCAAGAGCAAAATTAGTCGAGCTCAGAGTGATGAAAGGATGCTTCATTCCATTTTTTTTATTCTTCGAACGGTTGTAGATTGCCCCATAGATCAAATAGTTCTCAGTATGGAACGATATCTGGATCCATTAAGATATCCCCGGCTGCCATGGCGCATCGTGTGCCCTTGAGAAGGTGTAGTTCATCGGACACGGTGATTGATTTCAAGACGTCTCGATTTACCGTGACCAGATTGGTTTAAATGTTGTCTAGGATGTGCTACTCTGCGATGAATCAGTAGCAACGCGCGAAGACTATTGGGGTTCAGGCGCTGAGACTCGCACACAAACAAATTCACCTTGCGCATTCTATCTAGAGTTCACTTGTCCCAGCGACCACTTGCAATTAAGCATTCCTCTGCCTCGGACCGGAGCTGGTCTAAGTATTGCGGGTAGCTTAGACTATCATAGATTATGGAACGATAGCACGTGAGCGATACCGTGATCCGAGGCAAGGCTGAGAAGCACACGAAGGTGTGCAGGAGTATAATCACATGCTTTGAACATGTCGCGAACACTCTCAATCAGGCACTGCAATATAGAAGAGGATCATTCGTCTCGTTGTCCGGAAACTTGGCTCTCCAGGCTTTGATTGTCGGTATGAACAGCGTCTTTGCGATGGAAATAGTCCTTGGTAACTAATGCCAGATGGGATTGAAATACAAGAAAGATCTAATAAGCGGTTGCAAGATCCAGGGTACGAGTGGTATGGAATAGGCCACGGCAAAATTCTTTTTTTTTTTTTTTCTTGCGGCGTAGCTTAGACCTTTCGAGCGAGTGCCCGTGCGTTTCGTGTTGCATCATTAATATTGTCATCAATAGCTGTCCACTCAATCATGAATCCCGAAAAGAGACCTGCTGGGTTCAGATTGCAATTTTGCATTTACTAGAATACTGGTGCTCGCACACCCTTCGCAATCGGGACAAAAAGAGAGAAAATGACAAGAAATATAATCGATTTCGATCAGGGCTATAGAACCGGGAGAGGATATAAACACACAGTAGGTTTAGGTGTCATTTGAAAATGGGGATGCCTCATTAAACATAGGCTGACCTAGCAGTCATATAGCTTAGTACCTAGCTCAATTTCAATATTCTAGTCTTCTAAGTCAAAAAGCCCATGTTATCTATCAAATATCGAGACCATATCAAAAAGGCAAAAAACATACAACACCAAGGATTCGCTGATCGTCACCGACTCAACTACTAATTTGGCGGTTTCCAGTTTATCTAGGGCAGAGCGGACGGGATGCCGAGTTCTCTAGAACCTATGGTCGTATGTGCTTGACGTTATGAATAATAGATCATATATACCTGGGTAGGCACCGAGACGTTGGTGGGCTTAGAGACCTTTGTCCTTTCATCGGCAGATCAAAGTGTCACAACAGAAGGACACATACCCAATGATGTTTCCGTGATATAAACCTATGAAGAGGTGAGCACATGGCCAAGCACGATGGGAAGTGGGGGAAAAAAAAAAAAAAAAAGAACCCGAACGCAGGACCTACTATGTCTCTTTTGCCATCATCTCGCTCGAATGTCCAACATACGGTCCAAGGCGTGAGCTGTGGAACAAGGCATCCCATTCTCTTCCCTTCTTCGTTTCGATTTACTTTTCTTTTCTTTTTCTCCATTTTCCTTTGATTGCCTGAATGATTTTGTCTTGTGCTCATTCCAGTCTCTGATCGGTGAATGTCGGTGGTCTATCATGGTGGACCTCGTTCTTTGGCATCATGTTTTATACCCTTGGATCACCCGAAGACCTGCCTCTTTCTCTCTTGGGTTCTTGATGAATTACTGTAGCATCCAGGCATGATATCCTCCATCAATAGTATCAAGTGGGTTGATCCATGTGTCTGAACATGATTGTGTGATGAAACCGGTACATTTCATGTCGGTGCTAGTGACGTGGGTGTTGTAGTATCTCAAGCTACCATTCCTTGGAAATTCGAAAGCAGTGAGATATGAATGTTACTACTATTGGTGCTTGTTGTATGTAGTACGATGATATCAGCTAGGAAGTGTCTTGAGCCTCTTCGTCCGAGTCTTCACACGGTCTCGTATCATCATGGCCACCGGTGGCTGGGCTAGCTTGGATTTGAACGTCGAAGAATATGTTGAGGACCACACCCATCGTACACGGTCGGGTTATATCTTCCTCCTCTTGATTGTGTGAAGCTCCATTGAATGTGGTAGTAGGTATTGGTCTTTCGTCCTTCTTCGCGAGTAAACCCCTTGGATAGTAAAAGTTAATTTTTGGTATGATCGAGTTGTTTGAATACTGTTGTGAAGACATACCTTCGGGAGCAAATGGACAGAGGGTTGGAGACTCCTTATTCCTATATAGCCACCTTATTGAGGACCCTGCTGTCCTGTGGACCATACTGAACTGGTAATTTCGAGTGCCCGAAGCCAGATAAAGTGTGCAATCCCACAAAGCCTCAGCCGAACAAGCTCATTCTAATCGGGCATAAACGTGAACCTTGGGGATCAAGCTAGGTACTAAATGTATGAGGAAGTTAGCTGAGGATTTTGTTATACGAGTTGTTTTTTACCATAAAGGTTTTGGAGGGAGCCTCTCTGGAAAACTATACCTTTACTTTCCGGGAAGAGAATTCATCTTCAAATGCATGAGATGCCATATAATGGTACCAGAAGGGCAAAGGAAATTCCGTTTTCGCTCGCCAGGTTCATAATCAACCGTGTTATTGATAAGGACAGGTCAAGGCCAAGTCACAACGTGATTGGCAACCAATGGTCTACGACAGATAGTAGGAATTTGGTGAAACCTGTACCTACATGCAATTCAGCGGTGTTGTCACTATGGAAACCTAAGCTGGGTCCTCAACTGTATCAGAACACCTTCCTGAGTTGTTCATCCAAAACACATCTGCCAAAGAACATACTCGGCGGGTATAGGGGGCTGGCCGGACTTCTTAACAAATTTTGGGACACAGCCCCAACGTGCAAATGGATGCTGATAGATGTGATTTCATGACATTTTCCAACGGAAGGCTTGTCAAAATCTTGTAAAGAATGATGTTACTTCACATTTGGGTGATGATGAGAAGCTTTGCCAAGCTCGAAAGAACCAGTGCTGAAATCAGTCAATTGCCACAAGCGTAACGCACGAGCGTGGTTCGTTGAAGGGGAAGTCCTGTAGATGAGTCAGTTACGAATAAGACCTTCGGAAGTCCCCAATATAAATACGTAGTAAGCATCGACTGCAGTTCTTGAGGGTGCTACGAGTCATTGTCTGGCTGATCGATGCGACCAGGATGCTGCTGGAAATAGTGGCGATATGAAGAACTCACCCATGTTTTGGCGTTTGGGAAGAAGTCTTGTCGTTCCCAAGATCAAATGAATGTGTTTTTGAATAGAAGGAAAATATAAAAATCAGTCCGGAATTGGCGTCAACGCTGGCATAAAAGTTCAACTCCAGCACGGGACGGGACAAGACCTTGCCCCATTCGGCTGTCAAAATAACACAAATTTTGTCTTTCTATTATTCTGGAATCTATGAGGACGAGATTGCCATGGCCGAGCCGACTTGCCCATCGGCACGGGGTAAAGTCTTCCGTGGTCACGGGCTGGAGAACCCACACAGCCCGTGAAGTCTAACTTTAAAGTCGAATCGTCGTGTGAAAATTCTGATCGCCCAAGAAGGAGAAAATCTAGGCCTTTGGGCGCCCGAAAGTGTTCGTATATAGGCCCGAGATGGACCAAAAAAGGCCTCGGCTTTGCAGTTGTCCGGAGGAGGCTTTGCTGGCATGATGGGCCGATTTTTCCTCTTATTTACAGGATATGAAACTAAACCCACGGCACCTAGTTCAATGTACA